GGGGGGGGGGGCAGCCAATCTTTGCCTTAAGAGGGTACATAAGACCTCAAGATGTGACAAACATGCACTCTTGCAGGAAACCAAGCATATGCTGGCGCTTAACAACCGTTGCAGGGATCTGTGGTGGTTTACAAGGCTTGTGCAGTATATTAATGCTTGCTACTGTTAAGAGCCAAAGCCTTTTGTACACCTTATCAAGGATGATAAACGTTAGATCGGTACAGAGCTCCACTCACTGACCCTCTGATCTGTCAGGTTTCTCTCTCTATTATTTATGCTATTTATGTACGGGTTGTGGAAGCTTTCAGCACTGGCTATGGAAGAAAATAGAAAACTGGCTTCGTTTTGGTGGTAAAATTCCGGTGGGAGGTGCTGGGTCATTCTGTGGGGCAAGTAACGATCTAACATTTATAATTCTTGAGGTGTAGCTAAGATTACTCGTGAGGCCAACAATACTTGTGATGGCAATAATGCTTGTGAGTCCCCACTATGACAGCCACTATAAATCCACTATCGTCCACTGTAATCATGCACTGAGTCAAGCTGGGTAAAAGTCAAAACCAGTTCTTCTTTCTTCCGTCGTTGTCTTGATAACAACTTGAACTAAATTTACGACTTATAGGATTATTAGGGAATCACAGGCTTACAGTTACACTATAACAGATATACAAATTCTCGAGGAACAAAAATAGGATGGCTTGAAATGGGATATAGATCGTAGTGGTGGTTCGCAGTGGGCTTTTTGGGGGTTCGTCAGTATTGTTGCTCTCACAAGTATTGTGCATCCGAAAGTTATCTCTGCTATACAAGGTTTGTAGCGCGTATACAAGGACTACAACGCTTGTGATCCCTCATAATTCCCCACTACGGAAGGTATCCTACGGGGCTAACACCTTAGGATTACTATCATCAAATGGTTCACCTTCAGCTATAGGTCGGATAGTCTTGGCTCTGCGCTTGCATAAATGCAAGCTAGGGGCGGAGCTGCATACTTCCTTCGTAAGTGCCGTACTCACAAATTTGGTAGGGAAGGGGCCATTCTCACTGATCATCGTACCGTTTCTTAATCACGCATTCCAAAGTCTGCAATACTTCGCCATCGTCTTCAACCATCTATCCCAGTACTAGGCAGATCTATATCTCGAATTGCCAAGGGAAATGAGTGCGGTGTGATAGGCTTTTTTGGAAGCGTCTTCAAATCTATGCTTTCGTCTGCTTGGATTCCGAGGCAGCTGAACGTGGCCAGACTTTGCGTAAAAGTAAGGTTTCGTCTAGAGAGCAGTTCTTCTTGGGGTGTCCAGTCGCGAGTCGAGGATATTGCCGCCTCTTGTTCTAAAGACAAATGTTGTGGACTGGGAAAGATTGTGCAGCTATCGATAGCCTCTTTCACCTGAGTCAAGCGTGGGGTGGAAACACCAGAGGGCCCAGCGTCGCCATGTTTTCCTACCAATGCGATGATAGTCACTGTCGCACAGTCGTATATTAATGACATTATATCCAGCTGCTTGATCTTCTCTGCTATGTGAGCTGCGGTGGGATTCGGTGATTGGTCGATACATAAAGCGTCAACCTGGGAGATTACATGGTATGGCTCGGTATGATTGAAGGCCTGGCATACCCTTAAATATCTTCCTTCCCTTCAAGGCTTTGGTTACGGTAATGGTGTCCTCATTATGACCCTTGTCTTCTTCGCCGCTAGTATACGATTCAGCAGCAACGCCGTCATAGACAGCTATCATCTGTCCATCTCGCCTCTCCAGCCCGAAAACAAACAAGGTCGTTAAGAACAAGGCTGATCCTATGCATATCATGGCAATGCTACCTTCGCTCCAGTCCGGCCCCTGCGTCGTGCTATAGAAGACGATTGACCAAAACATGTAGACAGCGATAGCAAATGTGTTCATACCTCCGAGATTGATTGCACGCTTGGCGTCATCCTTCCGCGTAACCCCATTAGCCCACGCAAAAAACACCGTCTGGCTAGCATACTGGCAACGATTTAGGAACAAGGTGAAAAACTTTGCGCCTCGAGAAGGGGGGTTTAGCATGATTGCTCCTGATATAATGGCTGTCAAGGCCAACATGATACCGACGTGCCATGAACGTTTGGTAAAGTCGGAGTACCAACCGAGGAAAAGCGTGGCCACGATTCCTACTGCTGCTACGCCGGTGGGGATATAATTAACTTGTGTGACTGTATAATCGCCCGTCGAAGAGAGCCACAAGTTCATGATCGCGTTCGTCGAAAACATTTCGGTGTTACTGGCAAATACCCAAAGCAGTACAAACCCCACCAGTGCCAGGTAGCGAGGACTCGAGAGATTAGGCTCCAACCAAGCACACCTCGATGTTTCTCAATAGTAGGCAAGCGCTCGATGGCAACTTTCTTTTCCTCGTCGGTCAACCATCGAGCTTTGGTCGACTCTGGGGTGTCGGGGAATGCGAAGAATCCAAAGATCGCTACAGGAATAGTGATGCAGAAATCGATGACGAATAACCAGCGCCAGCCGGGAAGGCCCTGAGCACCATCTGAACACATATCTATTAGAACCAAAATTGACCACAAGCGAGTGAAAAAGACAAAAGAGGAGAATTTATAAGGCAAGGAATCATTATACCTAAGCTTTGGTGGATGCCTCCTTGCAAGAAGCCAGAAAACATTGTGCCGGCAAGGCCACTGCTCGTGAAGATGGCTGTCCTCTTTCCAAGTTCTTCCTCCTTGTACCAACTGCCTAGAATATAATGGCACCCAACGAATGTGGATGACTCGAATATGGCCTGGAAGAATCGGAGGACCATGATTTCCCACGGATGATGGGCGAAACCGGTGCCGAGGGTAAGCAACCCCCAAGCAATCATGCAGCTGGGGAAGTAGAATCGTGGAGGAAGCCTCTGCAACGCGAGGTTATTCGGAATCTGCCCGATAACATAGCCGGCGTAGAAGACTAATCAAAGTCAGCCATCATTGTCCCATCTGATGTGGTTTCTGCCACGATAGTGAGGCATTCCTGGCTGGCGACTTACTGGTGTTAATGACGTTGAGTTGGTTGCCCTGGAAATTCAAATCCTCCTTCATTCCCGAAACGTAGGCATTGTTCAAATTCATTCGATCGAGGTAGTTTACCCAGTACATCAAGCAGCAGAAGGGCAGGATAACTGCATCAAGTTTGACCAGCAGTTTGCGCTCTATCTTGGTGTCTGCTGCCTTTCCCCAGACCACTCGCCGCAAGGTAGAGAAGACCATGTTGATGGATGGTGATGGGGCAAATCAGTTTACATTACCTTATTCGCTTATTGAATGATTCTCTGTTTCGTCTTGCAAAAGCAATGAGATGGGTTATTAATATCTGTCACCTCGGAGACTGTTGACAGATGTTGATAGGTACAGAGTGCAGTTATCTACACTCCCTGGTCGACTCGTCGACGCTTACTCGATTTAGGAACGCATCTTTTTGCTGTCGGGATAGAGCGCCGACATGTCTCCACATTCCCATTGCGGTACACTGCTAGTCCGACTCGGCTCGTTGATTATCATGCAACGTACGATTCGAGGGGCGACGGATATGAATTTCCCAATGTCGGACAAGAGCGTTGGTGCATCTTGGCGCGCTGCAGGACCCAGTAGATTGTCACCACGACAGCAAAGTCGATGCACTTTGTCGCCATAGCACATATAATGCGCTTGGGATGCATGCATTCAAAGCAGAGGGAACACGGCCACCCCCCAATTGGATTATTCGGACACTTGGACAAAGCAACAATGCTCGACATTACAGTCACCGGAAACCATCGAGAGGTAAGTGTCATGGGCTCTAGGCGTTCGTCCCAGTCGATGCCGATACGAAGTAATGATCCTATTTTGCAGATTGGTCTTGCAACAGGCCGACAAGCTGCGGTTCAGGTCGCTGGCTCGATCAACTTTTACAGACTTCTGTTCAAAGCATTTAATGACCTGGAGTGGTCCACTGTGCGCGAGCAGGTCACTCAATTCCAACCATTCATCAAGGATCGTTTCCCACGGTATTACGAGGAGATAGAAGGAATCGCCGAGGGCGCAAGAGTTGACTTGCTTGATGTCTTGGCTCTCAATATCCGCACCGAGATTGCTTTTGGCCTCTTTGACGAAACCTCTAGGCGGCCTATGGCGATTGAAGGAGTGGTTGATGGCTGCACCACACTTGGCTGGAAAACCCCAAGCGGGTCAACTTTCCTGGCTCAGAACTGGGATTGGAAGAGCAAGCAGAAGCCCAACTTGATTATTCTGCGCGTCAATCCTACCGTTTCAGACTTGAATCTCCCAAGATTCCAGATGATAACAGAGGCTGGTATAGTCGGCAAGATTGGATTCAACGAGTATGGAGTTGGCTGTCTTCTCAACGGCATTCGCGCCAAGGGAGTAAACTCGGAGCGCATGCCCATTCACTTTGCCCTCCGAACCATCCTAGAGTCCAAGTCCGCAAGGGAGGCTTTAGATAAGATTGAAGCTATCGGTCTAGCTGGGAGCAGCCACATCCTCGTCGGAGATGCGACTGGTCCGACGGGCTTGGAGTGCACAAGCATAGGATTCCAAGAAATCCCCGCCGATGACCAAGGCCGCGTGGTTCATGCAAACAATCTGATACTGAAACATGAGGGAGTTTTTGAGCCTCTGTGGCTCGAGGACTCACCGAAGCGCACAGCCCGCCTGACCGAGCTGGCCACGAAAGAGGTCGGTGAGAAAGCCTCGTTTGAGACGCTGCTTGAGCTGTTCAAGGACGAGCAGAATGCACCGGCTGCTATTAATCGGCGCCAGCACGGGAACAATGACTCAAATACTCTGTTCAATGTTGTTTATGACCTGGCAAAGAAGAAGGGTGTCATCTCTGTTGGTAGACCAACAGAGATAGAAGAGCAGATAGAAATTGGTTTCTAAGTTTATCTAACTAATTTGACAATTTGATGCAAGAAACTAGTTAAATTTCATATTGGTGAACATCTAAAGTTCAGCTTTGTTGAACTGTAACCTTTATTTTAGTAATTATCCTTTTCATTACAGCGTGCCAAATCAGCCGAGCTGGTCGAATCTGTCAAAGTTGAAATATCGCAACAGCTTCAACTATAAATATCTACGAGTTAGTTTGAATAATAATACAGATCCGCTAGAATGAAGAGAAGTAATTGCATGTTTGGTCCTGACTGGGTCCCGGACGAGGTGAGAGGTGATTTGATAGTATGTGCTCGAATTGTATTGCTTATAGTTACGACATTTGTGTTATTTACTTACATTTCCTAATTTTCGTGTATTCATCATGTTTCCACGCTAAGTTTGACTTATTCTGGGACACCAGCCTTGATAGTGACACCCGCGAGCTTTCCTGACTTGAACTCGTCACATACCTGGGCCATTGTTACAAACTCCACACCCTCCTTCGACTTGAGATACTCGATGAAACGTTCGTGCATCAACATGACGTTGGACTTGCCGCTGACCTGCGGGTGACAGCTAACACAAAAGACAAAAGAATCATACTCCCGGTAAAAGAAGTCAAACTGATCACGCCATTGTACTTCGATATCCCTTGGGTTCACGAATCCGTGGGTTCCTGGACGTCTGGTGTAGTTCATTGGTGCTGGAAGAAAGAATTAGCGACTGGGCGACAAGCGGCTGGATGATCTGTAAAGGGAACCTACGCCAATCGTCCACATTCCACGAACCAGGGATCTCAACAACCTTGGTTGGCTTGTGCTCTTTCATGGGCTTCATCCAAGTGTCGGGATCCTGCGAGTAGTCGGTGTGCACGACCGAGTCCTCGGGAACATCGGCGACATAGTATGGCTGGCAATCGTGGTGAAGCATCGAGTGATCATACTCGATCCCAAAGTCCTCTAGGATGGACATGGTCTTTGGGCTGACTTCCCAGGCTGGTGCCACCCATCCCTTGGGGTACTTGCCCGTGAACTGTTGATATACCTCGATGGACTTGGCCATGACCTTGCGCTCCTGCTCCTCAGTGAGGAAGCGCACAAACTCGTGCGTATAGCCGTGTAGACCACTACCAAATGTTCTTCAGTATATGGGCCAGCCAAGAAAGAATTAACAATGACCAAGCATGTGCTTACATTTCATGCCCCGCATCCCTAACCTTGGCCATCTGCTCCGGAAAAGACAGAATAGTGTGGCTTGGCATATACCACGAGGCTTTGATGTTGTAATCCTCGAACATCTTGAGCATACGGTCGGTGCCAACATTAGCCCCGAAGATACCTCGTGAGACATCAGTGGCACCAATCCTTGTGCCATCACGGGTATTGATCCTAGATGCATTTCTTGTCAGAACCGCCGGGAACATTGACAGCTTCAAGCTACAAGAGAAGTGAAAATACTCACCAATTGGCACAAGCGTCGACGTCGACGGCGTAAGCCACGAGCGCTCTCTTCGGCATGATGTAAAGGGATTGTTTATTATTTCAAGATGATCTAGGATGGTGTGTTGGGAGTATACGGTTGCTGTCAACGCATCATAAAGTTTGGCATACCATTTAAGTATTCGACTCTGCCCTGCCCAGCGACCACTATGAAGACTCGGATGACGAATTATTTGGAGCATACTCAGGGAACCCCTCCGTTGGGGGAGCCCCCGGACAGGAATCCTCTGAAGCAAGAATCGGAGGAGCTCGCGCTCAAAGCCGCCCATCCACCTCGCGTTGATCCGACACTCTGCCCCAGCTCCCCACCCTACATTAGCGCACCACACGCCAAATCCCGACGCATATTGTAGATTATAGATTACAGCTCCGCGCCCCACCCCGGTTATTATACATGATTGCCGACCAGGGTGGTCAGCAAAAGCACAAATTAGTCAAGATCTGCGACACTTGCATTGTGTCGTGGCGACCACCCAATTCACCTCCAAGGAGCTCATGGCCAACTCTACGTGAAGTGGAGCAAACACGACCATAGTGCATCCGCAATGGAAGGGTCACTGTCTTTTGCTGGACGCCAGATTGCTGTTACTGTCAGTCGACTGTCAAACTCTTCTCTTCCCGATACGATCTATGTTTTACTGACATTGTCCAAGGGGGCCTGCTCCGGGATTGGCCTGGCCTTGACTCGGACGCTCGTTGCGCTTGGTGCAGTCGTCTATGGTGCGGATATTGCTTCCCAGGCGCCGCAAGAAATCGCAAGCCTTGAAAATGTTCACTTTACATTTCAATGCGATGTGACAGATCGGCAGGCTTGTAAAAGCTTTCTGGACTCTATACCAGGGAGATTGGATGGGGTTGTCAATTGCGCTGGTACTTCGGGCTGGGAGGGCAAAATTGGTACCGATGCAGTCTATCAGAAGACGATGGATATCAATGTTACGGGAACTTGGAATATGGCTACTGAGGCGCTGCAACGGATGTCTCTCCAGGAAGATATTGAGGGTCTAGGCGTGCTTCCGGGCTCAGTTCGCAGCATAGGCCAAGGATCAATCGTCAATGTCGGAAGCGGTGCTTCTCTGCGCGGTGTTGCAGGCCTCGCAGCGTATACCGACTCGAAACATGCTGTCCTAGGCCTCACCCGTTCGTGGGCTCGTGATTTCCCCAGACTACGTGTCAATTTAGTTGCTCCAGGTCAGCATAAGTATTCAAAATAACCTATGTGTGCTTGGCCATCTGCTAACCTCGGCCCAGGTGCAACTGATACTCCATTGGCGGAGGCTTGTGTAGCCGGGGCACCTAAGGACGATCCGAATGTGAATATTGGGAAGGCACAGATTGATGCTATACCAAAGGGAAGAATGGCTTATGCGACAGACGTCGCCGACGCCATCGTTTTTCTCCTCTCAGACTGGTCCAGCTTCATAACAGGTCAATGTTTACCAGTCAATGGTGGGAATTTCTAGTACACACGCAATGTTTACATTGAGTAATTCTTTGCAGTCACTATATTGGGTGTAGCTCTTGGAGCGATTAAGTGCTGCATGCCGAGATGAATAAGTTCATAACCGCACGAGTTTCGATTCATTGGCAATCAGAATGAATTAGAGCCTGACAGACAATGACAGATCCCTGATGCAACAAACGATCTGAGCAAGTTGAGTGATATCTGGCCAAGACCTAGAACTAGATTGGTACATTATGAATCCATGGAAGTAAGGATGTAATGAGGTGGCAGCCCGAAAGGCATGGCTTATCAATGATCGAGGAGATTACGAGTAATTTTGATCAATTGCCCCAGGTCGACGGAGAGATTCTGCCACAAATCTACCCAATCATTCACTACTAGTTGAACAAACTATCTGTCCTTCCATTTCCGCATATACAAAGACGAATCACATTGCGAAACGATGGTGAATTCGCGTATCAGGCCTCTGGTGAACTAGGTATCGCAATGGGACTCATGTCGGCAATAGGCGCCGTTGCGGACAATAACCGGCCCCACAATGGTTCGGATAAAGCCGCGCAGAAAACAAGTGGCAAACAGGCATATATTCGCAAAGTTGGTCTATACCTAAATCCACCAGGGCTCAGGAGACAAATTTGGAACTCTTTATGTTATATGTGACTCACTGGTAGATGTCGCTGATATTGTAACTCATCTGTTGTGGATTGTAAGAATGGACAACGACACAAAGGTTGCCATCGTTACAGGTGCTGCCGTAAGTGCGTGACTAATACATTATCCCAAGTCATGTGTGCTAATGCTTGATTGAGTCCGGTATTGGCAAGGCACTGGCGACTCATCTAGTAGCGGAAGGTTGGCGCGTGGCATGCTGCGACCTTCAGCGTCAAGCTGGCAGTGCCGTGGCAGCGGACCTTGGAAGCAATGCAGCCTTTTTCGAATTGGATGTCACGAGTTATAGCGACCAGGCCAAGGTCTTCAGCCAAGTCTGGGAGAGATGGGGTAGGCTGGATGCTCTTCTGGCTAACGCCGGCCACTCAGACCGGGGATCCATATACATCCTCGACCATCGAGGCAAGACAGAGATCCCCCCTGAGCCAGCCCTCAAGTCCATAAAAGCATGCTACGAAAGTCTCCTCTACGGTGTGCAGCTTGCCATTCATTTCATGAGAATGAATTCAACGCCCGGTGGCTCCGTTGTTACGACATCGACTATCGCCTCCGTCCATCCACATCAAACATTTCCCGAGTACTGCGGAGCCAAGGCGGCAGTGAGTGCCAAGTTCCACGCTCACAAGACCTTCTCGCTGAATGTTTGAGCAGGTCAATCAATTTGTTCGGACTGCAGCGCCTATTCTAAAATTGGTAAGCCGACTCTGTTCAGTTATGATCCATCTATTGGCTATGCTAATTGAGTCTGGCTGAGCAAGAAAGATAATATTTCCCTAAATGCTGTGTTGCCAGGTATCGTTATAACAGGGGCGGTACCTCAATCTTCTATTGATGCTACCAAGCCGGAACAGTAAGCTCCATCAACATGCTAGTTTAGATGGGGTCTCCAATTCATCATTAACTAATCAGAATATTAGCATAACGCCAGTAAAGACCGTCGTTGATGCCTACAACATTTGTCTTGCCCAGCCAGACATGATTGGTCAACTTATCGAATGCTCAACAGATAAACACTTTTTCCACCCCTTGCCGGAACTGGCCAACGGCGAAGCAACCAAGCGAGCTTGTACAGTCTGGGAACCGCTCTTTGAGCAGAAGCACCACGAAAAGTCAGGATTACCAGATGCCATCCCATAAATATCATTTGCAACCAAGGACTGAGGCCCTTTCGCGAACTACACATGTGCTGCTCCATAATTCAGGTGACGGAATCTACTTTGTCTGCATGCAGTGTTCCTGTCTTCCGTAACTTGATTATTCAATGACCTCGGAAAGTACCAACTAAGCTTTGGTCGAGAGGCGCTTGAAGTGACGTTGAAAGCGAATTTTGTGGGTCGTTGTTGGTCTGTGGTATAGTAAAGTCGGTATCCACAGTAATGCATGTGGATACTACTAAGTATTCCCATGCATTCGTCCAACATGAAGCATTGTTCTACAAGAAGTCCCATAAGATGACCCGTACGAGTCCTGCTATAACTCATACTCGCTGCTTATCGACTCCTTACACTTCATGAGAAGGATATTACAGTCCATATACGGGGTCATATTGGTGCTAGCTTTAAGAAGAACACCAACATGGCATCAGATGATGATTTCTGGCGGTGGCTGCTTTATACACGTCCATCTTTTGTTACGACCTATGACAAAAAGGTCGATTTCATCTACCAGACTTCAAAGGAATTCCTGATGGCATCAACTTCAAAGACCGATGCAATGAAAAGACTTGGCATCACTCAATGGATGAATACACAAGACAAGGTCCACTCCACGATGGCTGAGAGATATATTTCTTGTTTTGTTCCTCAAGCGGATTGTGAGCCTAGACTTGGACTGGCAGGTAGGCAGTTACTTTTCGAACCACAACAACTACATTGTTGCCTTGTTTCCTAATATGTCAGTCTTTTCGGCGGGTTGCTCAATTGAGTTCCTTCCGAGACCTTGAGTTCCATAGATCAATCAGCTTTCACGGACCATGACTTGGTGCTCGATCGCGCCAATATGACTAATAGTCAAAGAAAATGTCATTTCCAGCCTTGTGAAGAGAACTTCGTTTTCCCCTGTACTCCTTCCATAACTTGACCATTCCCTCAACCTCGTCATCGAGCGAATCTACATCCTCGAAGACATCCCCTATGCCACGGAAGTGGTGCTGCCTGTCTGAATACTTTCAATATCTTTTACTTTCCATTTTGCGTACGTGCGGCATACAAATCAAGTCGACATAAACAGAAGATGTATATGCAGAATGCAGCTGACGGACGAAAAGATATGCAGCCCCGAAAAGTTCACATTGTCCTGGCGACTCAATACAGCGCCCATAATTGCCAATCCAGTCGCAAACCTGCAAACATTTATTATGTCGATGAAATAAAAATAAAAAAAATAAAAAATCGAATCCTGAAAAGAAATACAGTGCCCGTAGTCCTTGAACCACTTGGATTGTGCCGAAACGCTGCCCGAGCGTTTCTATGCCACCCAGCCTGAATACGCAAAGCATCACCAAGGACACAAATACTCCGTGATACGACCAGTATCCAAAATAAAGAACAAATTTAAAAATGTTCTACATCTACAGAAAGAATAAATGAACAAACAGACTCAATAAGCCCTTCCCGATATGTCACTCGAAGGGTGCCACACTAATCAGCCACACTGTGGCGCATCACTCTGTTAACGAAGCCATAAACAAGGGCAAAGATGAGGTGGTGATTTTCTCACTGTCGAACTATGCATTTGAGATTGCTAAAGCATTTGCACGCAGGGATATGGGCGGTGCTTTTATTGTGTCGGGATGGTGGCTGGCGTTGGGTTGGGGGGGGGTTGTTGAGCCATTTGGCCTTGGGCCTCAGTAGTAAAACTTGACTCACGTTCTGTCAGTGTTGTCAATTGGCCAGAGAGAGCATAATGTACAGGACAAGAAAAACGATCTCATATGCCTTGCTAAAAGCGCATACCTGAGTAACGAGGGCAAATGATCGGCGAGCCCATTCTATTGGTATATTACAACTCGCATCCCCGTAGATAAATAAGGTTCCAGCTTATATCACTTCCTTCTCGCCAGGCCAGATTTTGATTCAAGCTCCAGTATATTCGATAATGTCAGATTGCCACTGTACGGGATCATCCGAGCTTTGGTGCAAATTAGACGCAGTTAGACTACCGCTTGATCAGGAACGGTGGCTGGCTCTGCGCTGCAGGTTCTGCGCAGGGCAAACCTTATCACCAAATTCGTCTATGACGGAGAGCACATTTCATGCTGATTATACCGTTTATTTGTTTTTTCGTCTTGGTTAGGCCATGTAGCCGGAAAGCGAAATCAAAATCCAAGTCTTGATCTAATGCAATGGTCGGTGTATCGAATGCCTGCCAACTCCCTGCTCAAATCCAGAAGATTGATACTGCGAGGTCCGTGATTCTCGCCACCATGAGCGATATGCGAACCAATCCAAAGTCTCTTTGATGATGGTCCAAACAAGACTCAAATTCGATTCGTCGTCTAGGGTATCATATATATGCATACGCAATGCAAAAATTCAGGCCGCAGCCGTCCTGGCTCGCTGTAACCCTTCAATGCTGCTTCTTTCAATTTCTGGCGACCACGTGCGATCGCAAGCCGGGTCCTTCTCTTCTTACGACAGTGTTGCCTCCACACCGCTAGCCTTCACGACTCCATCTTTGCCGTTCTGGGCAGGCATGGCAATGGCGCGTCCCTGTGCCTTTTCGGTCAAGGCAACAAGTTCCTCTAGCATGCGTTCACGGACCGTCCGGGCGAGGTCGTCGACGTCGGCAGCCGTCAGGCCGGTGGTAGGGATCGGATCGAGCACTAGTTGCGTTAGCGAGTCGAATCAAGTTTGCTGGGGTCAATATTCAAACCGTACCTTTGCAGGGGACTTTGCCTGACTTGAAGGTGAAGTTCTTCAAGTAGAGGACATGCGAGTAGTTGGCGACCACGACTGGGACAATAGGGACGCCAGCCTGGACGGCAAGGTGGAAAGCGCCCTTCTTGAAGGGCAAGAGTACAGGGTCCTTGGCGTAGCTCCGGGTTCCCTCGGGGAACATGTACACGCTTTGCTTACGCGATCGGATCTCTTCGGCGGCACCACTCATGGCTTGCCTGGCGTCCTTTGAGTTCTTGCGGTCAATGAAGACGGTTCCGCTCAGGGTCATGAACCAGCCCAGGAACGGCCAGTTCTTGAGCGACTTCTTGGCGGTGACACTGCAGTACTTGGGGAACATGCAGCCGAGCATGAGGACGTCGAGTTCGGTCTGGTGGTTGCCGATGAAGACGGCGGGTCGGACTTTCTCGAGGTGGTGCTCGGGGTCGCTGATTTCAAAGGTGATGCCGGTAGTGGCGGCCATGACATACTTGAAGGCGCGCGCCGTGGTCCACTGCGCAATCTGCTGCTTGCCCACGAGGCGCAGTGCTATCGAAGCCAGCACACCGTAGATTGCGCATACCACCAGCGCCATGTAAGAGGCGAGCGAACGAGCCACAAAGCCCGCCTTGGGCACGACGACGGACAGCATGTAGAAGGCAATGGTGAGGGCAACTTGGCCGCCGATGAAGTAGGAAAGATAGGTAAGGAATGCCATCTTGCCAGAGGGGATCTGGTTCGTGAGTGTCGGCCGTGTGGCAGTAATATAATGCAAAGAAGTGAACGCGACGTCACGCTCAAGCAAAGTTATTGCATGTGAGAGAGCTGATCGGTGGTCGCTACTAAATCGCTGCTGGATCGAGCGCGGGCGCGGGCGGGCTGAAGTGGAAGAGTGAGAGGGAAAGTAGGTGTTGTACTACCTAAGACACTTTGTAATTATTTTTTTGGGCGAATGCGGTGAGGCTTCTTTCAATTTGGAGGGGGGTCAGTGAAAAAAAAAAACATGTGGTTTCTTTCCTACCACCCACTGAATGATTGCCCGTTCATTCCATTTTCCCTCGCACCCAACCCAACCCACCAGGAACCCACCCCACATTCTCCAAAGCCGATCGCCTCTCACCGACCGCGGCATCGGTTCTGATTTGTTGAGGGGCAGACAGACGGTGGGAAGCGAACGCGGGTCATTGGGTCGGCTTTGGCTTCCCGCCTGACAGGGTCAATGTGACCCACTGCAGCAACTCTAAAAAAGAAAGAAAAATTCCCATCATTTAGAGTGATGCTAGCAGCGCTATTTCACCTCAGCTAGCAGCGCTATATACCACCATATCCCGTAATATGCGTCTGCATAGAGCCCGCTATTATCTTATATTTCAAATTCTAGTTACTGGAAATAGCTTTAGATTCGATTTTTATTTACCTAGGTATCTTAAGCCTTTGCGCAGTGCTATAGCTGCTGTAAATAGCTATTGTATTTATCGTTATTTTTAACGACGAGGGCCTATTTAAAAAGTAGATACCTAATAGGTAATTAAGCCAATTACTCACGATGCAACGCATAAATTAGTTTCCTTCGAAAAAAGCCTTATGATTTCTCGCTATTTTCCTATATATTTACGGCGGGCTGTATGCAGGTGCAGATAACGGGATATGGTGATATATAGCGCTGCTAACCGAGGTGACATAGCGCTGTTAGCATTACTCATCATTTATTAGGTGGTGGTACTACGTAGGTATTTATTAGCACTGTCGTTACTCGCGTCCGGTTACTAACAATACTGTCGGCCAACCAACTGTACATGAATTACTTGATGACCCAATAGCCATGGCCTTTTACCAAATAAATATTTTATATTCGTTTACCCTATCCCCTCTTGTTCTTCTTCTTTTCTTTTTCGACTTTCAAGGTTCGAAAATATCTGGGCGGCTCCGTGTTATGGACTAACAAGTTGGTTACACATGATGCACGATATCGTTTGCTTGTCAATTGATTCCCAGCATGATTATGAACATTGTGTCGCTTGAGTTCATGTATCTTGTTGCCCTCTTATCTTCTACAGTGGACGAACTGCTGCTTGGATACCTAGCAAATGAAAACTCAAGCCACATCTAGGAGCATAGGTAGTCATCATAAACGGCATCCCCCGCAGCGACATAATCAGAGTGAAGGCGAATAAGCTCAAATTTGACTTGCCAATCGTCCGTCCAATCACTCTTTGGGATATGTCAGAGTGTTGTATCGTAAGCGTTGCAACCATCATTTCCGAATTCAACCTTTACATAATCCTTTATTCACAGAGTACGAGGAGTATCAATTGGCGTCCATTCGCTGCCAGTTCCTGTAAATCACTCATGCCTGGAGCCTTTTGGATATTAGATGTCTTGGAGTGATGGCTAAGACTTCCATACTTCTATATTACCTGTAATGAAATGAAGTGTAATACTATTTGCCGGAAAAGTCAGTCACTATATACTCACATTCATATAGCCATGCAAACTCCTGGTGAATTATAACACAGCCTAACAAAGATATAATACATCGCCTGATGACTTTGTAGTAAAAATAAGACCGTTGGCAAGCTTTAGGAGATGACGTGAAATTTGAACTGATTCAGCTTCTTACCAGTAGGAATGCATGCATAGATCATGGCAATAGACCATATACAGCGAGAATATTATAATCACTGCAGTTCCGCCGTGCGCTTACGATGGATTAATCATAGCCGCATGAACAAAAGAATCACCGATTGCTCAGTGACGTTCAGGTTTTGTAACGCATTCACGCCAGTTGATGCGTTATTCAATTCTGCTCACCCGATGGCAACGAGTATAAAAGTGCAGGCAAATGTAAATTACAAGAAATGCCCAGTTCTACTTCTTCACGTTACCGTCTATCACAAGCGTTCTACTCATCACAACACCTCACCGATTAAATATCTTGTACCAACGAGACTTTGAAGGCAATACTCGAAGAAGAAACTTGAGTTGCCAGAAGATGTGTGGCATATTGACCTGGGCCTTAATGTGCGATTACCCCTACCATGAGCACAATGATGGAAGAACACCAAGAGAATGGGGTCTCTACTGGCATCAAGAGGCCATCTATCGAGAGAATATCGACAGGAATGGCAAGAAAGTCGTATGCAACGCAACAGATGCAACCACAATAGATTGTCCCAACAGGTGGCCGCGCAACTCGCAAGGCAATCCTGGCACCGACGACAGCAGAATCCTGTACCAAACATGTGATGACTGTAAGAGAAAGATGAGAGACAAAGAGAGGAGTCAATCACGCCAGAGGAACCGATCACGCCGGAGGTAATCCCTTTGCTCATTAGAGATATAAGCAAAGAGTAGCAGCACAGCGGGCTAGCGAGATCGTCTTGCGAGGGAGAGTCGGAGAAGGCACTAGAGGTGGCAAGAGTCAGTCCATGGAAGCAGCATCGGACAATCTTCCATAGATAGAGAGGCGCGCATGCGAATTATCAAGATTTCATCAACAAATGGGCGAAAGAAAGAACGAGTGATCCATGACGACAGTCCACCTTCAAGACCGTAGCTATCAATGATGAGTCCGTGGCACCACATCAATATCAAGAATAACAACAAGTCTGACAATTTCGAATTACTTTATGCTCATTCATACTGCCTTTCCATAAATTACCCCGAGGTATTGTTTCCTTGACCCGCCAAGTCGTCGACTTGATATTATAGACCGGTCAACGCTGGCGACAATTACGACATTGGCAAGATGTGCGCCGTGATTGCCTACCGAGCCATTTGTCCGGATTGCGGAAAGAGAAATGGGACTGATAAGAACAGAAATGTCATCCCGATAAAACTTGTCCACGAACAATATGCATACGCTCACCCAACAGAGATCCCACTTACTGCCCCATGCGATGCAGGCTTTGATGTCGGCACGTTGGACTGTCCGAATTCATGGCCTCGCAGGCCGTCCGATGGCTTGATTGGCTTCGACGATGACAAAGTGACCGAACGTAGGTGTCAACGTTATCTGCGTGCACGACATCGAAAGCTGCTCGATGAGCGAACCCGCCGGAGGGAAAATATCGGGCGGCAACAACTACAGCAAATACAGCGACAGACTTTTGCACAGGACACACTTTTCGTGCCAGAAGAAGAGCAGCAGCAGGAGCGAGAGCTGATCGAGGAAGAGCAGCAGCAACAAGAGATGACCGAGGAACAACAACAACAACAACAACAACAACAAGAACAGTGGCAACAAGAACGTATTTTGAAACTACAAGAGCTGCAGCAAAAGGTTGACCTACAATCGTGGCAAGACAGAGAAGTGTCGGATATTCTAGAAATACAAGAGCTAGAGGAAAATATTGCAGCGTACAAACAGGCACGGCAGCAAGCACAAGCGAGGCAACAGAAACGGCAACATGCACTACAACAGGTACTACAGATACTGCAACAGGTAAAAGCACAACAACAATTACGGCAACAGCAGAGGAAGCTTGATCCCAGACAACAAGCTCAGTATCAGCAGGAACAGATTGTAAGACTACGCCAGTTGGAGCAAAAGCTCGCGCAACAACCACCTTCAGAGAGACAGTTCTCGGACATGGTGGAAATAACGAAGCTACAGAGAATTATTCAGATATACAATAAAACGCATCTACAGGAACCAGTGATGGTCGCGCCAATGATTGTTGCGCCAAAGATGGTTGCGCCAAAGATGGGTGTACCAAAGGTGACTGACCCAATGGCAGTTTCGTCAAAGGTGTACCAATGGCTGGTGGCAGTTCCAGATACGCCAGAGACTCCGGAATCATTCGAAGAGTATCAGAAGCAAGTGGAAGCCATAGACGCGGAGGGCGACACCATTCACTTCACAGGCGATACTTGGGCTGAAATGTTTGTGACCCCAGATGCAATATTGGATCAATAATCCGATAGCCATCATAGTTCTACAACAACGGGGCCCTAGAGAAGGTGCGATGAAGCACAGGAAACTCAGAAACACTTATCAATATACATTCTCTTCATTGATGATTCTACATCAGGGTACAGTTGTATGATAGCTCAGATGGTCTCATTCCGACCCAATAATGAAATCAAGTGTCATAGTTCGATGGAAGACTCTTATCGATGTTTGGATGTGCGCTCCCTACACCCACTTGTCCTCCAGCTTGACGCTTTCTGTGGCGGGATGGTGGTCATGGGCTACCAACAGATTTCGCATTCTCGAGCATTCTTTAGACAATCGAATTTTTGCATCCTTTTGGGTATCTGTGTTACATAGTAATCTGTGTGTTGCGCTCAATAGGAAGCACATGTGTCTTATTCTATTGCAGTATGAAGTACTATGTTTCGAATGTATGTGGACTTTATTCATCATGTTGCGAGTAAATTGAAGAAGTGTCGTAGTCATACGTCCGGGGGTCCTGACTCATCACGTACTGCACCGTTCTATCTCCCTCCTGAGCTGTCCATTGTGATTGACTGTCCCATCTGGACCGATCATCCACATTGTGTCTCTGCTGCTTTCCAGGTTTCACTTTTCCGGCGCCGCTGGGCCGCGTCAACTGTGTGCGAATGCCGTTCTTGTCAACCTTTTCCACCCAGGCTCTAGTCGATCCCTTCTTGCGGACATAGTAGAGACCCGGCCGGCGCTCCGCTTTGGTGTTCCGTACGGCCGTCTTTGTGCGAAGCGTCGGTTGATAATAATCGGTCGTCGCTGCGTACGAGCTGTTCCAGTCGGTACCTTCTGATTGTAACTTTGACGTGCCATCATTTCTGGAATTACACGTCTTCAACAAAAGCTTCGCGAAGGCGGAGCGCAGCGTGCTGATGGCCTTCATGGTCGAGTTTCTAATGATAGGACGGTGTGGGCAGTTGTGGTATCTACGTATGCTGGAATTATATTCTCATTTGTCACGACGGGGAACAGTCGTCCAATCGAGCCAAGAGTCTTCTCGAAACAACTTTCGGAGACATTGCATGTGGAAGCCGTGTCAATTTAAGATGTATCTGAGCACCCGAACAAGAGCCTTGTCACTTTGACACAATGCTTCCTCTTTGTCCCGGGACCATTGTCACACAATTGCTGTGAATCTTTCATGGAAAGCTATCAAAGAAAGGCATGAATTGCTTCCGTCTTGTTGGAAGGACCAATATTGATCCTGGCTCTAGGTACAGAGTAGCGCTGATAGAAATTTAGTGGAAGGACATGGTTAGAATCACTCCTATTATGAGACCACTCTATAATTTTCTATCTACTATACAAAATCAATTGTCTCGATAATAGTGATTGTGCTTGGAAGAAAAAGAGAAACTATGCGTAGCTCGAATGCATGATGGAAAGTTGTGCGTTTAATTTCGCTATGGACTCTCCAGCACGCTGGGCCATAACTTCTGGGCCATTTGATAGTTTCTCTGTTTCGCTGAGGAATCCTTCCAAAGAAACCCATCCTTCCCATCCATAGTCCAATAACCAGGTCTTGGCAATTTCCACTACTGGAAAGTACCCAGGCGATTCGAGGGGAAAGGGTCTGAGAGTTCTTGACCACGCCAGCCGAGGGTCTCGTACTTCAAGGCCCTCGAGTAGAGGAGAGTCGTTCGTTATAGGCGGGTCGAGCCTCGAAGCGTCGGATAACTGTATGTATAAAATCTTCTCTTTCGGGCACTTTTGCAGAAATTCCTCCAGTGATTTTGCCACATTCTCCGTGGCATTCGGGAGTACGCCGCTAGGATCAGAAGGATCGCCCCAGATGCGGGCGTGAATATGGAATGAGTCGAGACAGAGACCAAAGTTGGCTCGGTCGACAGCTTGGACGATGCGGAGGCTGTCTTGCCAGAGTGCGTTGTGCTGGGCAAAGGCAACGGCTTCATAGGCAATCTTCAACCCGTGCGCCGCAGCCGCGTCGGCAAGCACCTGGAGTTCGGGCACAATCACGGCCTCATCTCCAGTGGTTCCATCAAGGAATTGGGACGGCATCTGTACGATGCTAGTGCCGACCGCTACGGCCACTTCGAACCATTCTTCCGCTTTCGTGAGTCGTTCCCGGAGCGATGTATCACGATTCCCTTCAAAATTCTTGAATGGGTTCAGGGTAAGTATCTCGAGCGACAGCCTTTGACTGAGCTCTTTGATTTGTTTCGCAGATTCCAGCAGGGGATGGTCATGGCTTGAGGCATGGGCTGCCAGGTCATTAAAAACAAGCTCGATTCCCGAGAAGTGGTTGTCTTTGGCGGCCTGTAGTTTTCGTTCTAGAGAATGTGATGAATGTTTACCAAGGGACACTGAGGCAACAGCCCACTTGTTGGCGAGTTTCGGGCCCATGATGAAGTTGAATGGACTACGAAGCTCTGTATGTTTTTTTTTGCAATTGTGAACCAGGACCCAGTCTCACACCAAGCAGTTCATTGATACATAAGATTTTGATAGTTACGCTGCTAATTACCGTGCTATTGCCACGGTTAATGGAGATGGATCGGCTAAAGTCTCTGCCTATACATTTAATTCCTCGTGTCCTCGTTCCCCTATATGATGGAACCTGGTATAAGAGGAGGAAGTGGGGTACAGATGGGCGTCGTCAGCCCTTGCAACCAGAGAGACAAGTGGATATTTCCCATACTGTGCTGGGTATGATTTGGGGTAGACACACTAGATCCTCCTGGGGTCAAATGTATTTACGACCGAGCGAATAGCAGTTGATGCATTACAGGTTAATCAATTACTGACTCATTCTGCATAGAGTTACTCGTCTAGCTTTAGAAACTAACGCAGCCACCATCAATTTTCAAGAAACCGCCTGTCATGAATTTGGAGTCATTACTCGCCAGGAAGGCAACAACCCCGGAGATATCATCCACCTCTGCAAATCTGCCCAACGGCATATTCCGGCGGAGTTCCTCCAACTTCTCCTCACTCCAAGTCGCTCGGAACATGGGGGTATCTACTCCACTAGGATGTATCGTATTGACCCGAATACCGTGCTGGCCCAATTCAGACGCAGCTGTCAGTGCTAACCCGCGTAGGGCAAACTTGGACCCTGAATAGAGGATGAGACCTGGCGTTCCTCTTAGCCCGGCAATGGAGGAAGTCAGAATAATACTTCCTCCATTTCCAAGATCTCTCATGGCTTTACCGCTGTGTTTGATGCCAAGAAACGCTGTATAACAAGAAGTCAGTATGATATGGGAACAGTGATCCACTCATTGGGGGCAGGATGCCAAACCTGACTTGACGTTCACCTCCATGATTTTGTCATAGCTCTCCACGGTGGTATCAAAGATACTCGTGGACGAGTAACTGATCCCTGCATTTAAAAATGCACAATCGAAACGGCCAAATTTGTCCACCGTCAATTTTGTGAAATCCTCAACCTCCTTCTCCTTCGTGATATCGGCACAGATTGTCAAAATTCTCGAGTCCAGCAGATCATCAGGTGCAACCAAGGGCTGAAGCTTGGATTTGGCCGATTCCAGAGCTTCGGAGCTGATGTCCACCAGGCTCAGGCTGGCACCCTCTTGTAAGAGTCGAGACGCCGTGGCCAGACCAATGGAGCCACCTGCGCCAGTGATCAATACAACTTTTCCAATTAGTCTCTGACTATGGCTCTGAGCTGGCAGCAGCGCCGATCGCACTTCGTTGACGCTCATGTTTGCTTGGTTGTTTCGTTTGGCTGGTGTGTACCGTCCTTGTTGTTTTCTGTTCTCACGTTGACAGACACCTTTTTCTATACAACTTCGGGGCTGTTGCCCGAAGATCGGCTTTCTCTTTATCCAACCTAATACTGCGCGCAGTAAATAGTCCCATACTACCTGTAATAATGTCATTCCCCACCATTACCCCCCCCACGATGCCATTATACTGGGGTTTAGTGGGCAGCGATCAGCCCTCTAAGATCCCCATGGGGTAAACTAGGGTAAACTACCTGGGCGGCGGGTTCAAAGCTGCAAACTAAAAGGTAAAGTCTTTATCCAAGCAAATCAAATCACGATCCGAAAACCAGCCCTACCGTAGCGAATATTCCGCTGGTTATGGTGCCAAGGGGGACATATGAAGCACAGTGTTGTAGTGCATGGCCACGTCCATTTGGATTGCTTCTCATGAAATGATGATTATATCTACGATGCCTACGCAAGTTGAACATATGGCCACTTTTGGACTGTGTCTTTCTTTGGTCCAGACATCTGTTCTTACTTGGTTGTTTGTCAATCCAAATTCTTGATTACCAGCGTAAAGCTATACTCTGAAGTTTTGATACTTCAAGCAGCCAGTATTGTGAGAGCTAGATTGTGCTTACCCATCAAGATGAAGAACCCGCTTGCCAGCCTCCATCAGGGTGGCGACACCTCAGATATCCCTTCAGAGGTTTATGGATATCGCCCTTATCTGCTTGCCATTTCGGCGGCATGGGTGAGCGTTGCCCACAGCATTGAGCCTATGTCTCATAATGTATCAATGTGGCTGGAACTAACATAGATCACACTCAGGCATCAGCAATGTATGGTTATGATTCGGCCTTTATCGGCGGAACATTGAGTCTCTCTTCCTTCAAACACGCATTTGGTCTCGATACGGTCTCATCGGCTGAGCTCACTGCGCTCTCATCACACATCGTGTCTACGTTTCAAGCTGGGGCATTCTTTGGCTGCATCATTGGATTCTTCACCGCCGAGCGCTTCGGCAGGAAGCCCATCATCATGGCCTCGGGCGTTGTCTTCATCATTGGAGTCATCCTCCAGATGATTGGCATGATTGGTCTGCTCTATGCCGGTCGTGTCCTCACAGGTTTGGCCATTGGTGCCAGCAGCACCCTCCTACCGATTTACATTGCCGAGTGCTCGCCCGCGCTTATTCGAGGTCGACTGGTCGGCATTTTCGAGATTATGCTGCAGATTGCCTTGGTCTTTGGCTTCTGGGTCAACTATGGTGTCAACCGAAACATCTCGTCAGAAGGCACATCCCCGTGGCCGTCCAGTTCATCCCTGCCGGACTGCTCCTCATTTCCATGCCCTTCATCATTGAGTCGCCCAGGTGGTTGGTATCAGCAAACCGGATTGAGAAGGCCAAAAAGGCCTTGTGCTGGGTTCGAAATTTGCCTGAGAATCATCCATACATCCAACAAGAGCTCAACGAGATCCAAGCTTCCGTAAACCACGAACTCGAGGCATCTGGCGGCCGCCGTTCGACGACTCAGATCTTTCGCGAGCTTGTTGCACCCGGCGTACGTGGCAGAGCTGCCGTGAGTGTCCTTCTCATGTTGCTTCAGAACTTGACTGGTATCAATGCAATCAACTATGTAAGTCGTCTTGAGTATGATTTGTTGCAAAAGAGATTCTACTTGATCTCGTTCGCATAAATGTTCTAGGATTACTGACTCATTTTGAACACAGTATTCGCCCACGATCCTCAAGTCTATTGGCTTCTCAGGAACAAGTGTCAATCTACTCGCAACCGGTGTATATGGCCTCGTCAAAATGTTCACAACAGTCATCTTCATGGTTTTTATCGTGGACCGCTTCGGACGACGTCTTCCCCTGCTAGTAGGTGCCATAGGCGCCATGGTCGCCATGTACTATCTGGCCGGCTATTCGAAGCTCTCGGGCTCATTCAGTGGAACCGCCCCTGCTGACTCGGGAAGTCAGGCCGCGCTTGCCATGATTTATATTTACGCCATATTCTATGGATTCTCCTGGAATGGCATCCCTTGGATCTTTGCTTCCGAGGTCCTTCCCAACCGTGTCCGTACTTTGGGCATGATGTGTGCGGTGTGCATGCAATGGTTGGCTCAATTCATCGTGGTGTACAGTCTGCCTTATATGGTGGCACGGATTACTTACGGAACCTTTATCTTTTTCGGTTCATGTACGGTCGTGGCCTTTTTCTTTGCCTTTTTCTTTGTTCCCGAGACCAAGGGTGTACCACTCGAGGATATGGACCTCATCTTTGGTGTAGGCGCGCCCACCTTTGCCATCCCAGCAAGGAAGAGATACGAGGAGTCCAGATCCGCCGGGCTCGGCGCTTTGCAGATGGGGGAGATTGAGAAACCAGGAACAGAGCATGTAGAGGTCTAGATCAAGCAGTAATCGCGGATGTATAGATGGCTTTCAGAGATGGAAAGTCCATGGTGATGAATACTTCCAATGGTTTGCGGGATGACATACTTTCAAAGCACGGACAAGAAGGCAACGCTTAAAGTGATAATACCACCAGATCGACTGCACGTTGATGAAGTAGCTGTTCCCAAAAGATACTACGAGATCAGCCTGCCTTCTCTTTCGTATCTTTGGTTGTTATTTCTGTCTCACGCCTTTCGCACCTTACCAGGCATCGCCATTGGTTATATTCCAAGATTGTTCCACTTGCAGAATCTCGTTTTCAAAACTTTTCTCTACTGCACTGATCAATTTTCAGCGAAGCCGCACTGGATGCCTTCCAGATGCTTGAATTTGTGAGGAATAATAGCCAATGACCAGCATGCCTTGCGTATCCAACAGCCATTTGTAACCTTGTCAGACCATTCACTGGAGCTCACAGCAAAGAATGATTTACTGTGAAAGAATAGAGATGAATGCGATACAGAAATATGAATGTGTTTCCGTGTTTGCAAAATCTTCCCATCAATGACACACGAGACCCCAAGTGTTGTCAATAAACACGAATATTCGGGGTTAACATAACTTTGGGCAGAGTGGAGTTATGCACGGCGGGGCATGTAGGAGGCTTAGGTAATGGAAGTGGGTCCGTGCATCCCCGGGTACCGTCGTCATCGCTGGCTGGGGCTTGGGCTAAGCTCCAACCTCAAGGCACCCAACTGTGAGCTCCCCAACCAGACCTCAGGCATTTGCGACAAAAGATAACGGGGACAACACCGAGAGCTATTTTCTAGGTCATCGCCGACAATCTGAGTGCCTACAAAACGAGGATGCTACGTCAATGATCACAACCTCGTCTCTTCTACTCCAGTCGATTGCCGGTACCTGTGCAACCGCCGTCCCGACCTCTTCCCCTCCCCCGCCTTCATCCGGCTTCGCCGTCGCCTTGCTTTGGCCGCAAGCCCTCTGCGATACTTGGACACGGTCGTGACTTGATTCACCCTGGGCTGTTGTCGCCAGCAGTCATTGTTAGCAATCGGCGCGTGACTGGCTCTGTTTGAAGCATATTTGCCGGCAAAATGTGGAACGACGAGGAAGACAACAATCCCTACGGCACCAGTTTTGACCGTCGGGATTCTATCACTTCTTCCTCAGCCAATCCCACATCGCCCATCTCACGAGAGTGTAAGTCCCTCCCCATGGCTCCCATGCGCGCAATCTCTTCATCGTATTGTGTTTTTGCTTTTTTTCGTTGAGGATACATAATGTGGCAATCAATAGCGTTGGATGACTCGCCGGATGAAGCTGATCCCGAGTGGGAATTTCTAGACCCTCGATACGAAGCACCGCACACTCCCTCTACCACCAGTGAGGAAGCACCACCACCGCAGCAACCGTTTGGGCAGGAATCCAGCGATGTCGACAGCGATGAGGAGTATGCCGCGCAAGCAAGAAGCCAGGTTCCTAGGAGGAAGCCTGGTGGCTATGACAGTCGCATCGAGCAGATCCTCTACGAGAATCCAGATCTGCCCATTCTGATCACAGACGCTGGAAAGAGCTTGGAGAGTGGCGGCAAATATATTGTCTATACTATCCGAACCGGAGTGAGTCTCGCATAACCGCCATGCACTCATTGGCCGCTGACCCTGTCTAACCATTACTAGGATCTCGAGGTGCGCAGACGGTATTCTGAGTTCGCCTCGCTACGAGATGCCCTCACAAGACTTCACCCTACTCTCATCATTCCTCCGATTCCAGAGAAGCATACCATGGCTGATTATGCCGCAAATCCTACGAATGCGAAGCAAGACCAGCAAATTATTGATCTACGGAAGCGCATGTTGGCAGTCTTTTTGAATCGGTGCCGGCGCATGGAGCAAGTCAGAAACGATGGTGTTTGGTGGCGGTTCCTTGACCCCAACGCAAGTTGGAGCGAGGTTCTCCATACCCACCCAGTCGCTTCCATTCCCAAGCAGGTTCTGAAGGCTCCGCCCTTGGACACGGCCAACCCTTCGGCAGCGCATTCCTATCTTCCTGTCCCTGCTGCATCTGCCAAGCTGAGAACCGGCTCGTCATCAGGTTCCGACGGCTCAGCGAGTGTCACCGGATCCCAAGTTGTTCGACGCTTCCCTCCCGACAGTCATGACTTGAACGAGCAGGAACTGGATCCGTACTTTATCAGTTTTGAGACATCGATCAAAGAGCTGGAGAAACTTTTGGCTGGACCTATGGAAAAGGTCAATCGCCGCACCCTCAACCATCTTACTTCGCTAGCGACTGATCTTTCGGACCTGGGCGCCAAGTACAATGCTTTTGCTCTATCGGAACCCTCTCAGACACTTGGTGCGGCTATCGAACGCATTGGGCAGGCTACCGATACATCGTATATCGCAACGGAGGAGTTGGCAGGATCTCTCGGCGCAAGTTTCGCCGAGCCCATGCGAGAGAATGCGCAATTTGCAAGCGTTGTGCGCAGTGTACTTCAGTATCGTTTGCTGAAGCGGGTACAGCAGGAGATGACGAACGATGATCTTCAGAAAAAGCGCGCTCTTCTCGACCAACTGGAGCGTAGTGAAGCTGAGGCCCAGAGAATTGAGCAATATCTGAGCAGCTCGCAACAAATCAGTGGCAACCGACAAGTGCAGGCTCCTCGGAGATCGTCGAGCATGCGGGAGACCTCGACGCAGCACCATAGAGAGGGCAGTGGAGAGGATACAGCATCCATCGACTCTGACTTTCCTCCTACCCATGGCGACTTTTCGTCAGCGCCCTCGGCCAGAGTTGGAGCACCAGAACACACCAGCCATGCTCCTGCCCACAAGAAGGCTCCGAGCAGCAACTCAATCACGAACAAGATTTTTGGTCCCATTCGACATGCTATTCAAGGGGTAGCAGATGTGGATCCAGAGAGAACACGACGTGACACAATCGGCAAGACCAAGGAAAGCATTGAGCAGCTCGAGCAGGCCCAAGTCGTGTCGGCTCAAGACGTCAAGGACGCAAGCTCCAGTATTCTCAAGGACCTGAAAAGATTCCAAGGCGAAAAGGAGGATGATTTGAAGCGATACATGGTGAGTGAAACGATGAACTATGCTGCCTCCTGGACTGTGCTGACGACCTCAAGCTTGCATACGCAAAAAGCCAAATCGAATGGGCACGCAAGTGCAAGGAGACTTGGGAGGAAGCAAAAGCTGAAGTTGACAAGATTGACGAGTCATAGATACCCGATCATTGTCAGAAAACAGTTTACGAGTTGGCATTTAATAATTCAGGTGGCAGCAAGCGTCAATATTGCATGACGTTACATACATACTACAATTCAGAAGGTGCATAATTCACTCGGAATGGCCACGACCTAGAGTACTGAGGATATGTCCGCCGGCGCCTCGTAGATGACTCGGGGAGATCCTTTAATAAAGCAAATTCATTCAGGCACTACTATTGAGAAAGATTCTGTGATGAGATGGCATTCGCCTTCTACTCTTACTTACAAGCCGCTAGGCGAATGCGAGTGGACGGGCCATGTTTGGATGCGAAAACAATGACGACGAGATTGTGAGCATATATTCTAAGCGATATGCGCATGGGATCGATTCTGATTCCTGTTTGCGCAGGTGGGTTGGGGAACTGCTTTTGGGAGTAATCATTGACTAATCGGTTCAACTCGGCCAGCTGCCAACACGGGGAAAAACTTGCTCACCCCGACTATGCCCGACCGCAAGTCGGTCTCCCATTGGGGATATGGTTTCCGGCAGTCGGTGGGCGGGATGGATGCGTAGAATAGGAAATTTACACGGCCGTTTTCCGTTTCCAACGAGCAAGGATCGCTGATTGGCTGTCCAGGCGAACCGCCTACCGACCCGCGGGCCAAGGAGTTGGAGTTATATTGAAATCTGGAGGAGAAAGGCCAAGACGAGGCAGCGTGGAGGTGTCGTCATGTGTCGGTGATGTGGCATTCCTGGAAAGAGAAAATTGGCGTGGTTGATTAATTCCGAGTCAATGAATATATGCAGTCAGACACCAGATTCAAGTTTGTATACACATATCACAATGGTACGAACGATTTTTTAGGTTAACATTCAACCTGTACCACAATCAATATCTAAACCTAGGTTATTGGAGTGGTTCAAGCTTGGCAGACTTGGGTGTGTCTGAGGGGTGATTGGACTGCCCTTACAACGTGGCCCGGTCGCTGGGCCGAAGATCTCGCTTGTGTACCTACAAATTAACTCACCACTCTACGGATAGTCGTGCATATATTATTTGCCCAGAGGGTATTATCTGGGCTGGCAGTGTTCCATTCTCCGATGCGATCGGTCTCGGAGCGGAGATATGCGAGCACAGATTCTTTCCAAGTGGTTATGTGATGCACTGTAATCAAGATCATATTGAATGTGTTCTGGTTTCCAAGCAGCAGAGGCTGGGTCAAAAGCAGAATGACTTGGATGTACTTTGGAAATACCTAGGTACACGGCGCGTGAACGTGGTAGTATTGTAAAAAGCTACATTCACGGCTAATGGTACGTTGGGTAGCATAGACAGGTTTACATAATGCCTCGTGCATGGTTATTCATTTAGGAATAATTTTCATCTTGCTCTGATCCATGGTGATCAAGGACGATTGTAATTCTTTTTTGACGAGATTGCGAATGGTGACCAATATGGTGCATGGTGACTAACATGGTGACTAAGGATGGCGGGAGGGTTTAATTGATGCGATTGCGCGTGTGTTTCACCGAGAGCGCGGTTGATGTTTCACTGGGTTGCCATTTTGACTAGCATTCATACAAGAACTGCAAGCACCTTGATCGATAATTTAGAAATAAGGATGCAGGGCAAAGGGAAAACTCGGCCTCCTCCCCAGCAGCTAACTAACTAGCAGCTGGACAGACGACCAGGACATGGACATGGAATTACGACGACAAAGAACATTGATTTGACCAACCATGGACAAGGTCCAGGTCTAACCATAATATCAGGGTTATTAGTTGAGTGTCAAGCATTTTTCGGGGGGCCAGATGAGGCTCCAAGCCCCAACCAATCGCTGAGATCTATTTGCGGAACGGAGAGAAAGTGCCGCGCCCACATTGCCGCTAGTGGGATTGCGACACCAGATGCATCGCCTCTTTTGGTCTTTGCTCTATCTGTCTCTGTCCCTTTCTCATATTGTTTGCAGATCCAAAAGTCCAATGAAATCTGCAGTCCCTCTTCCGAGTGCCCGGTCAGGCTGCCTGAGGTTTGACTTTGTTCCGGCAGTTTTATTGAAAATGGTGCCATCGCAATCTGTGCCTATTAAGTACATACCTTACTCGGGTCTAGATTTTTCGCCGCGTCAAGGTATCAATGGTGGTTAGGCTTCGAAACGTAAAGGAAGAAAATTCCAACGTAGCAGCAGTTGGCAGCCAAGTCAGCCTCAACGAGCCATCGTCTAACCCGAACCAAAATGTCTTGGGTGGGTATCGCAGAGGCTGAAGAAGACTCCGCCGCAGTTGACGCTACGACTCGGCACATCACGACCGACTGACTCCTCTCTAAACTCCTCCACAAGGTGTAGACTATTTCTGAGAAATCCCTAAATCGTTGCTTGAGTGCCGTTGCCCGACAAGCAAAGGGCAGTGCACGTACGTACGACATACGTACGCACACACTCACTCACTCACTTCGAGTCACTTGCAGTCGAGTCCAGGTCAATCCAATCCCCCTTCCAGCTGATGTTTGATGCCTATCTTTAAGCATTGAGGCCTGGGCAGCAGACAGCCGGTCACACGTCTGTATGGGAGAGTAAAAGGGCATTGGCGCACTTGGGCCCCTGACACATCCAAACGTCTCACAGCCCTGTAACATCCCAATGACCCCCCGGGAGTTCCGCTCGGGGTCCCGGCGGCAGACTCTGTGTTTCTCTCATGCCTCTGGGCTTGGGGCCTTTTTCTGCTGCACCTTGGCCACCCCTTGGCCACCTTGGCCGAGCCATCAGCGAACCATGCTGCCGGGATGGGCAAACATGTTGACTGTTTCTGGTCGTCTGTGGGGTTTCCATCCTGGAGTCGACGTTGCTGGCCGCGCGTCAGATGCGCCAAGTCTTCCCACTCTGGTGGGTTGGTCCCCACCCTTCCGATGGGGGGCCCCTTGGGAGGGTGTCAGCCAGCCTCAAGTCCCGCCATTGTAACCCGTCGTAGATGGAGATGTGCAAGTCTACACTTCAGTGTACGTACAAACTACAACATGAAGAGCAGCATGGGCAGGCCCTGCGCTGCCGATGCAGTGCCCGTCCCATCTTCTCACTTGATCGTATCTCTTGAGACTTCCAAGCTGGCTTGGCGGGTCTCTTTGCTGTTTTTTTTTTTCTTTCTTTTTCCCCTTCTCGATCTTGCGATTCCTTCTTGGTCATTCATCCATGCGAAAAGCTCAACACCCCCGTGAAGGAACTCCTGTCCCCCTCGCCCCGGGGCTGACGACAACGTCGACGACGGCGCAGGCTGGCCACTACTAGGTTGAAAATACTCGGGCGCCCATGCTAAGGGATAAACCACTTGATCCTTTTTTATACTCTTGTTTCGCCGCTTAACCAGACCCCCCCGGCCCTTTCGGTTCCCTTCGCTCTGCTTTTAGACTTCTAGCTGCAGTTATTTTCAAACTAAGCCCCAGGGGGGACGCGCACGAGTTTCCACCTTACGTCTCCTAGTGCCTCGAGTGGGCTCATCGCTACACTTTCATAAAACCGAAAGGGTCTGCAGTTTACAATAATAACCTGGCCCTTATCTACATGCTTCAATGTTGGTGTTATAGCGTTCACTTTTTTTTTCTTAACTTTGGATACTCGACAAGGGCTTGGAGGATCACTAGGAGCTGGAAAAAGAGAGAAAGAGAAAAGAAAAAAGAGCAGGAACATTTAAAAACAAGGTTCGATCAAATATGAAGTCCGCCTCAGTTGCCGCCCTAGTGGCTGGCCTATTATCGACATCGGCGGATGCTCTCGCCATACGGGATAGCAGCAACACGGCATCTTCAGGAGTGGTGGCCATGGATGTTCAGAGGAGAAAAGTGGCCGACCCGGTAAAACGAGACAAATTAAGAAGAAGAGGCTCGGTCGAAGCATCTTTAGAAAACGAGGTGGGTGGTTTCCAACAAGTTTGCCATTGGGGTCCGTATAGCATTGCTAAACTCATATACAGGAAACTTTATATTTTGTCAACGCCACGATAGGAACGCCCGCCCAGTCACTACGATTACATTTGGATACCGGTAGCAGTGATCTTTGGGTCAATACTCCCAGCTCATCGTTATGTCTCGGAAAGTCAAAACCCTGCTCCTATGCGGGAACTTACTCGGCCAACTCCTCATCGACATACGAGTACGTTGGAAGCTGGTTCAACATTTCTTACGTGGACGGGTCCGGAGCCAGTGGCGATTACGTGACCGATACGGTAACCATTGGAAGCACAACTGTCGATTCCCTTCAGTTTGGAATTGGGTACACGAGCTCGTCGGCGCAGGGTATTTTGGGCGTCGGCTATCCAGTAAACGAAGTGCAGGTTGGCAGGGCCAAGAAGGATGCTTACGATAACCTGCCCGCCAAGATGGCCTCCGACGGCACTATCAACTCCAACGCCTATAGTCTGTGGTTAAACGACCTCGACGCAAGCACTGGTAGTATCTTGTTTGGTGGCGTGGATACAGAGCAGTACACGGGATCCTTGGAGACGCTACCGATCCAGGCCTCGGGTGGCGTCTACTCGGAATTCTTAATCACCTTGACGAGTGTTGTACTTGACAATGTCACCATTGCCGAGGACCAGGCATTGGCGGTTCTGCTGGACTCGGGCTCGTCGCTGACCTACCTTCCCGACACGTGGGTCGAGCAAATCTACACCGAAACTGGGGCTCAGTACGATTCGAATGAGGGTGCTGCTTACGTTCCCTGCTCCCTCGCCGAGGATACGAGAACCTTGGACTTCACCTTTACCTCGCCTACGATCAAGGTGGACATGAACGAGCTTGTCCTGGATCTTGTCACAACTAGCGGCAAGCGACCGACATTTACCAATGGAGTCACGGCCTGCCTTTTTGGCATTGCGCCGGCTGGATCCAGCACGAATGTTTTGGGCGACACGTTTCTGCGTTCAGCCTATGTAGTCTACGACATTGACAATAACGAGATCTCGCTCGCGCAAACCAACTTTAACGCCACGGCGACCAATGTCAAGGAGATTGGCACTGGCACCAGCGCAGTACCGGATGCTGTCGCTGTTGCCAATGCGGCCACGGCCACTGCCGGAATCTCTTCGAGCACCACCAGTGCTCTCGGTCTCGACGACTCGAGTGCTGCCAGCCAGGTCTTGGCCAAATCCTCGGCAGTACTATCACTCCTCATTGGACTGGGCGCATCACTGGTTCTGTTGTAAAAACGCCAACCATGATGGAAAGCTTTTATTGTATTTTTGATTTTATTTTGTTTCAACCTTTCGGGGGCTGCATTTCACAAGCATTGCGAGGCGTTCAGGTTATGATCAGATCACTTTATTGGCGGCGGTCCTATCATTGATGATGGATTTAGGAGGAATGTATTGCATGCATGCATGAAAAGGCGTATCTACATTGTATGTTTCTAGCAATGTAACGGCAGGATGAATCCATGGGGCGGGCATTGTATTGGTCACTGGCGGTTGTAGAAAACAAGGCCCTTCCGGCTGGCTGTAGAAGAAGAGGAAATCTGGTGCTGGTCATAGAGAAACGCACAAGAAGAATTGAACGCGCGCACTGTCTCGTGGCATGCGCCATTTCACAAACTATTGAACCTCAACTGGATGTATAATGGCTCCATATCTGCTCATCATCATTACCCGGCCGGCTCCCACATCGGAACATGGCGAGCCCAAGGTAGTATTCCGTGCTTGGAAAGTCTGACAGAGAGTGCAAATTGGGTATAGTCTGGACCGCGTGCAGGTTTCCACCACTTAAACGAGAGTGCAACCGCGAGAGAGGCAGAGAGAGAGAAAGTTGAAGAGGGTATTCCATAAGTGGACCCCTTACCACGTTAATCAGCATGACAAAGGTCCCACTCTGTCGAAACCCAGGCGTACGCACGCAAACCCATAGAGGTCAACGCAAGCTGCCTCATGTATCGGGGCTCTCGTACTAAAATACCCTGCGGCCCGGCCAAAAAGACCACATGGAAGTTGCACTTTTATATGAGAGGGAATTGAGCACAATGCGTTTGAGAGAAGACAAAGATTACATATCCTGCGGAGAACCAGAAACCCGGAAACGAATATGTGTGGCTGCTGATACCGGATTCTCCGTGTCTTCCACAGAGAGACGGCGGGACAAGGGCTTTGAAAAACCTCGTGTTGGCAATGTCGTCGTGACGATAAACGGGCGCCGTCTTCCCTTTAGGGGACGGCGGGGCCCGGCTGTCCGCTATGATCCCTCAACTTCTCCTTTCATGCATGGCGCGTAATGGTTAGACGTTGAAGTGCCAGGTTCCGTCGCGATAGCTCAAGCCCATGGAGTGGTAAAATTGTAAAGGCCTGATCGGGGAGATAGGGCGGGCTCCCACATTTTGTGCTGGGGCGGGAATGGCGGCATGGGAAAAGTCACGATGCTGTACGCTTTTTTGCAAGGTCTGTGCGGTGATCTTCTCATCCGTGCAAGTATGTGTATAAGTAGCGGCATGATTGCAGGAAAGAAGGTGGGCTGACTTGCAGCTTGTACTCGGGGTGAAAAAGTACAACACGATCGTCATGATACCTCCCATGCATGCTAGAGACTATATGAAGTCGGCCGGAGACGAGTGATGCGATTCGTTGGTCCACGTGTTGGCTGTGATTGTATAGTACTGTCATGAAGACTAATGTCTGGTGTCGCTCAACCTTCATGATCAGATCTCGAGAAAAAGGTCTCTAAGCGATAATCATGCTCTCAGCACTTCTTCGACCTGCGCTTACAAACTGGTATTCCGTCCGCAACGCTCATGCCCATGACTACTCCTGCACCGTCCAATATTTAGGTTCATATACCCATGATGTTGTAACATTGTCAAAAACACTTCTGCGAGTCTTGAGGCTTTTCCCATGGGTCTATCGCTTGTAAAGCTGCTTGCTGCATGGCGCAGCTTTGTCAGCATTAGGGTGTCATCGCGTCTATCCGTCATCGTGGCCGTCGAGCTGGACTTGAGCTGACAAAGAGAGACAACGCAGTGACTTGGGGGTTTTTTGAAAATTTGCATTACCATGGTGTAATCCTTTCTTTGAAATGATCACCAAAGCTGATCCTACGACGACGCGTACGCTTGGTACGGTTACCAATAAAGCCGAGGTGCCGTCGCGAAGACTTGCCTAGGAAACACGATGTTGAAAGTCCTACTTTGTGCCCGTTACGGTCTTGTAAAATTGTGCACTCCTCATTTTCTCTTGTCCCTCGGTGATAGAGTCCATGGAAGATGTCTCCTCGTCGTACAGATGTTGTATTGTTTCTGGCCAACCCCCATTTCAAGTGTTACATTCGAAGCCTGTGCTAAGCGATAAGAAGACGTGCCTGGCGATTACACGATCATTGTTCAATATGGAGGTTGGGAGATGCTAGACTTTAAAACGACCGGGACGACTGTGTGTGTAGTACGTTCTCATTGTCATCATTTCTGAAGTCACATGTCCCCATTTTCTTGACACAACAGGCCGAGACAACACAAATTGGATCACCTAAAGGACTTAGGATGTACAAGTTCTGTTGTCTTAGGTGGTTGAACGTTGAAGAACAGCCAAAGGTCCCCTTAAACACCCGTGTATTAGACCCGTATACAATGATTGGCGTGCTTGGACATATGTACATGCTTTTTGCTACATATTATACCTTGTGCTATGTGGTTCTCAATTCTCTGAACAGGCTAAAGAATCGCACTGGAAATGCGCGTAAACAGGTCACGAGGTCAACTACAAGATTGTGGTTCTCTCAGTGGTATACCAAGCCATACGTTCTTGTGTGTGTTGTTTCTTGGGTCCGTCCACATGTAGTCAAGTAAACAAAGCACGATGGCAGACAAGCCGGAGTAACTATTTCGAAATGATAGTAGCTGGCGTATCCTGAAAACTACTGCTAGACCGTGACAAACACTAGAGACGTCTCTCTATAGCATTAATTTTCTCTGCTCGTATCTAGGGCCGGCGTCGATCCTCCGCCTCACAACTACGAGGCCCCGATTACTTCCTGACTATCGATTCTCCACGATGATCATGACGATTACAACATCATACGCGACCAGGGAAACTTGTTGATCACGCTTAGACTTCTTTATCAGCTTTTTATCTTCCAAGCAGTCCTTCATCTAGAGACGCACAATGGCAGCCCCTGACCAAGGTATCATTGATAAGTCGGATGAGGTCAGCCACCGTAAAGCACGTAAATCGACGCCAATGACATCTCTGCTGCAATGATCGAAATTCCAGTGGGTTGATATGCTCCATCTCTCGAGAACCAAGTGCCAACCAAACTTTTCCCACCCGGTCTTGCAACTAAACTGGGCTTTTCCCATGAGTGCTTAAAACGACACTTCCTGGCTTGAAAGCAAACTTCCTTTCTGCTTATTTTTCGTCAAGAGGAGCACAATAGACAATATGGAGTTAAAGTATTATGATTCCACCACGGAATCATCTTGGATCCCGTTCCAACCATCTGACCATGTCGTCGCACAGCACATGGGGCAAGTCATGCTCGACGTGATTCCAAAACTGCCAGTCCTTGGGCTGGCCCATGGCATTGCTACGTTTCATCTTCTCCACGTACTCCTCGCGGCTCTTGACGGCGTAGTGGTGCAAGCTGACACGGTCGCGGGAGATGGGCTGGCGAAACGCGGGCGAGTCGACCGTCGCCCCGTCCTCGCCCACCGTCACCTTGCCGGGGGCGAGGTGAAACATGTGCGGCGTAATGGGGCCGCCGGCGCCGTAGTCGCGGACCCGCACAATGCTCTTGACGTGCCGATTGTCCGAGCCCGCGCCGCCGTGCCCGGCGTCGTCGTAGATGCAGTGCGTGTAGGACCAGCGCACCGACGCCGCCCGCCTCAGCAGGCCGTTGGACGTGTGCATCTGCCAGTTGACGGCCAGGGCGCCGACGTCGTCGCGGGTCGCCTCGAAACTCTGCAGCACGCCCACGAGCGACTCGCCGCCCGGCGTGTCCAGAAACTCGTCGGCGTCGATAAAGGCCAGCCATGTGTGGTGTCGACCGCTCGCCACGGCGTGTACGCGCGCGCAGTCGTCGTACATTTTGTACTGCATCTCTGGCACTCTCTGGCTCTCGTCATAGTAGACAAAGGTCAGGACCTCGGGCGGCACGCCAAAGGAGTCCACGGCATCGCTTAGGGGCGGGTTTGAGCCGTCATCGAGGATATAGAATCGGCCAACGCCCATGTTGTAGTGGTGATGCTGCAGAAACTCGGGCAGGTCAAGAGCCTGGTCCCGGACTGCGAGGCATATGGCTAGGTATTCAGGGTCCTCTTCGTGGTGGGTTGTCGTCGGGTCTTGTTTGGCCTCGCCTTCTCTCCACGAGCCGTACGAAGACTTGAGGCCAGCGACGAGTTCCGAGCCAACTTCTTGGCCATAGTCAAGGGATGGTTTTCCGTAGAAAGTAAAGGCCGGTATCAGCAGACAAAGCAGTATACACACGACCAGCAGGCCGCCGTTGGGGCCAGATAAGGTGGTTGCCATCAAGCTCGAGTTCAACCTCTGACGAGGACAGACAATAGTATGTTCACATAGCTGTTCCCAATAGGAAATAATTGTTCAGAGAAGAAAAGCAAAAGAAGAAAATGACGAAAGGATTGAACAGGGGAGTGGCTGCGCAATGGGGGTGGCCCGGTGGGCTAGACACACACTGCTGACGACTGCAGGACCCACCAGTCAATCTATTCGCATGTGGTAGATGGTCAGCAAATACTCTTGTACAAGTTTGGTCAAGTAGTAGAAAGATGTGGATGGGTTGTCCAAGTGGTACTGTGTATAAAATACCGTCAGACCCTACCATTTCGATCCCTTGGAAAGACCATCCGCGCGTATACTTGAGTGATTGGAAGAGCGTCTTGCTTCAATCTTGGAAATCTCTCATGGCAGAGAGACGAACAGAGAAGGCTCGCTTACGGCTATTTGCGCAGCACATCATTTCCGCTCAAGATTAGACAGCAGCGCGCCATATGCGTATCATGCGGCTGCTGGCGATCCCCAGTGAGTCCCCGAGCTGCTCATGGACGGTTGAACGCAAGCGAGGCAAAATGACGACGCGTCCGCGCACAATCGATCAATCAATTCAGTGGCACATGCCCTCTTTGTAGCATGCAACATAACACTGACGGTGTCTTCTCCGTTTGCACCAACATTCTGTATCTCCATTTCCTCTTGTCTCAGGAAGCCATTCAAGCTGGTGAAGCATACCCGCGGAACATCTTGACAAGTCTCAATTTGTGTACAACCAGAGAGGAATTGCGCCCTCTTTCAGATGCGCCAACCTTGACACTAAGCCTCTCAGCGGGGTTTCGGCTGATAACAACGCGCGTAGGGACCCGGAACTAAAGACAGAACTAATATAGCCTTCTAACAGGGGCAGCTTTCTTTTCTCCCCCCAGTTCTTGACACGTACTGTGGTCGCCAAAGTTAACTATGAGTCGAGTATAACTAGTCGCAATATCTTCTCACAACCAATCAAAATGATGCCAAGACACGATCACCCTATGCTATAAAGATGAAAAGCGCCAAGCTTTGTCCGAGCTGATCCAAGGAAACACTTCTCGAAACAATTGGTCATAGCAGAAAAGACGGGAAGGATCAAGGAAGAAAGGTGTAAATTCATGTCGAAGAAGGGGTCCGGGCAGGCTTCATTTCTCCCCCGATCAAGGAGACAGCCATGTCCTGGAGTATTTCGCGCATACCATTTGCATAGTACTTTACCTCAATAGCACACGCAACATGGCATTGAGATCGCACCAGACTAGACAGAAGCCGCACTCAACGTCAGTGAAAATGACATGGCACAAATGGTAGAATCGAAAATTGAATTCTTGTGCATAGAATGTCTTATTAAAACACTACCGAGTCACACATGTGCAAGCCTGGTCGAATCCTCTCATCTATTACTGGCTTCCTGTGAAGCCACAGACGAGTTCAACTAGGCTTCTTCAAACTCACAGTCTCCAAGTCTGTCCGAATGACAAGACAATATCATCAAACGTGCTCGTTGGGTCGATGCCCATAAAGCCGGGCGGGTATGGTGAAATCAAACAAAACGCCATAAACTCCTAAGTTGACGTGGAAGAACTAAGGCATATTTTCAAGCCTTGCCCCCACCGCGAGCCTTGTGCCGAATCATCACGATTGAATAGCTGTAGTCGTTAGTCGACATGTCAATTGGAGGGGATCAATGCAAATACTCACGCTACGATACCCCCAATTGCAACAAAAACTCCCAAGACGGACTTGTCTCCTACTGATCGACCCGACGTAGCCCAGCCGAGCGCAACAATAGTGCACGTCTTCAAATGGCCGACTACGGTACTTGAGACTGGACCAGTTTTGGCAATGATGAAGAACTGGGAAATGTTGATAAGAGAGGCGAAAACGCCAGACTGGTGAAAGTTAGAGACTGAAATGTTAACCGTAATACGACTGAGACTCACCATGAGGATCATGACCCATCGGTTGAATGGTACTTCGGACCACACCGGGAACGTATCAACAAACGGAATGACGTAAAGCAGTAAGAAGGCCGAGACCGGTGCCTGGTTGAAGAGAAGTTGCATGCTTGTCATCTGTAGCTTGCGGTGATAGCTAGCTATCCAAACCGTGTACAGGGAAGACGCAAATATGCCGGAAAAGGCAAATGCTACACCCAGTCCTGATGTTGTCTTGACGCTGGCGTCACTAGATGGGAGAGAGTCGTAATAGGAGACCATGCCGACGCCAAGACAAGCCGGGATGAGAGCCAAAAGCGCATCCCGAGGCAGGGTCGCCTTGTAGAGAACATAGTTCATCAGTGCAACTGTGGGAGTGAGCAGAATGCGCGCGACCTGGTAAAAGGTCACACTGGAGAATGCCAACGAGAGGTTTGGCAGAATGACGTTCAGAGACATGGAAATCGCAAGCGGAATGATCTCGCGAATGGTGGTTCGTCGCGGGACAAAGAAGGCGAGCTGAGGCCGGGACAGAACGAAGAGCGTCAGCCATGTGATGGCGAAATGGAAGGCAGCAAAGCTGAGCTGTGCGAGCTTCAAGGACGGATCCGAGAAGATGGCCTTGTTGGTAAAGACAATGCCTATAGTCGCCAGAGTGTTGATGATCATCCAGATGACGGCTTTCGTCATGCCGCCGCTCTCTTTGTCGGATACCTGGGTAGACTGCATGTTCTCGTCCTTTTCCAAGAGCCCCTCCTCCTCGTGGCCATCGCGGTCTTCGACGGCGGTGTGTTGTGATGCAAGGTCGTTGTCTGAACCCTCGTAGCTGCTTCTGTACTTTTCGTTGTCATCGTGGGTTTCGGTAGCGGCAGAGGACGACACCGATGCCGGCGAACTATTGTAAGCGCCTGTTGCCATGCTGTCTGAATGACTCGTATGGTCGGTGTGTTGACAGGTTTTACTGGGTCGCAAGCCTGAGCGAGCAAGTTACAAGTTGGAAGCAGTCAAGATTCCCAAGGTTTTGCAGCCAGGCAAAAGGGTAAGTCGGCGGTCTTGTTGTGGGCTAGAGCATCGAAAAGGCGATAGGCTGAAGAGCGAATGCAACGATGGACCAGCCCTAAAATAAAACGAACGAGATGGAAACAAAGTCGAGGACAATTGGATTGATGGCGATGATTCAAAGACAGCCAATTTGGAGATGTCGATTGTGTTTGGACAGGAACTTGAGACTTGGCCGCCTGGAATCTGGGACGGGTGGGCGGCTGCAAAAGCCCCGCTTTAGCGTGGTTTAGCTGCACAATTGGCGTAAGAGCCCACGGGAATGGAGGGATCTTACGCCAAGGTGGCCTTGAGTGGCGCAAATTGGTGTGGGAAGCCAAACGGCAGGGGCCCGTCTAGGGCCTCCAGGCTTCCTCCTTCCCACTACTACTACGACGTATGTACTACCTGGTCCACCGCGAGGGGGTATAGCTCAAGGTTCGCGACACATAACACATACATCACACTACATGAAGAACTACCTCTCAGCAGCTGAACGTGGCCCATCATACCTTATCATACTGCTTGCTGCAAAGGGTACCTGCTGTGCCGCTCTCGTCAGCTGCCACAGCACAAACTTTGACTCACAACTCAGTCCCCTCTCCCTAAAGGGTTTGTTTGATTGCTTGCTTGAAGTGTGGTGTCTCAAAGGAAACTCACGATCTGCAGCCGATACCAATAAATGCCTGCTCCTGCGCCCACCGCTCGTTCTTCTCCCCCCCAGGCCCCACCACACTTCTGAAACAGATCCAACCTCTCTTTTCTTGAGGGAACATTCAATGTAATGCGTATGACTTCGTTTACACAGGCTCGTATGTATGTATCGTATAGACAAGTAGTCAGCTTCGATCATCAGCTGCGCTTGTAATTGGCTGCCCCAATTATTGCCACGCGCTCAGCTCGGTACATATTGTACCACCGTGGGGGTTTGCAAGTTACCTCAGGCACATATTTTCGAGGATGCAGCGATTGCTTTTCAAAAGCGAGACATGATTATACAGCTGTCAGTTCGGAATGCGGCCCAGCCTCCTCTTGAAAGCTGTCCTTTTCCTGAAAGTATGTCTATCATGTCTCACTCTCAATCAATCGTGTCTCTTAAGCTAAAGAGGTAATTGATTGATCCCGAATACTGTCGGTTCATTGCAAAGCAACATATATTGTTCCACATATTTTGGGCTGAAAATACATTACTTACCTTCACGACCCCCATCCACCACAGATTTTTGTGCATCTTATCTCGCCCTGTATATCTCGGTCAATGGCTATTGCGAGACATCGTCAGCTGCCACGCCGAAAGTACGATACTGAACAACGTGGAATGTGCTCCAGACTTTTCGCCTTTAGCCCATTCATCAGCCGGCCATCCCCTGAACACGAGATAAAACAAGGCACGCACGGTCTGGGTGAGACAGGAACATGTGCTACGTTCCAGGCTGAACGTACATCAGGCGGCCGGCACTCTTTTGCCGTTGACCTTCCTAGTTCCTGGTGCGGTGTTGAATGATGTCTTGCTACTTAATCAGGTAAATGACATGAAATGTGTACCCATTTACACATATTTGCAGTCAGCTGAAATTTGTGTCTAAGAATCGTCATCTTCTAAGCTCAGCGGATTGCAACGTGGTTATATTACGTAGCTCAGCCTGCGTTGAATCCGTAAGAAGAAGTGGTATGGATAGGTGATACAAGCATACTGTACAAAACACTCTCATGAACTCTTTCCACCACCTCCCACGTGCTGGAAAGCATCCTTAAAGATTACACACTGAAACGCGATTCACCCAAAGGCAATCAATTTGTGATACTTTTGCTCTTGTTAATATTGCTATTCTTGATGCGTCCATATCTTGTTACACAGAGGCGGATCTTGTGCATACTACCGTTTCCTCCCACCACAACAAAGTGCTCCAGTAAGACGATGGGATCATTGCCATAGAGCCTTGAAGTTAATATAATGGCTTGGCGGTTCAAGATCCTCTTTAGTCTACTTGCCTCACGATTTAAACCATCTTCGGTTACCAAAAAGAAAAAAAAGAAAAAATTGGAGAGCATTTCAGCAAAAGAATAAGTCGGGGCGTGGGGCTTTGATAGGTAGATTGCAAAGCTTGAAGTGATGCTAAGATAGTGGCGCTGAGACGCCTCTTTTCTTTCCAATGGCAGCGGGAAAAAGAAACATGATAGAAGTATACTATAGGATTCAGCTGCGGGAGTCTGGCTGCGTAGACCCCTGCTCCGATCAACAATACACAAAGAATGTGAGGCCGAATCCGACGGCCGACTTGGCGGGCGACATTCCGTACATACATAAGGTACGAGTTACACCAGAAATCTGGACACCTATCACACTTGCACTTTTGCAGGGTACATCACGTACATATGCATAATGTGGCACTTCCTTTATTATGCCGAGCTATCCTACCAAGCTAACTATGACGTTCATATATTATCATTTGAGGGAATGTTAGCAATGTGAGGAATTAGAATTTCTAGTCTGTTCCTCTCAATGGTCAAGTTCCAGGGTAATCCCCAATTGCAGGGCTTTCCTGTTTTTGAGTCCAATGTAAATGTAAGGTGGCTTGACTTGTGCCTGAGCGCGTTTCTAGCGGCCGCGCGCATCTTTATTTATTTATTTTTTCTAAAAAAAAGAACCATTATCGTTGTTTATGGAATGTCTTGGTTTACATACTATCTTACTTTTCTGTCGATCCATCACCTCGAAAAAGGAAAGAAAGATTGCGCATTCCAAATCGAGAGAACTGAATCTGGAGAACGGGTTGGCTAGTATTCCGTAGGAGTACCTTACATTACATATGTTGGAGGGATCAAAACCCAGCTGCGCGGATCCTTTTCGGGCACGGGCCCCGGCCACCATCCATCGCCAGTTTGTCCCGCGATTGCTTGCTTGACTGGTGAGCTAGTAACTTTAGCTTTACGCTGCTACATTGCTTGCTAACCCCCAACTATCAAGTACTACCTCCATTTGACTCTTTCTCAGCTCAGTTGTGTGACGCCCCCCTTTGGTTGTTAACTGATTCAGTCCAGTCCATCAAGCTTCAAGTGAGACCGGAAGGCGAGAAAAAAAAAAGGAATTACCTAGCAGAGGGAAGAAGGAAAGGGAACGCGAGCGCTCCCTGCGCGTCGTCTGTCATAAACTCAAAAAAAAAACCCACCCTTAGATTCAGACGTCACATCCAAATAAGACAGACATCCGCCTCATACGCCAATCCCTTCCCTTCTTTCACTTGCGTCGTCGTCGGACCCTGCGCCGTGCATCAGATCAATCCAAGACAGCGAAATCTGCCACTCATTCGAGGGTTAACGACTGAAAATACACTCGTTTCCTAACTTCCAGACCCGATTGGAGGAAACCATTAATCAAGGGGTCACGTTCGGTCATTCCTTGAAATTCGCGCCCGCCCTGGGCAGAAACACATAGACCTCTTGTAATCGTTCTGCGCTCACTTTGAGAGAACACACTGCTCTCGCCCCTCTTTCGACTTTTTGGTCATTAGGCTAGTGCAAACAACAACAACAAAAACGTATCAACGTCCGTTGCGCAGGGCTGAACAAGATGACCGCCAGCCATCAGAACAATACCAATGGCCACCATCCTGGTAAGTCTAGCATCAAGACGCAGTCTCTTGGCCACCATTGCTGACCCAACTTGCCATTCCCCACCACAGCCGTCGCGAGCGGGAATGGGTACAATTACGGCACCGGAGATGTCTGGCAGGATGCACCGGTGCTGACAGGCACTACCAAGTTTGAGCCACTCGCAGATGTCAAGAACATCATGATCACGGGCGGCGCAGGCTTCATGTGAGTTTTGGCTCTAGGTTTTTTTTTTTTTTTTTTTTTGGTCTCGCTTGGGGAAGGTACCCCCAATTTCTGCCATCGGGCGACTAATCCGTGTGTCCGAGGTATGCAGCGCTTGCTGGCTGGTCCGGCATTTGACTTTGGCCTATCCAGATGCGTACAACATTGTGTCTTTTGACAAGCTGGACTACTGCTCGTCCCTGAACAACACGCGCATGCTCAACAATAAGCGCAACTTCACCTTCTACCATGGTGATATCACAAAACCAGAGGAGGTCCTCGACTGCATGGAGCGCTACAACATTGACACCATCTTTCACTTTGCAGCGCAGTCCCACGTTGATTTGAGTTTCGGCAACTCCTATGGCTTCACTCACACCAATGTCTATGGAACGCATGTCATGCTAGAGAGTGCCAAGAAGATTGGTATCAAGAGGTTTATCCACATCTCCACGGATGAGGTCTATGGCGAGGTCAAGGACGATGACGACGATCTGCTGGAGACCAGTATCCTGGCACCAACCAACCCTTACGCTGCTAGCAAAGCTGCCGCCGAAATGCTTGTAAACTCGTACATGAAGAGTTTCAAGCTGCCAGTCATTATTGTGCGAAGCAACAATGTGTATGGACCCCATCAATTTCCGGAGAGTAGGTTTTATTCCAAATCAGGCCACCCAATGCGCAGCTTACTGATATGAAACCTCTAGAAATTATTCCAAAGTTTGCTGCGCTTCTGAACCGTGGACAGCCTGTCGTCCTGCACGGTGACGGAAGCCCTACACGCAGATATCTCTTTGCCGGGGACGCTGCTGATGCCTTCGACACGATCCTGCACAAGGGTACACTCGGACACATTTACAATGTCGGATCGTACGATGAGATCTCCAATATGGACTTGTGCGTCAAGTTGCTCAAGGAGATGGGGCTTCCAAACAACAGCAAGGCCGACTTTGACAAATGGGTGAAGTACACCCACGACAGACCCTTCAACGACCATCGCTACGCCGTCGACGGAACCAAGCTCCGCAACCTGGGCTGGGACCAGAAGACGCCTTTTGAGGCTGGCCTCAAGATCACGGTCAACTGGTACAGGCAGTTCGGAGAGAAGTGGTGGGGCGACATTAGCAATGTGCTCAGCCCATTCCCAATTGTCAAGAGGGAGGGCGACATCAGCACAGTCGAAAAGGATACCAATGCAGAGATCTCGGAACAGCCCCAGTCAGTCAAGAAGCGAAAGGTCAGCGAGACTAACGGGACATTTGGGCTCGTCACTGCTTGATCCATCCCCGAAGACTGTGTACGAATATAATGACATTACTTGCTTGATCAAGGAGTTATGGGAGTCGGCACGAATGCACAAGGATCACGATTTGGAGGGATGGATCAGTCTGGACTGCTTTGCACCATGAAAATCACGCTAGAGGCGTCAAAACTTGAACAATACAGACAAAGTGACCTCTTTTGAGCGCTTAAATCGCCAATTGTGGAAGCATCCCATATGATTAAAAGTGATGTGCGTCAACCATACGGATACAGCTCCTTGAGTAAGCCTTGGCCAGCGCCATGCGAAAAGCGTAAGTGCACAGAACAGTCAACTCACTGACGAAATGAACGTACATAGGTGCAAAGGTGGACTTTTGACATGCCTATACCCACGTGCGTCTTGCGACCTGCAGGCTTGGGCGCAGTGCAGCCTACCAACCATTGAGAGAATGTGGGCTCACTCACATATTCCTATTTGGGAGGAGGACGATGTTCCTCTACCTAGGGCTATGCAAAATCGCTTAGTCACCCATGTCTCTTGCAGCATTTGTGGAATTTGGTGATCTGATAACCAACTAGGCCACGGTTGGCTCTCGTTCCGAAGTCCGTGGAATGGAATGAGCAATAGGCTATCTTTGACAATCTTTCTTTACTCTCATCCGTAGTAATCATGAAAAGCTGAGCCTTTGCGGTAGTCAGGTCTGTGGCTGCTGTGAACACCACCCTAGCGCGATTTAAATGCCTGCCAGATTTTCCAGACGATATATGAGAGATGAGAGATATCAAATCAAGACAATCTTGCGAGGCATCTTGCTTCGTCGTAGCCCAGCCCAGCCCAGTCCATTCCATTCCCAGCCTGGTCGTACACCCAAAGTCGGAGCTCGGAGGTTGCTGGTCATTTAAACCCTGAAAACCGTTCAAGCCAACCACTGGCAAACCCCGGCGCGGAACCCATCGAGTACATTAGCGAGTTTGGTGGAGAATTTCGCTGGAGAAGTCTCCCCGCAGCTGGCCTGGGGTGTCGCCTGAAGAGCAGCCTCTGATAGGGCATCCGCACCTTGGCCCCCAGGGCCACCCGTGCCACCCCTGGAGGATCTGGGCTTGCTGGGTTGTGGTAGCTGTCAGCCAACTGGGGCTTGGAACGGCCTCGAACGAATCGTTTGTGAATCAACTTCCCCAAACCTTCCTCACCTCCAAGGCCTCGAACTTCCATTCTCGACTCACACCCACCTCTTTTCCCTCGCTCACCCATCTATCTAATCCGTACCTATCGTGCAATGAAAGCTGATACGGCCGTGTAATAGCCTGGCAGCTCTTTCATCACACGCCCAGTCTAGTCACACGGACGTAGGCAGCAAAGTTGGCGCCAGTGTCTACGCCTGTGTTTCTCGAGGCGCTCACAGCCTACACCAACAGATCGTATGCGACACACTCTGTCGGATTGCAAGACAAGAGAACCTTACAACTCACCTAGGTCAGACATGAATTGGAGTGTATAGTTGATGTGACCACCCACTACACCCGCGACCACCTAGACATCAAAATTATCCGGGTTGACAAGCCAATACAAAACGCGTGGTCAAGAGTGTTTGTCTCGATAGCACGACGTTCCCACATCAACTAGTGACCATGAACCCTGGCCTGGACCACAACAGCAACAGTTCCTTGTAGTGCGGCCCATTACGATAGCCTTCTACGTGTTTTGGAAGCGATATAGCATACGAGGGACCAGAAGAGAAGACAAGAAAACAAGCCGTACAGTAATGGGTTCCGGCGCCCACGCGGAATTCGCGTTGCCAAAACGCGATCACGAGTCGATCCGGGACGTGCCCGACCTTGATGACGAGATGTCTATCGGCGATCAGTCCAGCGAGCAGCAGAGCACGGACGATGCTAGCCCTATACTAACGGATCTAGAACTCGACGAGGGTCCCAAAACCACAGGCGTGTACTATGATGATACAACGTCTACCTATGCGCGCAGCCATTTCCCTGCATCGGTGACAGACCACGGGTTCCATAGAAGATTTGACGATGATGCTACTGTGTAAGCCTCTTCTTTTTTGGGGTGCCCTTGTTTGGCGCCTTCTCACTGCTAATGTTACTCACCCCAAAGTAATTCGAATCGCTCCATCGCCCCTGCAGAGGTGGAATACGTATGGGAAAATGGGAGACGCTATACCGGATCTTACTTTATGCCAAACGACAAAGAGGAGCAAACGCGTCTGCTGCTAGTTAGTGAATGCTACAGGAGCGCTTTCGGGGAGGAGCCAACGACTGTGACCTTGGAGAATCCTACCTCCATACTGGATATTGGCACTGGAACCGGAGAATGGGCTATGGACATGGCCGAACGATATCCCGACTGCGAAGTCACTGGAACTGACATTGCAGATATTTTCCCCAAGTACGCCGGACAGAACCTCTTTTGGGAAATAGACAATGCCGAGCTGGAATGGCTGCGTCCTCCTGATTCCTACGACCTGGTCCACCTTCGAAACATGGATGGCGCCTTCAAGGATTGGCCTTTTGTGTACGAGCAAGCATTCAAGGTTTGCAAGCCGGGAGGCTGGATAGAAGTCATGGATTACGATCTATGGCATTCCGACAACTACCTCGCTCATGTTCCCCCCGAGTCTGGCGTCCACCGTTGTGCAAGGGATTGGAAAGAAGCTGCAATGGAGTCGGGGTACACGATTGAGAACCACCACCTCAAGTCGGAATTGCTCGCAGCCGCAGGTTTTGTGGACGTTGAGATGATGGAAAGTGATATGCCAATCAACCCAAAGAAGTTATCCTCTGGTCATTTGCTCATGAAGGCGATATTGGATGGCCTCGAGGCCCATGCTCTCAGACTGCTCACTTCAAGGAAGGGCTACACGGCCGAAGAGCTTCGGCGGGAGATCAAGGAGTTCCGCAAAGTATTCACCAACATCGCCTTGGACAACAAAAAATCCAGAACATTCAATATGAAGATGAAGGCCATGAGAGGAAGAAAGCCGCTGGACTCGGAACCCCCGAATGTACCAGTCTACGCGCACGATGCGCACGAAGCAAGGGTTGTCATACCACAGAACCCAAACGTGGAAGAGGACCCCGTTGCATTCGCTGTAGGAGGCAACGCGAATGCACCGGCTCCAATATAGGGATGCAACGCATTTATCTCTGCACACGCAATTTTCAAGAAGCGATATTACTCTCTTCATCATTCGGCCCCATGAAAAAAAGGAGAGCAAGACGTCCATGGCGACTTCAGTCTTGACACGCCAGGCCTTTTGGGGGTTGAAAGACGAACTCCGATAAAGAGACACCACCGGGCTTGGCGGCCGCCAAAGTCAACTCAGAGACATTGCGCCTCGCCCATGACGATTTCATAACTTTACCAAGTTTCCAGACATGACGATAGTTACGAGTTATTCCTTCAAGACCGAGGACGAAGACAACATTATAACATATCAACGAGACATGACATACAGATAGAGCATGGGGGCGGCCATATCATTAATTGCTGGCAGCTAAGTGAATATGGTCGGCCATTTATGCGTGAAACAGAGATTCGGTATCTCCTGAAATTGGAACATTTCTTTGGAATGGACAAGAGATGTGAAGTGTGTATGGATTTATTAAACGGAGTATGGTTTTTGGTTTTTTTTCGGAGTAGGGTCTTTTGCTTATTCAGCGGGCGTGATATCCTCTTTTCTTGGGTTATATGTGATCATCTTGATTCCCCGCCATAATTTCAAGATAAGTTATGAATGAATTCAAAGTCTGCTCAACCATGGCAAACATCCTCTTGGGTGATATTATAGTTATAATCAAATCTGGGCGCAATCATTTTAATAAAGATGTATGCACCATCCCAGCTCATAGCCAACTGAGTTGCGGTGGTCTACCTGAAAGTTAGGGTATCTATCGACCGACGTCATGATCAGATCTCGGTATCTGCATAAGCCCCGCTTACCTTGTGCTGGGTTTCCCGCCTATGTATCTACCTTACTCCAAGCCCAACAGTTGCATTAGTACCTGGGTTAGGAGCTCGCAACTCCAACAGCTCAAACCTTCCACACGCCAGCCTTCCCCCCAAGCTGCCCAGCGCGTGCTGTCTTGACGACGACGGCGACGGGACTTGACGATCAACTGACGGCCGACATGCTCAGTTAAAAGAAACCACAGGAAACCATGGCTTTTGACGGCACCGACGGCTTCTCAGCTGTCACCAATGGCGTCGCTGGCCTATCGCTCGACGATGGTGCTGGCGGCGGTCTACCCATCTTCGACATCGAGCCAGTGCAGCTGCAGTTCAGCATCGCGGCCGACTTTGTGGCTGCTCAAGTTGCCAACAACGTCCTAGTGCTGGCCCTGTCCAACGGTCGCATTTTGCGTATCGATCTCAATCGACCCGAGGACATCGACGACATTGATCTCCCCAAGCGCCCGTCTGAGGTTGGTGTCATCCGCCACATGTTCCTCGACCCGACTGCCTCGCATCTGCTCATCTGCACCAGCCTCGGCGAGAATTACTACCTGCACTCGCAGAGCAGGCAGCCCCGACCTTTGACACGCTTGCGCGGCGTCACAATTGAGAGTGTGGCCTGGAATCCTAGCTTGCCGACCGCTTCAACCAGGGAAATCCTGCTCGGCGCCAGCGATGGCAACATATACGAAACCTTTATCGAAAGCACGAACGAGTTCTACAGGAAGGAGGAGAAGTATCTCAAGGTACTGCAGAAATTACCCGATGGCCCAGTTACCGGACTGTGGGTCGATAATCTCGGCGGGAGGTCAGACATGAGGAGGGTGCTCATAAGCACGCAGAGCCGTCTTTTTCACCTGGTTGGCAAGGTCGGCCGAAGCCATAACGAGGGCAGCGGCTCTATTTATACCAAGCTATTTGATTCCGAACAGCCCACCATTCACGAACTATCTAGGGTTTCTGGCTCTGCGCCGTCCACCTTGGCCGTGTCCCCCGACTTGCCCAACGCCAACGCCTACGATGATGTGTCACTCGAAAGGGCCTTTGCATGGCTGTCTTCACATGGCATATACCACGGCAAGCTTTTGTCCGCGCCAACGACCTCAGAGTTGGGCCCAAAGATCTATGCCGAATCAAAGCTGCTGCCTAGGGCCCAGATAGTGTCACCTGACACTTCTGGTCGGAAGAAGACGTCATCCGAATTCATTGACGCCACCATCTTGACGCAGTGGCACGTTGTCAGTTTGGTTGGCGGAAGGGTTGTCGCTGCCAACCGTCTCACCGGCGCCGTTATCTATGACCAAGTCATCTTGGAGCAGGGGCAAAAAGCTTTGGGCTTGTATGTGGACCAGCAGAAAAATACATTCTGGCTATTCACAGCGCAAGAAATTTTTGAGATCGTCGTTCGGGACGAGGACAGGGACATCTGGCGGATAATGCTGGAGAGCCAGCAATTCGACCAAGCCTTGCAACACGCGCACACGGCTTCGCAGAGAGATGCCATCGCCATGGCTTCAGGAGATTACCTCATTTCTAAAGGGCAATATGTCGAGGCTGCCGGAGTGTATGGCAAGAGCAGTAAATCATTTGAAGAGGTTGCGCTTACATTTATTGACCACAACCAAAATGATGCCCTACGAAAATATCTATTGACAAAGTTGACGACATACAAGAAAGCCCAAATCATGCAGAGGATGATGATTGCCACATGGCTGATTGAAATATTCATGGCCAAACTCAACTCTCTGGAGGATACGATCAAGACCGAAGCCGAGCTGGTTGAGAATCTCAACACGGACCAGTCAAAAGAGCAGTTGGGTACGATTCGCGAGGAGTTTCAGAGCTTTGTGAACAAACACAAGTCAGATCTGGATCGCAAAACTATATACGACGTTATCAGCAGCCATGCACGGGAAGAAGAGCTGCTCTACTTTGCCAACGCCACAAACGATTACAACTATGTGCTCTCCTACTGGGTTCAAAGAGAAAGATGGACCGAAGCCTTGAATGTACTCAAGAAACAGACAGATCCCGAGGTTTTCTACCGATATAGCAGTGTGCTCATGACGCACGTTGGGAACGAACTTGTTGAGATCATGATGAGACACCCGAGCCTCAAGCCACGGAATATAATCCCAGCTCTCCTGGACTACGATCGGACTTTCTCAGGTTCGCTACTACAAAACCAGGCAGTTCGATACCTGCAATATGTCATCAACCAACTCAACTCTACGGATGCCGCGGTTCACAATACTTTGGTGTCTATATATGCGGCGCACCCGAACAAGGATGAATCGGGTCTCCTCAGCTATCTCGAGTCTGAGGGTGATGAGCACCGGTTCGATCCTGACTTTGCTTTACGGCTCTGCATTCAACATAAGCGGACCCTAGCTTGTGTTCATATTTACACCAACATGGGACAGTACGTCCAGGCTGTCGATCTTGCTCTTTCTCACAACGAAACAGAATATGCCGCCATTATTGCTGACAGGCCCATGAACAACCCGGCGCTTCGCAAGAAGCTCTGGCTTGCGGTAGCGAAGAAAGTCATCTCGCAGTCCAACGGCATCAAGACGGCAATTGAGTTTCTAAAGAGATGTGACCTCCTCAAGATTGAGGACTTGATCCCATTCTTCCCAGACTTTGTCGTGATTGACGATTTCAAGGATGAGATCTGTAATGCGCTTGAAGATTACAGTCGCAACATTGATGGACTCAAGCAGGAAATGGACGAAAGCTCGCAGACAGCTGCAAACATCAAGATTGATATCGCGGCTCTCGATCATCGTTACGCTATTGTTGAGCCAGGGGAGAAGTGCTACGTCTGTACCCTGCCATTATTGAGCAGGCAATTCTTTGTCTTTCCCTGTCAACACGCCTTTCACTCAGACTGTTTAGGAAAAGAGGTTCTCAAACAGGCTGGTGTTGGCAAAAGCAAGAGAATAAAAGAATGCCAGGTACAGATCAGCAAGGGCCTCGTCAGTGGTTCCAAGAAGGATGCTATGGTCGCCGAGTTGGACGCACTTGTCGCTTCGGCATGGTAAGTGCATACCTGAATAAGCGCAGGCTAAAGAGATGTGAGTCAAAGTGCTGACAAGATGTACAGTATTCTATGCAGCGAATATGCGATCAAGCGTATCGACGAGCCTTTCATCACTGTGGACGATGACAAGAACGAGTGGGCACTGTAGACACACAGCACTGGGCTCACATGACCCGGCCAGTGTCCACTGTGACATTGCCGCCCACGGTCTCCTCTGAGTGAACATTGTGCACACCTACCTCAATGCGGAAACCATGTGTACTTATCCAAAGTAGTGATAGCGAGGGCGTTTGATACCCATAATCAAGTCGTTTGAAACATGTAACTCTAGAAGTACTCACGTTGTTGGAGCATGAGACTCTTGGTGCGCGCTCACATGTCAGAAAGCTCATTGCGAATAGGCGTGTCGCCCTTTTGCACCACGCCAATTTACGTGCCTTGAGTTTGAGCTAGGAATCTTGACACTTCCAGGATGACTTATATTATGTCAAGCCGGCGCGCGTAAAGGTTAGAATAGCCGAACTGTCAAAGCCTTTAGCGTTCACGGCTTCTTACTTTCGGGTTCCTGATGCTAGAACTGTCTTTCCGCCAAGCTTTGTCATAAGTGGCCGTAATAATATATAATGTCACCGTTCAATATCTCGATGGGATCTATTCGAAACCGGCTCCCGAGACAATTACTTGGTAAATGCGTCGCATACCGGTTGCTTCATGACTTTCTAAGCGGCTAACAAGAGAATATCTTTGCTATTTATATGCTTGAGTCCGTCTGGAATCACTCGAATGGAAAGAAAAAAAAAAGAGTGAAAGGTCAGAACCAACGCAATTGAGATGCGATACCATTGAGAGTGACCGAGACATGGTCTATCTGGAGCAGGGTTTTGTGTATTACATATACACGCATACGCTCAACGCGATCATTTCTCTTGGTGAATGAACGAAAAAAAGGGAATTATGTCTCACTCGGCAAAGTCACGTTGTATGGGGGAAGGGCGGTTGAACTGATAACAGTGTCTCAGACCATCTTGTAGACGTTCCTGAGGATCTGGATGATCCATTCCCCCTTTCTTCTTCTTCTGCTTCTGCTTCGTCTCCTCCCACAGTCGCGTGAATGGGTGTCTCACCGTAGAAGCACGAGGAAAGGCTGTGCGTATTTTGGTGTGCGTGTAATCGCTAGCAGGGCCTGACATTCTTGAGCTATTGGTTTACGCGTTATTTCATCTCGCATCCCTGCTTTTGTTCCCAAATTGCGCGTGCCTAACATGATTATAGTGAAGTAGGCAATATCTATCGTCTCTGATCTACTCTCCCTCTCCAGGTCGTAAAGTACTTCCCCATCTCTTGAGGATTCTCAGCCATAAAGCAAGCCATTCACGTTTCTTAGACTTTCCGCCTTCCATTACAACATCTATCCAATCACAACCGGTCGATAACCCAGAATAAGAAACCTGTAGCTTTACATACTGTTCCATTCTACCGCATTTATTTTTCTATACCGCCCAGGGAAGCCAGGCTTCTATCGCAACAAATTTGGCTTTTCGGTAATCTGCGCTTATTCCCCCCGTCCGCCCCAAATTTTCTTACACTTGTTTGGGAGCAATGTGTCCTCAAGATCTATGATAGCCTCATCTCCCCGCCGATTCAATGATTACTTCCTCTGGTTCCATGATTATTGCATCCTCTGCATCCACGATGACTACTTCCTCTGGCTCCGTGATGGCTGCCTCTGGTTCCACCATGACTATAAGCCGACCGGCTTTATACAGGGCCTTGACTCTACTCGTCTTCCTTTGGGTGCTGGCCTCTGTTTCTTATATGCGGGTGAGTAAGCTGTTTTACTCCTTCTTTTCAGAATGCAAGCGTTATCTCGGTGTGAGATTTGATGAAACAGATTGTAGCCTTCTACTGACTGACCTCTTCGTACAGAATAAGAGTGAAGACAATAGTCTTCTTCATACATTAGAACAAGGCAGCCAAAAGACGTCTTGGCACGTCTATTCCTCGGGAAATGATTCCGAAAATGAGGATGTCGAGGAAAAGGCAGATCCAAAATGGTCACAATCAGCACCACCAGCCACGGACAAACAAGACACAGTGTCTCCCTCGATGACACGGCACACGGACCGGGTCGCCGTGACAATCGAGAATCGGCCACTCAAGAATCTCATTCCCGTGATTCTACACTTCCACAGTGTACTGGGCCCCGAGTGGCCCGTCATCCTGTACACGACGCCCTCGTCGGCTGCAAACCTCTCGGAATCGGCGCCATTTGCGCGCGCCATCAGCGAGGGATGGCTGGAGATCCGGTACTTGCCCGAGACAGCCATCTTTAGCAGCCATCGGGCCGTATCGCTCTTCCTGTCGGGGACATGGCTGTGGCAGGATCTGGCACCGTACGAAAAGGTCCTGCTCTTCCAGGACGACAGCATCCTGTGCTCGGCCTCGGCCGCGCGCGTCGATGACTTTTTGCAATGGGACCTGATTGGGGCGCCCATTGACCCGGCCTACGGCCGAGGCTATAACGGCGGGCTGTCGATTCGGAACCGAGCCTTGACGCTCGATGTATTCTCACGCTACAGCTGGGCCAATGATAGCGAGACGCCCGGCGCGCCCACCCATTTCCTGTTCGAGGACCAGTGGCTCTATACGCGCATGGCCGAGTTGCCGGCGCGTGAGGACGGCCACCCCGGCGCCAGGCTGCCCTCGCAAGACGTCGCCCGCGCTTTTGCCGTCGAGACAATGTGGGAGGAGCGGCCGCTGGGCTTTCATCAGCCCTCACGGTGGCAGAAGGACAGACTACCCGAGATCATGAAGTATTGCCCCGAGGTCGGCATGATCAGCGCCGCGGCTTTCTTCTGAAGGATGCTTGACGAGCAACAATGGCCAATCTGCGAGCCGAAAGTCTTTGGCTTTCAAACGACCAGTACATTCAAGAGTTGGATCAACGGGCAGGTCTTCTGGGTCTGCTACCATTCAACAAATGGTTGAGTCTTACGTGAATATCTGTCGCGGAGTAGCTGGTTGAGTGTCGATTCTCAACATGGTCTGAGGAATTCCAGTAGCAGATGGTCAATTGCAATTCGAACTACATGATCCAGTTAATCAGTACAGGCAGGAGGAACATTAGGTTGTCAGTTCTAATTATTCACAACTTCCCCACCTTGGACATTGAGAGACAGGCGAGCCATATGGGAGAAGAAAAAGCAGATGCTGGAATGGTTGGATCAAAGTACCGGGCAACTTTGCTCAAATCAGATAGATCATTAAATCAGCATGTGATCTTCTGGAGTGTTTCTGACACAGAAAAGGAAAAAGATCTTATCAGAACAGGAGACTTGCAGCATGCACAAGATGCGCATATTTTGTTTTGGTGATGATGATCTTCGTTTGCTTTCTTTGAGCAGAATCACATGCGGCTGCAAGGTAATATCATGCGAATGCCCTTTCGAGTATTGCCAGCCGGTCGACTTAAGCTTAATATTGTCTCCGGGGCCGATGCAGGGTTGAGATCCGATGCCTGGAGAGCTGCTACTTGTTACTGATTGAATGAAGGAATAATCCATTTGTCGGCATTGATGCATCTATGCATTCTGGTGGTGATGGACAATGGATAGAATCTTCCCATTACCAATTATGCCCTTGAATGGATTGGGGATCGCAGGAATTGTTGTGGTACCTCCAAAATGGAGTGCCCCGAGCTTAGGTACTTTTTTTTTTTTTTTTTTTTTTTTTGGTTCCCTTCCCCAAATTGGTTGGCTGGCTTGACAGTTGAAGGTTGTTTCACGCGACGTCACTGGCTGACGACAAGCCATGTTCTAGCCAAGGCGCCTGAATAATGCGTAGAATATATGGGGGTTTGGCTCCAATTTGGGGACAAGAATAGCTGATGCCCAGACTCGAGAGGATAAATATAGTTTTTGACCGTTCTCCAAGGAATTTTAAGCAATCCGTGGGTTTTGAGATCTGGCTGATTTCCCGCCTTCTGGAGGATGTGCCGAGGATTTTCTTCTTCTTGTTGTTGTATATGACAGCTCACTGATGTGCCAATGCGTTGGCCATAAACCGCAGTAGACTTTCTCAAGTGTCCGGCGGTAGCTGATCCCGCAGTGTGACAGACACTGGCAGCGGCGCAAGACAGAACGAACACCAGGGGTCGTTGCTGGGCAAACCTTCTTTCACAGCGAAAGCTCCTCGAGCTCTCCGAAACCCCTTCGGCTGGTTGTATCGTTTGTTGTAATTATGGGAGAACATGGAAATGAATTATCGCATGAGCTACTTGGCAAGTCGGAGAGCTTGGCCAGATTGACAGACGGAAGAATGAACAGGCGGGTTCGTATGTACAGACAGAATAGGTTCAGCATTAGTCTGTATGTACCTGGTGATAAGCGGGCATATCGCATCACGCATGTGTGGTGTTTCAGATTCTTGATATCCTGGTAACTCTGTCGTCTGACCTTTTGATTGGCCTGGCATGATTCCGAGAGCACCCCCTTCAGGGCAGGAACGGGACTGGGGATCGTCACAACCCTGAGCTATGTGCTCCTACCATCATCCAAGCCATCCCATATGTCCCTGGTCGGATCGTCTCCATTATATGCATGGTGTACTCCAACAGAGCAGCAAGCATGTACAGAGTATGCAGCAGTATCATGGTATGCAAGACCTACAGGCCACTACTGCCCGTCTATGATCTGTGACTGGCAGGATGCCAACGACTACAGCACTAGTATAATCAGCATCTGGAATCAAGTTTCCTTTTCCTCTAGGTTTACCAATCATGGTCGCCTTGTGTGGCACTTCAATTACATGGCTTGTTTCTGGCATGGAACATTGCACGCGCGGTTGCTCTACCTTATACGAAGGGCTATTCGCCTGCTGACTGGCAAACGTCCTTTGGTTCCCGCTTTCAGTCCAGGGGACCTGTCAGTCAACGAGCGTTGGGATTGATGCCGAGCTATGCTCATTCGTGCGCCGCAGAACCGTGGCCTCGTGTTCCTTGGGGCATTACACGACCTCGGCGTTTCAACAGGCACCTAATCCGGAATTGACCAATTTATTCGCTTCAGTGGTCCGGTATCCGGGCATGAGTGATGTCTCTTCCGCCTGGAGTTGGAGAGATGTTGCACTACATTATCGAGCGAGGCAGCTGGAGCAGAACGGTACATGGTCCGGCTGTGGATATGGGTGGGATCCATATTCTGGCAACCCTTATGAATGATTGCCATGAACGGCATCGCACATTCTGCACGTCTTCGAGAATGTTTTATACTGCCGAATTAAATCCTAGTGCACCCCAAGCGATGCCACTCTGAGCCCGCCTAAAAGGGCACAACAGGGTGTGCCTCGTTGTCTATATGAAGCCGTGTGTTGCCAAAAGGGTCCACTTCAGGCCACTCCGTACAGAGAGAGTGGTATGAGCTGTGTAGAATCAAAAATAGCTCCCGCGTTCGGGCCATGAGTTAATTCCTGGAACGACCATGGCGATATCGAGACCAGACGTTGCAATTTCACCTTGTGTATAGAAGGCTTTGATTGTCAAGAAAACGCTCCTTGCAAGACACACTGTTGACGGTCGAGCTTACGCTGCGCCTCTTGTGAACCTGTTGCGTCTGCCTGTATGAAAGAGACTTGGTCGTACTATACTAACCTTAGGTAGATGTAATGATCCACAGGATCTGCTCCCGTCGGCGTGACTGTGGGTGGGCTGGCGGGAATGGAGGGAGTCTTTTGGGGGGTTTGGCGCATGAGCTGGTCCGCGCAACACGCTACTATAACAGTCCCGATCGGACTGTTTTTGGCGTACGGTACCAGGCAGTTTCGGATGACTAGCGCATCTACGGTAAATGCACAGTAGCCACGGACATGATGACTTACCCAGTAGAGACTTCGGTAGTCTGTAGCAGGGCGGCCTTGAGAGAAGAACAGTGGTAGTAACATCAAGTCTTCATTACTCTGTTCGGCGACAAAGTACCGTGTATCAATTCCTCTGAATAATCGGCCGCTGACGTTTGAGAGGCTCCGGACGAAAGACACGACTGTGGTTGAAGAGAACATGCAGACAGACACTGACTGGAGAGGGCGAGTGCCGTAACGTTGAAGCATAACCAGGGGAGTTCCATCCCCCCGATTGAGATCTCCTACTTCCTCGTCAACAAATGTGACAGAAGCCATTGCCGGAGGATGCATCGTCATCAGCTTTTGACGTGGCTTTTCATGCGTCCTTGGAATCAGTCTCATGATCGTGTGGGAGAAAGGCCTCGAGGCAGGCGCAGCACTCGATGAATAGACAGTCTTTGGTACCTGCAGCAGAGGGGCCGTCGGACATACATATGGAGACGTGCCTAGTCAAACCTACGGTATGTGACTCGGTAGAGCGAACCCTGCAGGCTTTTTTTTTTTTTTTCCGTTGCTCAATCAGTTACTTAATATGCCTGAGTAGCTCTGAAAAGTACCAGGTTCCGGTGTAAAATTGAAGATATTCCATTGCCCTACATACGCATGACTATAGAGGTATTGCTAGTGGTCTCAATAATGGACTTGACCAAAAAAGAAGAGTATCGAGGATGAGCAACCGAAACGACTTCCACCACCTTGCAATTGTGCTTCATGACTCTCGACTTTTTGTCGACAATAATAAGCACGGTTGACTTGCCAGGTCTGCTGCATCATCCGAGATCCCGTTTCTATCAAGTCTTTGTTTGTATACACACTTACATATTATACATAGAGTAGGCGCCATGCTTCTTCTTCTTCCTGAGAAGAAAGACACAAATATTGGCTTACCAGCTATACTCACAGTACGTAATAGTTGTGCGCCTGGGGGTAGGTATCGAGAAATAGGCGCATGCAATGATAGAGCAGGGGGGTTTTTGGTTGATTTGCGTTGCAGCTCTCCTGTATGATTGATTGTAAGGAAACTATTTAGATAGGTATAGCTCGCATTTATCATCATCTTGCGGCCTGAATTGATTCATGTAGACTTCATCCGTACAGACCACCAAAGATAGATACATGGTAACTACCTACGCAGTGGCAGGTAATGTAGGTAATGCGCATGGCCACGGTGCCTCACTGGCCTTCCTACCAGATTCGCATTACATTAGATATAAAGAGGACGGATCAGCTGTGTGGCCCCTCTCTTCTCCCCTGAATCGAGAAAGCATCGTGTTTCACCTTTCCCCCAAACTGCCGCTATTCTGTTCTAGTAATCGGGTGTCACCGTACGTCCAAACGCCTCACTCCAGTCATTTGCGGTCCCTTGAGCTGTGACTGGTCAACGGCGCGAAATTCTTCTCGAGTACTGCTGCTGCTGCTGCCACTGAAGGTGCTGCGCCGAGCCCAGTGGACGTCAGACCACCCCTCATCTACACTACTTTTGCCCTAGGTAAGTACCTACCCATTTTTCCCCTTCCGCCTTCCTACCTTTACCTAACAGATGTTCTGCTGCTCCTCTGCGCCGTACCTAGAGGTACCTACACAGCGCTGAGGGCTACCTACACTACAATACCAACAGCCAGGCTCTCTGCTCCATCCCCAAATCCCCAATCCCCTGAACCCCTGCCTCACATCACACCAGCACCAGTTCCTGTTGCCAGTTCGCTAGGCACATACACGGTGTGTACAACAGAGTAGTGGTGCTTCGCTCCCCCTAAAATCGACCGCCTCTAGTAGGTTGAAAACAAAATACCTTGATCTTACGTATGCGTACCGACCTACAACCCGGCTACTGCTATTTTTTTTTTTAACTCTTGCTGCTGCTCGAGTTCTTCGTCCAAGGCTTTTTTTTTTATTGGGGCCTAGTCGTGAGATCCAACCAAGGACACATCTATCCACTACATCCACCAAATCCACCCTCCCCGTCTCCCATTCCCATGATCCATTTCTATACGCACACATCTACCTCTCCAACCTTCTTCCCTTTTCTCTCTTTCTCTCTTCCCCGGTCCCTTTGATCTGCCCTCTGTCTCTTCTCCAGGCTTTTTTCAACCTCCAATTGTTCCAAACTGACATTGGACGCCACTTAATGCAGCCTGTATATTGATCCATCGGCTTGGTCTCTTTTTATTTTTTCTTTTATTTCACTCACGAAGCACGCCTCCGCCGAGCTGTCCGTGGTCTTCCCAGTGCCGGAAATCTCTTCCTTCCACTTGCTTGAGCCACTCCGTCTCGGCCCCCCAGGCATAATCGAGTACAATCTATCGATCTACTTGAGAGACTTTCCAGCAAGCCTGGGAGCAGACTGAGCTTAAAAAGAAGCCAATTGCCAAGACGAACGCCAATCGCCGCTATCATAAACCTCTTAGGCTGTGTCTTTGAACTTTCCGCTTCGCCCGCCCACGGAAGGTAAAAGGCAAAAGGCAGAGCGACAGACACCCGCTCGACCCCAAACAACCCTCCGCCTCTGTCATCCCACGACAGCCCGCGACGCTTCACTTGCCATCCTCTTTTTCTCTTCGAGACCAAACCCGCCCAACGGCTGACGAGTCCCGTGGACCGACCTCTCACGACAGCGTCCTGACTGCCGTATCTTGTAATAACCCATCTCTCTTTGGGATTACTACTTTCGATATTGTCGCTCCTTTTGATCTTTCTCTTTGGTCCTCAACCCAACGACCATAATCTCAATTACGCAAGTCGATCGCATCGAGCGAGGCCTTTCGAGTACACGACAAGACAGACCCACATAGACGTCCTTGACATCGTATTGTCACCAAAGCTCCAGCAGCATCCACGCACGCACGTACCCACGGCTACTGACTGACGTCTTGTGCCCGCCCCAACCTGCTGCCAGACAGTGGCTAATATTCATCATCCATTGACCAACATTCAAGAGCATCACCATCATACAAGGCCGACATCTCCTGAATGAGGGTCAGACGAATAATCGATAATGTCAAGTGCTAGATCAGAATATCTCAACTTGGGCCACCCCATCCCAGCTACCAGCCAGGGTCGCTCAGCTTCACCCACCACTACCAACTCAGCTAGATCACAATCTCCCATTGAATCATCAGGCGCATCGGCCGTCAGGTCCCCATTCGGCATGTCTGGCACATTGAACCCCGCTGGCAACAAGATGGCAGGAACCACGCGATCTGGAGCTGGTTCTCCTTCGCATGACTTATCCGCGTCTGGCAGGCTATTCTCCAAGAGGTAAGCTGAAAAAAGAAGCCGCTCATGTTTTGCTCGTGATGCTCTGATTCCGCAAAGTGAGACAAAATACTAACTACGTCTGCACAGAGCTCGAGAAATCCAGGCTCAGGAAGGCGTGCCTGGAATACCACTGAACCCTTGGGGTGGCCCGCCTACCAGTGGGAATTCGACTCCGCTCCGCGAGAATATCCCAGAGTCGCCCACCGACGGGTTCCCTGACTTTGCTCAATTGCCGTCATCAGAGAATGGACCATCCGGTGGGAGACGTGCTCGTGCTGGCACCGTTCCGTCCCGGTTCCCTGGGGCGGCCGTTGGTAACGGATTGCTGAGCATTCCCACTCTGAATGCTCAGTCCTCGCGTGTCAGTCCCTCTCAAAGTCCCTTTAACAAGTCACCCTCTCCTGGCTTGAGCGAGACTTCGTCCGGCTCGCTTCTGTCACGACTGCGGGCTGGATCTATGCCGCAGCGAAGTCCGTTCAACAATATTCCCGGCACAAGCTCCCCCTTTGGACCAACTCTCTTCAGCGGTAGCTGGAACCCCTCCTCCTCGGGTCGCGAACGTGGAAACACTCTCGCTAGTATCGCGAGTGTTGGATCAACCAACGGCCCCAGCTCGCCCGCGCAGTCTGCGTTCTCCAAAGAGGGGACTGGTGAGAATGACGTGCACATGAGGACCCTCGACTATCTGGGACTTGCTGAGACGCCCCAGCCTGCTCGTGCGCAGCTGGCCCCTGGATACTTGCCTGGGTTGGCAGACTTCACCAAGCAGGCCAACCGCTTCCGTTCATACTCGGTAAACAACAAGGACAAGTACGCTGATGACGAGGACGACGATTACGATGATTTGGCTTCCGAGAGTCAGTATGCCGCTGCCCTTCAAGATCAGCTAGCTGCTACACAAGCCGCCATTTACAGCCACAATATTGCCGTTCAGAACTTCCAGAACCTGGCCGCCCAATCGATTCGTCCTAGAGCCAGAACCGTCGGCGGCTTGGATTTGACCGCCGCCGGTTCCCGAGGCCTTCGGAACTTCTACCACACGCCATCACGCTTGGACAGCTCAATGACTGCCACAGAGATTCGTTTGCCGGACGAGAAAGACTTTGAGGATCTGCCGCAGGCTGTCGCTGCTATGAATCTCGGTCGATCTAACAGTCGCAATAACGGCTTGCTGTCTGCAGAGGAGGGACTCGAAGGGCCTACCAGCGCCTTGTGGCTCGGGAGCATTCCCACTTCAACTACGACCTCGACTCTGACGGAGATGTTCAAGCAATATGGCCCTATTTCTTCAGTCCGGGTACTGACCCACAAGAATTGCGGTTTTGTCAATTATGAACGTATAGACAGTGCAGTCTCTGCAAAGACGGCCATGAATGGCAAGGAGATCTTCCCTGGCGCTGGCCCGGTGCGCATCAACTTCGCGAAGCCGCCTTCGGCCTCGAATACGCCGGGTCACGATGGGGTCTTCCCGTCTCCAAGTCCAGACCCCTTTGCCAAGGGGGGTGACAACGCAGGCTCGAACCCAGCCACTGCCACAATTGACGGAGCCGCCACAGCCTCCCCAACGAACGCGGCCCCAGTGATCCCTCCTCTGCATGAGATGACACCGGATATTTTGCAGATTGTCAAGTCACTTGGTGCTACTGATGAGGATACCTATAACATTTCCCTCAGCTTGAACGAGGCTGTCGGCTTCACCAACTTCATTGACGAGATACCTCCTGTAAAAGAACCCACTCACACACGTGTGCACGATGCACCAAAGCTTCGAGATATTCGCAAGCGTATCGACAACCAGAGCCTGTCTCAGCCAGAGATTGAGAACATTGCTGTTGACATGCTTCCCGAAATTGCCGAGTTGGCTTCAGACTACCTGGGTAATACTGTCGTCCAGAAGTTATTCGAGCACTGTTCTGATTCCATTCGCGATGCCATGCTCACTGAGATTGCGCCTCATTTGGCAGAAATTGGCGTACACAAGAACGGCACATGGGCTGCTCAGAAGATCATTGATGTGTGCAAAACACCTGAACAGATGAATCTGATTGTGCGACATATTAGACCGTACACAGTTCCTCTATTCCTGGACCAATACGGCAACTACGTGCTTCAAGGTTGCCTGAAATTTGGTACTCCCTTCAACAACTTCATCTTTGAGACCATGCTGAGCAAAATGTGGGACATCGGTCAGGGCAGATACGGTGCCAGGGCAATGAGGGCCTGCCTTGAGAGCCACCATGCCAGTAAGGATCAGCAGCGCATGCTGGCCGGTGCCATTGCGTTGAATAGTGTCCAACTTGCCACCAATGCAAATGGCGCCTTGCTTCTGACCTGGTTCCTTGACACCTGCACCTTTCCCCAGCGTCGAAGTGTGCTGGCACCGCAGCTTGTGCCCTACCTGGTACACTTGTGTACGCACAAGGTTGCCTACCTTACTGTTCTCAAGGTGATCAACCAAAAGGCTGAAGCCGATGCCCGTGACACAATCCTCAAGGCCTTGTTTTTTACGCCCAAAGACCATATCCTCGAGGCAATTCTGAGCGATCATGCATGCGGCGCAACTCTGATCTTCAAGGTACTTACGACGCCCTTCTTTGACGAGAGCATCCGCAGCCAAGTTGTGGAGAACATCAAGAATGTCCTTGTCCGCATCAAGGCTCAGCCCAACCAAGGATACAAACGACTGATGGATGAGGTCGGTCTCTCGACTCGCAACGGCGGTGGATCGCGGGATCACTCTATCAGCGCAACGGAGCGCCAACGCCCTGCCTCGAGGCAAACACAATCACACGCACAAGCAAACGCTGCTGCCATTCAGCAAAATGCCCAGTACAACAACCAGTACATGAACCCCCTCAGCCAGACCAACACTCCCGGGGGCTACGAAATGGGCTTTGGTGTCTCGAGAACCGAGCCTAGCGAGTCTGCCATGCCTCCCTTCCCACAGTACGGTCAGCAAAACACAATGTACAATAACACCAACCCCGCCATGGTCCCGGGCATGCAGTCGATGCAGTATCAACAGAGCATGATGCAACGCGGTAACCCTCCTATGAACAATTTTTTCCCGACTATGCCAGCAGCTGGTTTCAATGGATACAATGGCCCGGCACCGCCAATGGATCAGTACCGCGGCCAGAACATGGTCAACAGCAGCCCTATCCAACCCCCTGGGGCCCCTACAGGCTACGGTCCTCCTGGTTTCAATATGCCCATGGGAATGAGCAGCTACCCCTACAATGGCGGTATGCAGCAGAACATGCCTTATATGCCGGACCAGCAGCCTATCAACAACGGACGGCGCGGACGGGTAGGTCAACCCTCCCATCGAGGCCGGAGGTCGCCGCGGCCATAGGGTGTCCTCAGCTAACGATGATGATGCAGAGATGATTCTCCCATTCTCTTTGGCATGTTTCTGGGTAGACAAAAGCATATTTCCATGTGCCTCTCTGGCGTGATCAACTGGTTGATTGCGAAGATTGACACCCCGGTCAAGGAGTTGTTTTTCTATTTTATATTTCTTTCTGGGTCTGGCCAAAAGCCACACACCAACTGGTGGGCAACCATCGACGGCAAGTTTGCTTCAATAGTTGCCAGACATGAGAAGAACGATTTCAATCAGGCTGTTGCCTCTACTCGGATAAACCATGATGGGCGTCATGATGGCTTTTCGCATCTGATTTATTATATGAGACAAAGTTATCACGGGCGGTATCTCTGCTAGGCGTGATGCAGTTGGGACTGTTAGAGCGCGAGGCCAACATAAAAGCCTTGGTGCCAACGTACAAGGGCTGGACCAATGGATGGGACTCGGCGATTGATTTGTGCTTTCGGACTTGAACGGGCATGGCAAGGCGGTTTCACAGTAGCTGGGTGGCGGCGGCAGTGGTGATACGAATATGATGGAGTGAGACAAGTTTAGAGGGCAGTCTCATCAGTCAGGTTCAGTATGATTCGAGTGTATGTTTTATCGCTAGTCAATGATATAAGCCTCACGATGCATTGCTTCCAGAAACAACTCGAGTGATTCAACCAAAGAAGGAGATATTACAGGTGCCGTCTCCGAGTCGTAACCAGTCATTGCTGTCCATGCACGAGAAGAATGTGAGTAGAGATCATATTCAATAACAAAGAGCAATCCGGCATAGAATGGTGAAGGAGCGGAGAGTCACGAGCTTTTGTCAAGAAGCCCTCCTCTTCCTTACCTTGGTCATGGTCATGCAGTGTGGGCTGATGGGATGGTGGGGGGATCCGATGTCCTTTCCCCCTTCTTATTCAATGCAGCGGTTAAAATGAAAAGAAAAATCGGGTGGTTGGGAGGGGATGTGTCAAGAAGGGAGAGAAAATGGACCGATTATCGAGCCAACTCTCCGGGTCAATCGCGTCTTTTACGACTTGGGACAGATTGGCCCCATTTTTCATGAGGTAGTTGCCAGTGAGAGAGAGGGAGGAGTGTGGCCTTCTTTGAAAGCACTAAAAAAGAGGGCCATAGATTCAAATCAGAGATGGGAGATCGAGATATCGTTAGCCCCCAAGGACGTGCTTGCTCAATTTTTGCTATCGTCAATGGTGTTTCGGCAAGAGATAAGTCACTAGACAGCTCCAAATGGTGTCACCACACGAGAGGACTGTAACTTGGGAGTGTTGTCACTTGATCAAAATATTGATGTTTTGATGAATCCTATTGATTGCCACTCTGTACGCTGTGAAGCATAGTCAAAGAGGGCCGCTTGCGGAATCCCCTTAAGAGCATATTGGGGACACCTGTTTCCTTTTCTTCTTCCGTCCATAACTAGGTACATATGTTGGTTTCTTCTCCCTCTCCCCCTTTCTGGCTCTTCAAATCACAACCCTCTGGACTATCAGGGGGAGAGCAAACAACAAAAACCGGATGAAAAGCAAATGCACACCAGACCAAAACGCTGGTGGGTATCGACCTGAAGAAATTATGTCTAGAGAATCGTACGTTTGCCAGCTGGTCGTACGCCAAAGAATCCTTATGGAGAAAAAGTCAGATGACCAAGATATGAACTTGATCATCCTACTGTTACAGGGCAATAATAGTATCGTCGAAGTGGGTGGGCTCTTCTAGAAAACGCTCAAGCCCCATACGGTTGTGGTGATTGTTGTTGTTTTCTACTTTGAGCCTGGCAGCAAGCCAGTAGGCAAAGCGTTCCTTGGGTTAGAGCTTTATTCTGATGAAAGCGTTTGGGTTTGGGTCAAGTTTGCATCGTGCTTGAGTTTCTCCAAAAATGCTTGGAGTGTAAACGTGTTCTTGATGGATGAGTCGCATGGCTTGTACGACGCGGTTGTGCAGCAGCACAAGAGAGGAAAAGAATAACAATACTGGTTAGTCCATCTGCATGGACGAGTCGTCTCCTTGCTGACTGTTTTGCGGTGTTGCCTCTGAGGTGGTGGCAGCTTTGGCAAGTAGTTTCTGGACCTGGACCGTCATCTGCTCTAATTGTGCGAGCATGGCTCTAAGCGAGTTTTCATCGTTTGTGGCCAAGTTACCACTGTTGATGGAAGTGGCATTGCCTGCAGCGATCAGTGACACAACAGCTGGCGGAGCGTGGGACTAGAGCGAGTTGGTACGTGGTTAGCACACTCAGTCAACAGGTTGACAGACATTGTCTCCGTCTCTCTCTCGCGCCAGAATGGCAGTGCCATTAAAGTTGAACCAAGAAGAGTGTGAGAGGAAATAACTATACTTACAACCAAGGCATCGACAAGGTGGGATACACCGTCGGTGCCATTACGGAGCTGGTATAGATTAAGAGCAGCTTGTTGTTGCTCGACACTGCGAGAGGGGATGGGCAAAGCGGGGTTGGAGGAGCGGGACTCTGGGGTTGCTGCTCCTGCTGAAATGCGCCGTTGCTGCTGCTGCTTGGCTCGGTTTTCATGCACACTGTGACAAGATTAGCGTCTTAGCGAAATTGGCCGACATCCCCATCCTCCTCCATCCATTGGCACCAAGCACTTACCGAGACAAGAAGTCCAGCTTGATGCCCTTCTCGGGCAGTCTGTAGACGCGTCCAAAGTCTCTACGAGTTGCCGTCCACGTGTCTTCGGCATCGTCGTCATCTTCCTCAACTTCGATCCAGCCATTATTTCGCATGCCTCTACTATACGCTTGCTCAATGACTGGGGCGTTTTTGAGCTTTCGGAACTTGTGTGCTGGGCCGAGGGATGTCATGAATGCATCCTCCATATGGCAGGGGCAGCGCCAGTTGCGCAGGACCGGGGGCACTGCGAGAGGGGGGTCCAGACACTCCAGATGCCAATTGAGCCCGCAGACAGAGCAAGGAATGATGGGCCTATTGTTGGTGGCACCTTGGTGACATTGATGGCATAGCACGGCACCACCCTCTGCAGAACGGATTCGAAACCAGTCAAAGTCTTCTACAACACCCTTCTTGCTAGGTCTGAAGAAGCAGAGGTATTGAGTCAGCTGACGAGTTGCACACTAGTGGGTGGGATACACGAGGGAATAATTCTTACTTGGGTTTGGTACTGGTGACCTCTTCGTATTCGCCATCCGGGCCAGTCTTGACTCCCTCAAAGCACTCGCGAATGTCAAGAGGTAGTCGGAAAGAGATGGGATTCTTTCTGTCCAGTGCGTCGAGCAGTGTTCCAAAAGCGCCGCGGTGGCCCGTCAACTTCTCTGGGAAGTACTTGCGAGTGCATTCATGACAGTACCATTCGTCTGGCATGAGATTCTCGTCGATAGGAGGATCGATGCAGAGAAAATGGAAAGAATAATTGCATCCGTCACAGCAAACCAGTTCACCACTGCCGCCGCACGTAAAGCATGAATCGTCATTCTCATCCTAGTGGATCCTGGTCAGCATGAAGAACTTGGGTCTGGGTCAGTAGGCTTCTGCCATCGGGTCCGGCAAAAGCGGGAACAACGGGTGTCGCCACTGGGGACAAGTGTTCGCAATTCGTGCGCAACCAAGTGTTTCACCACAATGCCTCATAATCTCCATCACCCCCGAAACTGGTAACATGAGCAAGTCGGTGCATTCGCTCTCAAGTCGTCAAGCTCAGGCAAACGGGGGGTTTTTTTTTAATGCCCCTGCCCCCTTCCCTTTTCCCTTCTCAAGACAGATCAAAAAAATCAAGTAGTGGGCCTTACCTTATCATGCTGAGGTCCTCCAAACACGGGACTCGGCCGCGAACTGCCACGAGGAATTCCCGCTGCACCTCCCTTCTTCTTCATGGGCCTAGATAGCAAAACAATAGTCAGCAGATGTACAAAGTAGACCCAGAGTAATTATGTGACTTGAAAGGCCATGGCGGGCAAAAGGCGCATGCTTTCAGGGCACAAGAACACCGAAATGCACTGCTGCGGAACCTTCTGGTGCTGTGGGTGGTGGTGCCAGCCAGCCAGCCAGCCAGCCAGCCACGTTGGGCCTGCGCCAATTGAGTCTGGTGGCCTCAACAAAAAACCAGTCTTGTTGGTCCAAACGCGCCCCAGTTCTGAATAACCTGAAGCCATGCGAAATTTCAACGGGAATTTACTTACGATGTCTTGACACGCAGTCCTCCTCTTGGCTTCTTTGCAGGGCGAGGGTTAGATGGCGTTGCCGCTCTGGAACTGCGCGCCGATGAGGGGGGCTCCAGGTCAGGCCGGAGAGCGGTGGTGGGCGAGGTGGCCTCATCCACGCCTTCATTGTGTCTCTTCTTTGCCCGGGCCGCTCGCAGAGACAAAGGCGGAGCTGGAGTCCTTACAGAACGCGACCTTGCAGCAGGCAGCGGCGTTGGCAGCTCCTCCTCCCGCGGCTCCGACGACAGGGGAATGCGGGTGAAGCTGTCTGCCACGATGTCCTTTGTGAGCTCACTCGTCTTCTGTCTTGCAGTCACCTTGTCCTCAATGAGACTTTTCTCAAGGAGAAGACGAGCATCATCAGTCTCAACAGTCTTGATAACAGTCTTGTTGGACTTGACCGACGGTTTGGTGATGCGCTTCTGTTGAGATTTGCCGTTGACCGCGATGGCGGTGGGCATGTCCGGGTTCTGTTTGGACGAGCGATGTTGGGTGGTGTCCGAAGAGGAATCAAGTTCGGGGGAGTGGTTCTTCTTTTTGGACGCGGGTTTCTTCTGCCGGCCGTTGATTGGCTGGGCTGCCTTGGTCGGGGCTGGGGCATCATTTGGCTCGGCAGTGCTAGGGCGCGAAATAATGCCCAGCTCCTCATCCACCTGATCCATAAATTCATCGTAGTCAGTCAGCGCATCGTCTGGAACACTCGAAAGAGACGAGTCGCTGCTGACAGACTGAGAACGTTGCCTGTTCCTACGCAACTTGCCTGGCGACTTGAATGGCGACTTGTGCGGAGACTTGTGAGGCGATTTGTGGGCCTTGCTCTTAACTCCGACCAAGCCGCCGCCGCTGCCGGTGACACTGCTGGTGCCAATTGTCGTGGTTGCCTTGGCCCCATTTTCTGTGACAGTGGCGTCGTCCTCGCCAGTAGATGAATGAGCTCCTTCTGCTGCTCCTGCTTGTGCCAGGGCGGTAAAAGAGACTTTAGTTGCCGGAGTAGGAGTTGTCTCTCTATCTGACATTGTCTTCAAGGCTGCCGCAAGTGCGGCAGGCGCGTCGTCGAGTAGAGGTGTCACATCATCCATGTCAATGTCGCCTTGATCGTCGAGCCTTGGCCTCTTGTGTACATGTTGGTCAAGGTCAAAATCGTCGACTTGAATCTTGCCCTTGGTCGGCGAGAGATCCATTGTCAGTAGAGCGCTGTAAGGCGCGGCCCTCGGCTTCTGCGGGGTGATGCGATGCTTGTTGGATGAAGGAACCCAGTAGTTGAAGGCTTTGTTCTCAGACTTGCCGTCCTTTTTTCGTGCTGCCATAAGGCGGTTGAATTCAGCCAGTGCGTCAATGTCAGCTCTTTGATGAAAGACGTCCTCGAACATCGAGACAAAGTAAGGCTGCTGGTGGTAGTCGTCGTAAAGGGTCCGTAGGGCATAGGCAGTAGGATACCGAAAGTGCCGCAGCGCTTCTTCAACTGCAACCTCCACGATCCTATCCACAGCTTCCTTGCTGTCGGGCTCTCTGTGCACCGAAGGAGGAGCAGTGAAGAAATCCGAATTGTCTATCGTCGCAGGTTCGTGTTCGTGCGCATGCTCAGGCAGCATGTGCTCTGACTTGAGTGCAACTTCTTGTGGCTGCGGTGTCAAGTCAAATGTAGGCACCGTTTGATTTGCTTGTGATAAGGAGGATTGTGTGGGAAGTGAAGAGTTTGAAGAAATTTCATTATTTGTGGGGGTGTGCGAAAGAGATGATGGTGAAGAACTTTTTGGGAGAGCGGTGGTGGCTGCGTTGCTGCGGCGCCCAGCACGACCAGGACGCGTAGAGCCAGCGTTTGCAGTGTTTGCAACGAACCCACCCGACGAGCGACGACCCTTTGCCGTTTTCTTCGGTACTGGCATGTAATCATCGTCGTCGTCGTCATCCAGTCCGTTGATCGGATACACCGGGCGTGTTGGCGAGAATGGTTCTCTGTCTGGTGACTCTATCGTCGGTACGGCAACAGGCTCCTCCACTACTGGCGTTGCCCTCGCTGCCGCACCCGGCTTCTTGAGCACAATCTTTCTCACTGTTGGTGTCGGAGCAGCAGGCGCAGGTGATCCCTCTCCTCCAGCTCCTCCCACTGGCGTCTGCTGCTTCTTTGCATGCTTGGGCAGCGTTCCCAAAGGCGCCATGTTTTCCACTACGCCGCCACGCATCAAACCTGCCTCCTGAAAACTCGGCTTGTTCTGCACGGGTGGTTCCAGCCATCGCTGCAAGAACTTCCTCTGCCCATCGGTCGTGACACCCTTGTTATGGCTTGCCGGTGAGCTCGAGAGGTGGAGCGGACTCGAGAACCGCGAGCGTGCGGACTTTGAAGTCGTCGACGGCATCATAGCTGCTTCTTCGCGGGCGTTTGCCCCCCTATCGTCCAAAGCACAACAGGCATGCAGTCGTCGTTCTTTTCGCGCCTGTTTGCACACTTAGTTTCGCGATCTTGTTGCGTATTCAGGACGAAATTCACTTACCGCCCCTGCCGATGGCCGTTTTAACGGATTGTCGGCGCGTCCTGACGTTGCTTGCGCGCGGCGAAGGATGGGAGAGTATGGGAGTGCCAAAATCCAAGAGTGGCACACGGAGAGACGCTAGGACATGGGGGCTCGTCCATTCATTCCTGGAGGGTCCGCAACTCGCGACCCCCGTCTCACCACACAAAAAAACGCGATGCTCTCGCGTTCTGATTTATTTTGGAAAATGATTCTTTGGGGAAAATTGTAATTGATTTTCCAATTTAATATTGGTGTTGTTTTTCTATGTGTCGTCTTCTATTTGCCCACGTGTAAGTGTGCCCGGGTTGGGCGGGCGTTTCGCGGCAAGCCATTCTTTTTTTTTTTCTTCCTCGTTTGGACTTGCTGCCGCTCGACAGACCTGTCACCCGAGGCGTCCGCGTACCGCGTGGATCATGCGCGCCTTACCTTGGAGCATTGACGAGGTGACCAACCACCGCCATGATTGGAAAACTGTACAATGCAATGGCCAGTTTTTGTCCCTTCTTGTTCATCTGTTCCATAACTATTCCCTCGTAGCATAAAGAAACTCCATTCTCCCGGGGGCCATGAAATCAATCAACTTCTCCAAGCCAACTTGGTCTGATGCTTCGTGAGCGAAATAGTTCAGATGATAAAGGGTGCAGCAAATACAACGTCACGCTGTGGAATTTGGCCTCCTCAACGAACTTCCATCACCTAGTTCCAGATGTCACCGACCATGGCCAGCTTATCTGGCTGTATAAGAGAGATCCCGACAAACCAACAACATTCGCTTGCTGCGATAAGGAGAAAGAAATGCCAGATGCTTTCCACTTTGATCATTTTTTGGCTGTAGTACTCTATCTGGGCTAATAGTTGGTTGATCGGCCGAATTCCAGTAAAGCCTTAGTACGTGAAAGTACGAAAATGCTCAGGCCGGCAAGAAAGCAACGCCCATCAAATGCGGCCCTTGAGTGATTCGACGATCAGAACCAAACTTGCCCGAGTATTTTGGTATTTACAAGGCGTGACTCCTCATCACAGCTTGAAACCCCAAAGAGTATATCCTGGCATAGGTACGTCTTCGTCCTTAGTACTTGGATGATATCTTTACTCGTCGTCGCTCTCCTCCTCACTCTCCTCGTCCTTCTTGGCAGTCTTCTTGGCGGGCTTCTTCTTCTTCTTGTTCTTGCTCTTGCCCTTGTTCCTTGCCAGGGGCTGCTCAAGGATCTTGAGAACCTCCTCATCGGTAATCTTCTTGTCCGACTGGAACTTGTCCAGGTCCAGAGCAGGGGGGGCACCAAGCTTGGTGATGCCGTTCTTGGTAATGGCTGGAGCGAGTTAGTTTTGGTATTGCCTCTTCATGATTATCTAGGCGCTATTCAACTTACCGACAGTGGTGAGCAGGCGGGCTACGGGGGCGTTCTCCTTGTCACCGACAACCTCATACTCACGGAGGAAGCCGTTACGGGTGCACTCCATGGCACCGAGCTTGGCGTCACGCTCACTCTCAAGCTGCCTCAAGCTGAAGGGGAACTTGTGGAACTTGGTCTTGACGTCGTGTAGCAGCTTCTTGGACGACGGGCGCTTGGCAATACCGCTCTCGTTGGCAAGACGGTGCAGCGTCGTTCTGTTCTCGAACTTCTTGACCTTGCCGGAGCCCAAGCTGACACCAATCTCGACACCCCAGACCTCGCCCAGCTCAGGAGTACCATCACCACGGGTGCCCTCGCTCGGCGCAAGGACAATCTTCTTCTTGTCCTCGATCTCGTTGCGGCCAAACAACCACGAAGTAGTGCTCTCAACCAAGTTGCAGTCGTAGGTCTTGACAATCTTCTCTAGGAGAGCAGTGATTCTGGCTTGGGTGGGAGCCTTCTCCTTGGCAGCCTTGGCCTTCTCCTCGTCGGTACCGGAGGTCAGTGTTCCAGGAGGGATCATCAGGCGCAGGAGCAGCTCGTTGGCGTAGTGTGTAGCCAGAACCAGGTCGGCCTCACGTCCAGTGACGACCTCGGACTCCTTGCCCTTCTCCTGAGCGAGCACGGTTCCACAGACAATTGTACCGAATCCATCGACCTGAGCGCCGAGCTGGATCTTGATGGGCTCGCCGGCCTGGATGGTCACGTTTGCCTCGGCTTCATCGGAGGAAAGAGGAGTGTAGGGCGTGACAAAGGCGGCAGGGGAGACAGTCGTCGGGTGGGCGAAACCTGAACAACGCACGTGAGCTGGAGAACCACAACGGGGAAGGGAAAACGGCGCGCTCGCTGAAGCCGCCAGGTTCAGCAGAGAGACTGACCCTTGAACTTGGTCTTGGCGTAGACCTTGGAAACCTCCTCCTCGAGGATCTTGTCACCCTTCTCGCAAATGGTAACAATCTTCTCGCCAGGCACAATGAGCTTGGAGACCTCGGCGAGCACCTTCTCGGAGATGCCACCAGCGGTCTTGTACTTGGTGAGGGTGTCTGGGTTGTTCAGACTGTAGTCTAAATACGGGCAGAATGGGTTAGCTAGCTCTCCTTGCCCTTTGTCACGTCGATACCGACTCGTGTCATGTCATGGCATGGCAGCCAGAGCAGGCCGGAAGAATGTGATTCAATGGCGGGGTAGTTCTTCGTAGTTTCTCAAGCTATGCCCAGGTGGGGGTGGAGGGCAGAATGAAGCGTATGTAGACTCGGGCGGACAGTCCTCGATAGACAGAAGGGTATATACTGACCGATAACTTCCTTGTCGGCCATTTTGACGGCTGTGATGTGTCAAATCAAGTGAGTGAATTGGATTGGGGAAAATGAATCCTGTATGACGGGGTCAACGAGGGGTGAATGAGAGGAAAGGCCCAAAAAGACGGATGGACAAGGTGGTCCGGTTCTGGTCCTCTTGGATTTTGGTTTTGCATTATTGTTGCTTTATTTGCCCCGCAATTGTGTGGGAGCTTAGTTTCTGTGAGCGTCGCGGGCAGTACCGTACCTAGGTCAGGTATGTAGGCAGGTAGGTCACAGGTTGGGCAGGTTCCAGTCCATTTCCGCGCTGCTCCGGAAAGTACAAGCACTGGTAATAATAAGACAAGGTACTTGCCGAGCTGGTGACGTCTGCCCATTGCCCTCTCTCTGCCCACTGCGACCACAGGATGGAGAGTTCCACTCTCAGCAAGCCTCAGCTCTGGCCGGCCCGCTGGCCAGTCTGGATCAGATTGTTATTCGTTGCTTTATTTGCACAGAGGGGCTGGAGAGTTGCCGCATGTGTATGATATCGGTTAGCAACAGTCCACGATGTCCTTTGATGGCGAGGTAACAGGTCCAGCACGCGAGCTCTCGCATCTATAAAATAATGAGTTAGACAAACAGAAGATTAGTTTCATATCCACCTGTGTCAATACAGATTGAATGCATATTACTTGTGCATATAGACATTTACTCTCCTTTAAAAAAAACTTATATACATGAAGTGCTGAGCAAACCATTACTTCACGGCTTTGGACTGCATATTGATACTATATATCAGCTCCATATAAATATCAAACATTGATGAAAGATGAAGGCGTATAGATATGTTAATTTTTCAGACGAATATGAAGCATACAGTCCTTGTTTGTCATGATGTAACCTATTTTCTGTGTCTTGAATAAGCCACCTGAGCAATGGAATGCACGGTGGCAAGATGTGTACAATTTTGGAAATTGTAATCGTAATTTGGTGAAGCTTTGAAACTCGACTTAGGAATTACCATGAAATAATGAGAGCTATAACTCAGGACTTTGTTGTGGCATTGCACAGTACATCTTTCGGTAGTACATCGAGCCAGACTTGGCCACGAATGCGCCTCGCTTGAGATGCATACCTAGTAGTCTTCAAGGAATACACAGGTATATAGACACAGACACCACATTATTGTTTGCAATAGAGAGTATTGGCTATACAAATTGAACTATTTCATGACTCGTGCTTGCCCGCCATTTGCTTCAACAATTATGTTTGATATTTAGTCTGTGTTTAACTGACAAGAGGCAAATAAGCGAGTCGGGACTAGGCAGATGCTAGGTCTTGCTAACTTTGCCGTTTAAAACCGTCATCCGGGAACAGGCAAGACATACCCGTGGACCTTATGCAAGAGAAAACGATACCATTAATGGAATTCCTTGAAGCAAGATAGTTTGGAAGCTGATTTATGTAGACACTTGGGGGATTCTCTATTTCTTCAAAAGACATGCTTATGGGACAGGTAGCTGTCTGCTGGTTGTATATGGCACGGAATCCCTATATCGTACAGAGTACTTGATTGACCCAAGGGCCAAGGTATCTAGCACGCACGTCCCCCCTTTCCTCAGTTCACTCATGTACTTGCCCTTTGGCGGCAGCTACCGCCTGGAAACAAGTACTTGTCTCGAAATAGGCAAGGCCTGGCGCGAATCGCGTGGCAGAGTCCCCAAAGCTGCTTGTTCATTCGACAGCCCGGCCGCTCTTTTTCAAATCAATCGCGACCTCCAAAAACCATCTTCGCCAACCCGCTCGCCGCATTGCCCCAATATCAGTAGTCACGACTTTGCAGCCCACCAGAACAGCAACCCATCGCCCTGCGCATTCGCTGTCTGACCATCGCCGATACTTGGCACAATCGCCCGTCTGCGGTCGCTACATGTGATCGATTCGCGACCCGCTGCCAATTCTCACATGGCGACCAAGCAGGACTCCGAGATGGCTTCTAGTGCCACCACGACCGGCGGTGCAGCTGCATCATCGTCATCCACATCCAACGCCAAATCCGAGCATTCATCCACCTCTACGCCCAATGGCAAGCCCGATGCGCCTGACGCAAACCCAACCGCCATGCCGGTCCGCGACAAGGAATCCTTCAAGCAGACTCTCATAAACCAGTACATCACCCGGGACCACCTACACGCGGCTGCCATTGTGGACGATCAGACACGCCTCAACAACCACAACAAGGATAGCTACAAGAAGATTGCCGACTACAAGCTGGTCCGGAACGAGTACCGCCCGTGGTTTCCGCCCGCGCGCCTGTATGGCGAGGGCTACAGCGGTTACGGCAACGGCCGGACAGAGATTGGGGGGCCAGCACGACTGCTATATCCCCAGCACAAGCCGCGGCCTGGCAAGCGCACAACTCCTGCATTAAAATGGAAACGCAAGGATATGAAGCAGCAGGCGGAACAGCATGAAGAACTCGTGCCCATACGCGTGGACGTTGACATGGACAAGATTCGCCTGCGCGACACGTTTACGTGGAATTTTCACGAGCGCCTTACGGCCCCAGAGCTTTTTGCCATGCAGCTCATTGAGGATATGGGACTTAAAGCGCCAATTGCTCAGCCTGTCTATGACCAGGTGACCATGCAGGTGAAAGAACAGCTCAACGACTTCTATCCGTTTGTTTTTTCAGACGAAGATGCTCTAGACCCAGAGCTACCATATTCCGCTTGGAAAAATGACGAGATGCGCGTTTTGATCAAACTCAACATCACCATCGGTCAACTCACTCTTGTGGATCAGTTCGAGTGGGACATCAATAACCCGCTAAACTCGCCCGAGGACTTTGCTGTGACCATGGCCAAAGAGATGTCGCTTAGCGGAGAATTCGTCACAGCCATTGCGCATTGTATCCGCGAACAGGTTCAACTCTTCACCCGCAGCTTATACAGCATAGGTCACCCATTCGACGGTCGCCCGATAGAAGACCCTGATTTGGTTGCTGCATTCCTGCCTTCGCCGTTGCCCAACGTCTTCAGACCGCAACAACAAGCCAAGGACTACTCGCCATACCTCTATGAATTGTCTGAGCAGGAATTGGAGAAGAACGAGGTTATCTTCCAGCGAGAACAGCGACGCCAAAAGCGCGCAACAGTGAATCGGAGAGGAGGTCCCTCTTTACCCGATCTCAAGGAGCGGCAGAGGACGATTCGCACTTTAGTTGTATCGTCTGTGTTGCCTGGTGGCGTCACCAATGTTGACGACAGCACTTTGTACAAGAGAGTTGCCGGGACAGCTCCTGGCCGCAAGGGACGCGGTGCGCGGGATGATCTCTCTGATTCGGAAGACAGCGATGATTCCTCCCCCGACTCGCCAGCAGCGTTGCAGTTGCAAGGAACTGCCAGAACAAGGGGAATGCGCGGTGCTGCCTCGGCTGCTGTCTCTCGTATGGCAAATATCGGGCGCTCTGAAACACCCGAAGCGACGCTGCATCATCACGAAACGAGGACTTCCCGGAGATTTGGCCGCGAACTAACGAGAGAGATGACCGAGGAACCTTCGCAAATGCTTGTCGTATTGAAGGTTGGAAAGGACAAACTTAGAAAGTTCTTCCGCGACCAGAAAACAAAACATAGCACGCCATCGGGAGCTCAGACACCCTCAATGGCCCATACCCGAGCACCGAGTGCTGCTGCCTCAAGCAGCATGCCGCCTCCCCCGTCTACACCCAAATCTTCAAACAACGCGGCACCGACTCCAGTAAAACCCGGCCCAGACGCTCCGCCCCCCGGACAAATCAGCCGTGTAGAAGCTCCTGCTCCCACGGCCGCACTTCCTGTACCCCCTGCTGTAAGACCCCTTGCTCACCCTCTGGGTTACTCCCAGGGCCCCCAATTTCGATATCATAGCAGTCACTATGATCTGTAAAGGGTTGAACGTAGTCGGAAGCCCTTTTCAAATGTCCCCCTTTTGACCCCATTTCTTGGCAATATCATCAGAATGCATACTTACAACAAAATACAGCCCCCAACTCCAGCCTGGCTCGATCAAGCACTCAACGCGTGGAAAGCCACGGAAACGTATGGAAATGACAAGTTTGAGGGGTTGATGCGTTATAGCGCAGTAGATACCACAACGAATGGGCAGATTCCCATGCCATCGCCAGGCGAGATACCATCCCACGTCAAGTTCTACTTCCTCCCACGCATCAGATGCCTCGACTGTCCTGGCAAGCTCTACACCCCAGGACCCGACATGACCGCCATCAACTTTGAGGTTCACCTTAAGAACAAGGGTCATCGAGACAAGGTGAACGCACGTTTGCGTGGTAGCCAGACTGCGAATAGCGAATGATTTTGACGAGTGTGTTCATAATCGGCTAGCTTTATAATTGCCTCATCAAGCAATGATTTGAATTATCATGGCCATTGTACATAATGTCAGCAGGCGGGGACTCCCCTTTTCCTTAGTCGCGCATGTCGGTGGTGATGGGTTTTTGTCTACAGGATAATTTCAAGGACACGGGCGAATTGCGGGTCAAGGCCAAAGACCCACGGAGTTCAGGTGTAAAATGGAAGCGACGGGCCAGTTTGGCTGGGTACGTACGAATTGTATATGTATTTGCGTATTACAATTGACAATAACAGTATCCCCTTGATTGGCATTCCAGAGTGATGAAATTTTCCTACTAAATGCAAGCCAAAAGACAATCAATTCTGACCACAAACCAAGGTAATGCACATGCGACTCATCACCCTTGTATCTGTATCAATGTGAAGGGATGCTTCCTCCACGGGCCATATTCCAAGCTGTTCTTCAGAGTCAGGTGGAAAACACAAGGAAAGAGAACAAGAGACAGTGCCGACACTTGGCCAATCCCTCCTTCATAACTTTGCTTTGCCCTCCGCACTATTCATCCTCTTGCCCTCGTCGTCTTGCTCCGCCACGGTGAGCGTGGGCAAGTGCTGTGGCATGATGCGTCGGGGCGTCGCACCGGGCACAACCGAGTACTTTGAGAAATCAGTCACACCGGCATCGGAACGTAAAAAATCCTCGTCGAGCTCCAGCCGGCCATTGACGCTGGCGGCAGGGGCACGCAACATGGCCAGGACAGCGTCGGAGAAGACAGTGGCACGGCGCAGGTCGCGGGCTTCGTCGGGATTCCTATCCGTCATCTTCTTGGTGGCGCCGCTCTCAATGGCAACGGCGGGCCAGATGCTGGTGATGGCCATGCCGTCAAGATTCTGCCGCGCAAAGTCCATGGCCAGCCCCTTGGTCAGGACGCTCATGCCCACCTTGCCCATGGCGTAGGCCGTCTTGCCCCGGAAGAAGCGCGAGTAAATGGGCGGGCTGACGACGATGATTCTTCCCGTCCCACGTTGCTTGAGGTGCGGAAGAGCCTCTTGCACGACGCCGTATAGACCCTCGATGTTGACCCGTTGCATCAGCTGGAAACGCTTAAAGGGTGTCTCCTCGACCGAGGCCCACCATATGGCCCCAGAATTATACACGAGGGCGTCGAGGCGGCCGTAGTGCCGGATGGTCTCGGACACGAGGTTGCGAATGCTCTCGTACTCGCGTGTATCCACGGCAATGGCCACGGCATCGCCGCCCGCCTCGATAATCTCCCGTGTCACTGTAGAGATGGTGGACTCTGGGGAGTTGGGGTCTGGCGGGAAAGGGTGGACTTTGGATGCGTCGCTGGTTGACTTTGCTGCGACGACGACTATATAGAATGAGTCTTTGTTTCAGAGTCACTTGTGCTTGAGAAAGCTCACCTGCATATTGGTTCTTAGCGAGATCAATAGCAATCTGGCGTCCAATGCCCCTGGAAGCGCCTACAATGAGGGCAACTTTTTTGGAATCCATTGTCTGCTGTTTCAACTCGGACTATTTTTTGCTGTTGTATGAGCTACATGATCTTGCCGACAACCAAGCCTACGTTATAGTACTGCCCTGGCCCCTGAAACTTTTGAATTCTTAGATACCTCCAAAGGTCAGAATATGAGTAGCACAGAGACCCGAACTCACCGTCGGCGTTGATGAGTTCCCGATCAGTAATCTGGGTACCGCCCCGGCGCTTGTGATGGTGGGGCCGCCCTGCCGGCAACCGAGGTACCCCAAATGCAGACACCTATACGACCTGAACTTGAGTGTCATATTCCGCTCCCAGGCGTAAACCTTCTTGTCTTGGGATTAAACTTTGTGCTCGTCTCACATCACTGTGGGGGCCTTGATACCATACTTATTTTCTTTGCTCATTTACTGCAGATATTCGTGCTCGGACTACCTGAACGGTGTCCAGGGGGGTTCATCAACGCCAAGAGACACATTCCCACGACCGGATCACAAATCAATACAGTCTCGACGTGCATCATGCCTGGTCGCATTGAGATTTATCTCGACGTCGGCAAGTCATGAGTCCTACACTTTATCGTCTCCATCCATGACTAATTGATCCGATCAGTGTCGTTCTACAGCTACATAGCCTTCAAGCAGGTGATCGACACATGGTCGACCCTCGAGGCGCATGGTGTAGAAATTGAGTATGTGTGAATGTAGTGAGAGATTGATATTGGTCTCATGATTGACGGTATACAGTATCAAGCCGGTGCTCCTGGGTGCCATCAATGCTGCAACAGGTAAATGATTTATAACCTTTCAACGCTTTCAATCATTGAGTTGGTCTACACTCCACCGACAGCCCAAGGGGTACATCTTGCTCGACCCTGTTGACATGTCGTTGACCCACCAACCCAGGTAATAAGCCGCCGTTCTCGGTACCTGCCAAAGGCAAATATGGCATTTACGACGGCGACCGGAGCCAAAAGGCCGCCGGGCTCCCCGAGATCACGTTTCCCGATGACCTGATTGCCATATCCCGGACCCAGATTCCGTTGCGGGCGCTGCACTATGTCAAGGCAACTTACCCGCGCGAGACGTACCTGACGACGTGGCACTACCTGCTGCACGCGCTCTGGAGTCCAGAGAAGCAGAACATTAGCGACGCGGGCGTGCTGGCAAAGGTCCTGGCCGCAGCGCCCAAGGGCTTCCGCGGTCCCGGCAGTGTCAATGCCCAGGAAGGGGGGCACCGCCTGTTTTCCGAGAGCGAGGTTGCGGCCATTATGAAGGCGGCTAGCGAGGAGCAGTGGAAGGATGCGCTCAAGCAGAGTGTCGAGGAGGCGCTGAAGCGGGGAGCGTTTGGGGCTCCTTGGCTTTGGGTTACTAATGACAAGGGGCACGGCGAGCCTTTCTTTGGAAGTGACCGGTAAGTGTTAATATGATCATCACGATACCTTTATAACGACGATGAAGAATATGATCTTTTGAATATGGGCTGACACTATTTAAGCTGGCATTTTGTCTACGAGTTCTTGGGGTTACCACATCAGAAACTCAAGCTTCTGGGACCCGAAGGAGGAGCAAAGTTATAGTTCAATGACTATTCTTACAGAGCTATTACCAATAGAGGTAAAATTCTCGTAACAAAATACACGAATCGGAAGAATTATTCTAAATATATCCCATCAAGCTTAGGAATACTTCACTCCACGCGAAATTGTCGGCCATGACTACCTAAGCTGGTGTGTTAAGGTACTTATCGACATGTGGACATGATATCTGCTCATTATTTCTATTCAAACATAATGCGAAATTACCCGTGAAAGATATGAACTGTTACCGTTAATATGACGGAGAATTTCTCAAAGGCAATCCATACTATACAAACTCTTAATCGCTCGACGCAGGGGAAGTGCTAAAATGCTCGTTTTGGTATCACTTGCTAACTTTTCCCCTTCGTTCCTGTGCAATTGTTTCTAGTAAATAAATTATTGCCTTATATCCGGTCACCTGCCGCGTTACCAGCCAATGGAAATCATATATCGCTGTTACACGTGGACTCCTGTTTTCGAGGTACGATTTAGACGTGCAGTAGACCATCATAAGATGTACGTCATAGTAGACGGCCCCACAGGAGCGCAGCCCGTCTTGTTAAGAAACAGGGTCTTGATAGTTTGACGGTCGTCAAACGGCGTCGACCCTTTCCCCTGGGATAGTAGAATAAAATAACATTTTATTCCCAGGGATTATTGTTTGAAACCTCCGTAAGATCCGTTGCTACCAAATATAGCGAGAGTGCCACGGAAACATAGACAAAATTGCCACAAAGCCACCGGCACCATCCGACGACTTATAAGCCACCGGGTCCACAGCCATGTCGGAGCAGGAAGCCGTGAAGGAGGCCGTGGAGGGCCAGGAGCTGTCGGCCGAGGGCAAGTCCCGGTTCGGAACCAAGGAGAAGCTCATCAAGGATCTGACGGCCAAGCTCGAGGAGTCCAAGAACCTGGAGGAGCAGTCGGTCAAGCTGCGCGAACAGGCCGAGGCCCTCGCCGAGGAGAACCCAGAAGAGGCCGAAAAGCTGCGCGCAGAGGCGGGTGAGCTCGAGGCCAAGGCCAAGAAATTGATCAAGACGGCTAGGCGGAGTGAGTTCATGGTCCCATTTTCCTCCCCATGGATCTAATGTCTTTTTTCCGCCGTTTCCTGCGGCGGAGACATTCAAAAGTGTCTTGGGATAGCTTGCAGCTGATACTAACTCGATCAAAAAAAAGTGCAAAATGGGGCCTTTCAGGGCGGCGCTGCAGGAGCAGGCATTGGGGCCGGTATAGCTGGCGGTCTTGGAACCGTGGTCGGCAGTCTTGTGGGAGGAATCGCGGCGATACCGACGACGGGCTTGGGAATATTAATCGGAGCTGGTACAGGTGCCATTCATGGACCCTGGGTAAGACAAACACCTCTCTTCTCTTCACAATCTCTTTGATACTGACGACAGCCGTAATTAGGTCAAGCTCGTAAAAGACACTGTGCAAGAGGAGGATGAGAAGGCCGAGAAAGGTGAAGACAGCAGCGATGGAGAAGAGTAAGAATCGATAAACATTTGCATTAATTTCGTTTTCTCTTTTCTCAAGGCGCTGAGTTATCGACTCTTTGGAGGATAAAAGGCCAGCAGTCACTCTGGAATAGTTTGTACAATATCCTGTTTCTTCAATTTGATGGCAATTATGATTTTTAATTTAGGGAAGAGAAAATGAATTTTCTGAAAACTCACTTCCCATCACGCATAGCTATTTATAACATGGTCGACTAATGGAATAACAATTTTGTTTATTTGCAAACAGGTATCTTGCTTAATTAAAAATTGCAGGACATGAGACCAAAAAGCAAGGTCTCGTGATGCTCGAAATGGGTATTCCTCCCTTCACAAGCTTCACTTGGGCCGGGTATCTGACCAAAGCTTATCGATGATCTGAAAGACTGCCGTAACATTTCGGTTGACCGTCCCATCAAACTGTGCGCCCAACTTTTGTTGCATCTTGTCAGGATGCCAGCGAACTCTTTCGTCTTTCAGCCGTGCTAGAAACTCCTTCTCGCCAATCTCGAGGGGGTCAAGGCCTTTGATGAAGAAATCCCTGACATTCTCGCTGTTGATGCTGGATGGGCTGCCATCGAGGACTGGCCAACTCATGGCTTCGACTGTACCGTTCCAGTCTGACCACGCCTGGGTATACTCGTCCCACTTGACCTTCCAGCTCTTTCGTTTTCGTCTTTCTTCACCACGCCGTAGACTTTCCTCCATTTCCTTGGTCAGTCTTCGCGCTTCCTTTTCCTTTTCATCCTTTTGTTTCTTTTGCTCTTCCTGTCTTGCCCTCTCTTCCAAGAGCCCTTGATGCGTCTTCTCCCACATTTTCTGCCGGACGTATGCAGCGTACTCTTCGTCGTCCATCTGCTCGAGCTCTCCTTGTGAACCGGCCTTTTGATTCGAGTATACATGGATTGGTTGGCCATAGACACCCTCCCAGTAGTCAGCTCCCTCATCGTCGGCCATGGCATCGAAGAGGGACTCCCGAAAGGCAGTCTCAGGACTCAGTGGCGGGGGGCCATAAGGGTTTGGGGGTGTAGGCGAACGGCTTCTAGAACGCTCCCGCCGCCGCTTGTGTCTGTGATGGTGTCGATGGCGCCTATCGCGGTGGGTATCGCGGTGTGAGCTTTCTCGATCTTTTGTCTCATGGTCATTGGCATCCTCAGCGTCATCCCGCCGCCGCGTCGAAGTATGCCGAGAAGTACCCTTGTCATCATCACTGTAACCTCGTTCTCGGTGTCGCGAAGATCGATGCGATCGTCTCTTTGACTTGAAGCGGAATTTCGATGATTTGCGCTCGCGGTACTCTGGCGCTGCGTCTTCGCCAGTTTTTATCGTAGACGGTTCTTCAGTCATAACATCCTCTTTAGGCGAATGATGCTCTGGCCCCTTTGCCGATGGCAAGGGTGGCTCTGCATGGTTGATGGAAGCCAAAATATGCCGCCTCCTGGGCGACGACGGCTCTGTTGTCATGGCGGGAGGAGCATGGTTTGTGTTTTTAGAAGTCAGACTACGCGTTTCAACGAGACTGTGTCCAGGTTGAGTGGTGACTGATGGAAGGGAAACCTCGAAATGACGTTAGACAGCTAAAGGCGGGACCTGGAGATCTCGGATAAGGCTTATCGATTGTGCCTGCCGCTCTGCAGTGGGGCCGCCAGCACCTTGGACGCGCTGCTATTTCAAGGCAAAGCTTGGAACGAGAGCTCCGGGGGATAGCAACCAACCTGAACCAGCTACAAAACGGCCAATTCGTATATACAAATCCGCAGACTCCGACACGGTTGGCAGCAACTCTACTGGAAATTTAAACACTCGTCTTTCCGCAAGTCTGATTTATATTCTTCGTAATCACCGAGCAACGTTGGATTCAACGACAAACCGACGTCATGAACAAGCCAGGTCTTTCGTACGGCCTCAATTTGACCAAGAAGCCCGGCGTAAAGGCACAGCCCGCAAAGACGAGGCCAGGTGGTATTTTCGGTGGCGGCGATGATTCAGACTCGGATCACGATGAGCCTCAGCCCACAGCATTCGCCAAATCAGCCGCAAAGTCGAAAGCCCGGCCTGGCGCGCCGCCTTCTGCACCGCCCAAGTCCAAGAAGCCGCAAGTTTCCATGTATGGCGATCTTTCGTCGGCGCTAGAATCGCGGAGGAACGCAGAGGCAGCCGAAGAGCTTGATCCATCGATATACGACTACGACGGCGTATATGACTCGATAAAACCAGAGAAAAAGACGACAAAAGAGGATGCCGAGCGCCGGCCAAAATACATGAAGAATCTCATAGCTTCGGCAGCCGTCAGAAAGCGCGATGCACTTATAGCCGAGGAAAAGAAGATTGCACGGGAGCGCGAGGCTGAGGGTGAGGAATTCGCAGACAAGGAGAAATTTGTGACCGAGGCCTACAAAATGCAACAAGAAGAGAACCGGAGGCTCGAAGAGGAAGAAAAGAGACGGGAAGAGGAAGAGGCGCGCAAGAATAAAGGAGGCGGAATGACGGCATTCTACAAAGACTTGCTGAACCAGGGCGATCAACGACATGCTGAAATGATGAAGGCTGCCGAAGAGAGGGCAAAGAACGGACCTCAGGAGGACGAAGAGGCGCCGAAGGAGGAAACGACCGCAAGCGCCACAGACCGAGCAAGAGAGCTCAATGCAAAAGGTGGCTCAATAGCCATCAACGAAGATGGCGATGTGGTCGACAAGCGCGAATTGCTCAAAGGAGGTCTAAATCTTGGAGCCAAGAAGAAGCCAGAAGTTCGCCAGGCAGAGAAGAGAACAGAGCAAAAAGACGACCGCAGTTCGAGGGGTAACTTTGGTGCAGGCGGTAAGAATGCCATGCGCGAGCGTCAATCACGAATGATGGAAGCACAGCTAGAACAAGCGCTCAAGAGGTCCCTTGAAGCAGAAGAGGAAGAACGAGAGCAGGTTGAACGTGCCGCAAAGAGTCGAAAGACCGAAACTGAGATCTCTAGCGCCAAAGAGAGATACTTGGCTCGAAAGAAAGCGGCAGAAGAGGCAAAGAAGAATGGCTTGTAGTCAGTCAATTAATGCCAAGCTTGAACTGCTGCTGTAGCCATTAATGTTATCGCAACAAACCCTGAGTAGTATGTGCCCTCTCTTGGTCTCATGCACACTTTTACCGTGTGAAGCTTGAGATTATGGTGATAGTACAGTTTATTCCAGTGCCTCTATAATGGACATCATTCCTTTTTAAGGGTGTTCCTCCCAAGGTATAACTTATACAAAGTATTGTACATTGAATCAGCCGGGTCGGCAGAACTGTGTATATATGAACAGAGAAGCTGGGTTCGGGGTCCTCGTCATGGCGTTATGTCTGTCTTTTAAAGATCTACTCTCCTCGCTGTAGCCTGCTGACGTATGTCGAGCTGACTTGGTTCCATGCCGACATGTACTTTTCCATGCACTGGGTGAAGCAGGTGGTCTCGCCGCTCGATAGTGATGATCCGGGCTTGGGAACGCACTTTTGGAAGCAGTGGTCGTTGATTTTCTATGCGAATGTGAGTTGATAGATCTACTAACGCAGGCGCACAACTTTCCATCTCGTACCTCGATCAGTTCTCTGGCATTGGTTATGGCGTACTGAGACCGGACCTGCTTGATGACTTCTTGCTTGACGCTTTCCGAATCCATTTTGGGAGATTGTGTGTTTATAATTCGAGTTGCAAAGCCGGAAATGGTTGTGAGCAGGATAGAGGAGTTGCCAATGCCGATAGAACTCAGAGTTAGGTTGCGGATAGTTTGAACACCAGAAAGACTTTCTTCAGTCCAGAGACGAAGCTGTCATTGATGTCAAGGCTTAAGATATTTCTCTAGCGCAAGGCTTAGTAGAGGTACCGCGGTACAGCACCGCTATCTGACTTCACCTTCTATCAGCACACTGGCAAGACTGGGCCTAGCACAAGATCCGTGCACTGATGGATAGCACTGGCGCTAGCCCCATCCCGATGAACAGGGGTAGCTTCTTGGTGAGACGAAAGCTCGCAAGCTGGCCACTTTGAACTTTTTGGAGTAGGGGTTTCGTCCGTTTAAGTGAATATGTCCCAAACCAATCTGAATATAGAAATTCAAGTGCAGCATGTGAGTATGAAGGTTAATGTAGATCCTCGAAATATCCTGTACCATAATATGTTCCACTGAACAAAACGTGCACATGAATGATCACATAGATTCGAAATAGTAGTAATGATACAAGTATTCTCCGAACTAATCTTGTGTCACGTATAAACACAGTTGGACCTACTCAAATGGAGGCTGTGTCCGATTAGAAGCTAACAGGGATAAGTGCAACTTACCATCCTCAATCTGCTCTACGTGACTACATTGGGTAGAGGCCAGCTACGTACACTCAGGCCGTTCACGAATTCAAACGAACCTGCTGCGCAACCACTCAGGCCATTTGCGCCGACTTATGTCCAGACGATAATTTCCTTTTGCCTCTTCTTCGACAACCTACCGACTTCCATTCAACTTCTCCTTCCTTCCTATCTTTTCCTTGGCCCAACTACTTTCTCTCTTGCCACATCTGAAAGATGAGGTGGCTTACTTCACTTTCGGCTCTATGGCTGGCTGCGACCGCCAAAGCAGCCGTCAGCCACGACGACGACGGCAACATTCGAAGCATCGCGGTAGGTCTTGACAATCATGTTGGTCTGTTTGATTGCTTCTGCTGACAACCGATAGCTGCGAACCCATACGCTACAGCAGCCCTACCTTGACTCGGACATGGCTAGTCGGTGGTATGACTTTGGAGGCGACGCCATTGTCCGAACAGATTCGTACGTCACACGACCAAGCTACATACATACGGGGCTGCTCAGTACATGTGGGACTGACACAGACAAACTACAGATACATTCGCTTAACATCGAATCAACCCTCTCAAAACGGCTGGCTGTTCTCTCGAGTACCCCTGACTGCCACAAACTGGGAAATCGAGGTCGAGTTCAAGATTCACGGGAAAAACCAGCTTTATGGCGATGGCTTCGCTATGTGGCTGACGAAAGAGCGCGGGAAGCTCGGCCCGGTGTTTGGACACTCTGACGAATTTGAGGGATTGGGCATCTTTGTGGACACGTACAAGAACAACCGCCCTGGTGTTGTGTTCCCCTACGTCATGGCCATGGTCGGCGACGGCAAGACCAGCTACAACAAGAACAACGATGGAAAGGACGCCGAGTTCGCGGGATGTTCCGCTCGCGGTATCCGACACTCAAGTGTACCCACCAAGCTCCGGTTAACCTACTTCCAGGACAAGTCCCTGAAGTTGGAATTGCAGTACAAGAAGGAAGACGACTGGGCCCTCTGCTTTGAGACCAATGAGCCGCCCTCTATTCCTTCCGTCACTTACCTCGGATTCAGCGCCGAGACTGGCGAACTGAGTGACAATCACGACATCATTTCCGTCAAGGCCAAGAATCTCTACACTCCTGGCGGTCAGTCTGGCAAGTCGTCACCGGGCAGCGGTGGTCAGCGCAACCGAAACAAGAGTTCCGGCCCCAAGAAGAGCAGCGGTGGCTGGGGATGGTTCCTGTTCAAGTTCCTGGCCTTTGGCATGGTTGTCGCTGGTGCCTACGTCGGCTGGACTGCTTACCGCACCAGCAAGCAGAGAACACACAGATTCTAGGTTCTGAGAATAACCTGCAGACATGGAATTGGGGTTTGTGATATCCATCGCATCCACGGGGACAACCAAAAAAAGGGGGAGATGAAATGTCTATACCACCAGCATCAAACGCGAGAGTTTATTTATATGTGATTTTCTCAGAAATTTGTGGTCTTGCCTGTCGGGCACCTGTCACTTTAGGCGCAATGGTTGTAACGGTTGAAAATGTCAAGTTCAAACATGTGAAAATGTCAGCTCCAATCATGAACAGGCGTGATGAATCAATGTGAACATTGCCGGTCCCTGAAGGTCTTTTGCATACCAACACTGCGCTGAAGTCCATCTGAGGCAAAATAAGTCCTGCTTTGCCAGCTTGATCATTTTACATTGTCGGAGTGCATTGGTTTGTTTTTCCACCGAGTCAGTGGGATTCTGGATATCTCGTAACTTATTTGGCAATTCGTACGTGAGAGCAAAATAGCTCCAGCCATGAATATTACTGATGCCTCGAAATAGTCTAGTATAAAAGCCCACGTGGCTTATGATTCAGTTTCGGTGCAGATGTCAGCCCTTTTGATGGAGACGGCAGTCTCAGGTTTATATTATTTGTCCTGGAACAGACGGACGGACCAATGGTCAAGGAGATGGAACAATGCATTTGGTTGGAACAAATTCCGTAACCAAATCTGAGCTGCAGTATGCCGAAGCGGCTGTCTGCTTACTTACAGCAGTCGGCCGACTTTTCCAACTACATTAGGTATCTCCCACCCGACCTGGACGCTGGCATGCCTGAGAAAGGGTTCAGCACTAAGCGAAGCGGCCAATTGTCCAATGAGGAGGCTATGACGACGATTTTCAGGAAGTCTGGGCGGGGAATACTCGAAGGGCAACCCCACACTCCACGGCTAACTCGTCGCAATCCATCACTCTTTGGTGTAGCGTGCCGTAGGGCGGCGAGGCCCATGATCGCTCGAGACTCTGGGGTGCGCCCTCTAGATAATATAGTGGACAAGAGACTTTGAACGGACACGACGGCAGTATTCATAACCACAGTATCTAGGTTACATGAATCACCAACCATCCAACACCGACTCGGACTACTATGTAATGTCGTCCTTAGATGCCCCCATACAGAAAGAATCCCTGCCATTCACGCGTATCACACGTACCAAAAAAACACACCTACATTAAGGTATGGACCACTACATGAGGTAGAGAGTAAGCAGTAGTCATCATCCAACTCTACGTCGATAACCGAATTGATGATTTATTTAGATACGGAGAAGAGAAACGCCCTGAGAGTCCCGTAAATAGAAGGACCTTTCATTCTCTTTTTTCTTCCTTGCTAAAGCCCAGATGTAGCAAGTCCAGTCACAGAAGGATTTCTGTCCTCGGCGACTCTCGTCCGTTCCATCTGCTGCGCCTTCTTCTCTTGGAGAAAGTCACATAGCTTAATGTATTATGAATGATACCGCAAAGTCTCGGCTCCAGTTCAATGTGATGTACTATGTAATGCTAGGTAATGTGTTGTAGAGTTAGACTGCAAGGTATCTTGCAGCACATAGCACCACTGCACACTACACAGCACACTGGGTTGAGTGTCAAGCACCAGACACACGCGGACAACATTAAAAGATACCTACACGTTATGTTGGTTTGAGGCGTAATGCACTCTGCAGGTCGAGAGCGCCTGGGCGTCCACCCTGCTAGTGGGCGGGTACGTAGGTCCAGTGGCAGCAACACTGCAGCCCGCGGCATGCACACCTATGTTACCTACAAGGTATGTACCTACATGGGTAACGTACAGTATTCACTGCATGGCTTCGTTTCTCTGTACCACAAAGGGAAATACGTGTGTCTGTTCTTTGTGAACCCCGCGGCTCTCTTGTCCCATTGATCAAGAAGCGGAAACGCTGGATCAAAGCACCGAGTGAATCCGTTGTTCAACTTCTTTCTTTTGCTGAGGCTTTTCTCTCTCCTCTTTCTCCTCTTCCCCCAGCGCCTGTCTGTCGCCCTGTCTCCCACTCCCCAGCCCCGACCGAGGGCCCGCGCCTTTACCTGACGATGTTACTTGACTGCCCCAGTCCATAGCCCATGCCGACCCAAATTTGCTCCCAGATAAGATCTACCTATGGTATTGTGCTCTGCGTTCATTGAGAGCACATCAAAAACCAAACCAGGCCAGGCCAGGCAAAAAGCAGGGCAAAAAAGGACATGCAGTGGGCGGGTCAATAAAGCCATACACGCTGCCGTTTCTTCTTTATTTTACTCCCTTGTTCAAAATCGATTGGACCTTCTGTCCTTGCCGATCCGGGCACTGACTGATTGACTGACTGCTTGCTACCTACGTGCTACTAAGTAAGGTAGAGCTGTAGGTAGCTGCTGTACAGTAATAAGTTACCCGGCCGTCTTTGCCCTTGAACTCCATACCCTGACCCTTCCTACCCCAGTTTTGGCGCCATCGAGACTCACAGGCTAGAGAACCTTATTCGAGCTCTCTGGCACAACATTTCATCCATCTATCTTGCCCTCTCCGCTTCAGAGATATACCAGCCTGGGCTGGGACGATCGATTTCTTTCTCCTCTTCCTCCTCCGGCTTCTCCTCCCCGTGACATTATTTGCAGCTACAGATCGCATCACTGTCCGATAGACAGAAAAAAAGCAAATATCCACCTCCCAATCGAGACCTCTCACCGCATCCAGCCGCTGTAATTTATCCTCACCCACTCGGTCTTATTACCCCCACCGACGTCAACACCAGCTTGACTTGCGCCAGTGTCTAGCTTCACAAACTTACACATCAATCACCCCTCTTTGAGCTACGTATGTCATTCCCCTGTCCTCGTTATTATCCTTCTCGCCATGAGCAAAATTAAGAAAGGAGCATTCATAACTGCAACCACTTAAACCAAAAAATCAACCTCACCTACATTTTACGCTTTTTGTACTCGTCAGCTAATCAATCTTGTCTGCATTGCAGCTCCTACTATTCTGGTCGCCTGCGAAAAATCAACTACATACGTACCGCACTCAACTTCTAACCTCCAGCAGCTCAGTGTCGATAGACCTGATATCGTCAATCCAAGCACCGGCCTCAATTGAGCTTTGCGCTGAGCTTCAACCGTGCCTGACCTCTTAGCTCGCGTCTATTTCCGAGTCGCATCGCCTCAATTCTTCCGGGACAGCCAGCAGAAAACTCACAGCAGGATCCTACCAACTGGAATGCGCTGTCTCTAACTAGCCTCTGCTTCGTTCGTCCTTTGACTGTCATCGTCGATCTGCAGAATCCACCGGCGCGCTCACTCCCTCCCACCATTCTTTGGAGCCAGTCCATTGCTATCAATTGATATTATCGCTCCGTTGGATTTGTGTGTGCTTCTTCTACACACGTTCCTTACGCTCATCTGTCTTCTACCTCCCAAGGGTCCGGCCCCTCCGTCTTCCTGCAGCTATATCATATGCCGAGTCTAGGCTCTTTCCTCAAGAAAAAGCGGACGAGGGACGACAAGGCCGATCCCTCCTCTAGCCAACCAACTAGTCCGGTGACGCCAACAACCCCGACAATCTCCCAGAGTTTTGAGAGCCAGCACACGCAATCTACTGCCCGAACGACGCCCGGCAGCTCGGCCTCGCATGCGAGGAAACCGTCTTCCCAACAACGAAACGCATCTTACGAGGTACAAAAACCTGCTTCGGCAGGTGCTGGCCAACAAATGAACGTTGTCCAAGGACATCAAAGCCAGCAGCACCACCCTTATGGTATCCAGCAATCTCCTAGTCCAGGGCATGCTGGAACACCATCAAGTTTGCCCAGCATCAACAATATAATCAACATGCCGCAGAATGACGGTATGGCGCATTTGCAGGATACCTGAATCATGACTAGCCGTGTACTAACGACTGCGCAGGTGCTGCTCAAAATGGCGGCCAACCTCAACCTCCACCTCAACAACAACAACAACAACAACAACAACAACAACAGTCTCAGCACCAACAGCATGGGCAACAACAATTCTCCCCACCATCGTCAGACTCAAGGGTGACAAAGGGAAAATATTCCCTCGCAGATTTCGAAATCCAAAGGACACTGGGCACGGGAAGTTTTGGACGTGTGCATCTGGTGCAGTCAAAACACAATCAACGTTTCTATGCTGTCAAGGTACTCAAAAAGGCGCAAGTGGTGAAGATGAAGCAAGTCGAGCACACCAATGATGAACGTCGTATGCTTGGGGAAGTCAAGCATCCCTTCCTCATTACCCTGTGGGGAACGTTCCAAGACTCGAGGAATCTGTACATGGTCATGGACTTTGTCGAGGGTGGAGAGCTCTTCTCGTTGCTGCGGAAGTCTGGAGTAAGTTGTCGCTTCATCCTCTCCTGACCGTGACACGTGGGATCTAACAAAAGACAGCGGTTTCCTAACCCCGTAGCAAAATTCTACGCTGCCGAGGTCACTCTAGCACTGGAATACTTGCATGAAAGACACATCATATATAGAGACCTGAAACCAGAAAACTTACTTCTGGACCGCCACGGCCACCTCAAGATAACAGATTTTGGTTTCGCGAAGCGGGTGCCTGACAAGACCTGGACATTGTGCGGTACTCCTGACTACCTGGCTCCAGAAGTTGTCAGCAACAAGGGCTATAACAAATCGGTTGACTGGTGAGTGACGCGAGACCCAATCTGGCAGGAGTGAATAGTCTAACACGCTTGAAAGGTGGTCGCTCGGCATCTTGATCTACGAGATGTTGTGCGGGTACACGCCGTTCTGGGACAGCGGGTCGCCGATGAAGATCTATGAAAATATTCTGAAGGGCAAAGTCAAGTATCCGCAATATGTCCATCCAGATGCGCATAACCTTTTGGAGCGACTGATCACGCCGGATCTGACCAAACGACTGGGCAACCTGTACGGCGGACCGCAAGACGTTAAAAATCATCCTTGGTTTGCGGAAGTTACGTGGGACCGTTTATCGAGGAAAGACATTGACGCTCCATACACTCCGCCTGTGAAGGCCGGCGCCGGTGACGCGAGTCAATTCGACAAGTATCCCGAAGAGACTGAAAAGTACGGCCAGAGCGGCCATGATGAGTGAGTGACGTTCTTTTCGTACAACTTTTGTTACCATATCGCTAACATGTGCTAGATTTGGACATTTGTTTAGTGACTTTTGAGTTGACTCGCTGGGCAGTAGCGTTCCTGCTGATCAGTCGAATATGAGGCGGCAAAATTAGGAAACAATTGACTTTTCGGGGGTTGGCACTGGATACTCATGGGTTTGGGGCGAGGCTGGGAATTGGCAACGGGGGATGTGGATGAGGATGTGGATGAGGATGTGGTTGGCATAGGCGAATGCAACGACCATGATATTTCTTAAACAAGTACCGCATTATGGAATATAGGTAAACAAGCAAGGGATTAGTGGATGGCATGCTGCGAAGAGGTCAAAAAGGTTGGCAGTTGGCCATGGGCACGATCCGTGTTTGTCCATTGAAACAAATGAGAGGACTTGTGTGGCGGAGCCGGACTTGCAAATGCCAAGCTTTATGCTGCAATTATGTGTTGCGGACATGATGAGACTTGGAAAGAGGATGACTTTTTTGCATGTCAGGACTCGTTACCTATATACGTTTTATGAAATTAGTGGCGGTGGTTCATACATGATGAAGGAAAGGGGTGTCAAGTGTATGCATGTGTGTGTGTGTGTGTGTATGGTCCTGGTCCTCACCCTAGCTAGTTATGCACGTATAAGCTGTGCTGAGATGCACCCCACTTGTGCTGCTTACTTGCCAATTCATACCTACATTAGATCCCTACGATTCTAGATTAGCCCAAACCCGCCTCGCCATTTTTCTAAACGAATCCGGGCCCGTTTTTTGGGTCTCGCTCGTCCCCATGGTCAATCTCCAATCAATTTTAGGAACTTTTCTGACTGGCCCGGGGTGAAGAAGGAGAGAGAGAGACAGAGAAGAAAAAAAAAAAAAAGTCGCGGTGAGTGAATCGCTTTTGCCGGTGGCTGCTGCATGAGACTTTGGATTTACTTGTGTTTTCCCTTGGCCCCGGCTCCCTCTCTCTGCTGCACATAGGTGGTAGTTCTTTTTGGGAAATGCGATGCCACGAGAGAAGTCCTAAACCATCCCATCTATCCGCCTATCCCCTTTTATTAAGTTTCTTCTAACGTAATTGATGTCCCTGCATTTTATCCTTCTTTGCTGAACTCCAGGCGGGTGCGAGGATGGACGATTATATGTTCCACCGTTACGTGCAGCAATGCAAATACGTACCGGAAAACACAAGTTACCTGGAGATATTCAACTATACGGTATGTCCTCTTTTTCTTCTCCTCTGATTGTTGCCTCATTCAATTCGAGTCCCCGATTGGAGGACTAGCCAATATCTAGTCAGTAGTAGTAGACAGAGGCATTGTCTCTGTATGTGTGTGCGTGCGTGTTGCACTGCCCCCTTAGATGCTTGCTTTAGAGCTACCTTGTCTCGGTGTGTAAAGAGGTAGTCTGGGTTGGCTGTCTGTCTGTCTGTCTGTCTGTCATTCATTCACGGCCGACCGGACGGGAGGAGCTCAATCCATCCATCGTCAGCGTTTCCAGTCCGAAGCTAACATGCGACCCCCCCGAATCAGGATCCAGTTCATAATTCAGTCGAGGAGCATCCACTGACGCCCGATGAATTTGAAAACTATCTACATCGCCGGGTAAGATGCTCCCCCAATAAGGTGTCGTATGGACCTTATCTCCCTATAAAGAGCTGTCTGCGCCGCCTGCTTGGCCCCCTGGATCTAAGTGCCGTCTTCCCGGACGGCCTGCCTGTGGAGTTTTGGTTCGCCGAGCGGGGAAGGGATCATTGCCGTGATCCGGCGCCTGTCAGCCCTTTGGGACCCGAACCCTTGGGACCGGAACTGGTATACAATCTATCTTTTCCAGTGCTTATATAACTAATGGTGCTCCATCGCTAGGGAGCTTTTGAGCCGCCCACGCTGCCCGAGGGCGTGAGGTTGAAAGACGGTATCCGTCTAGTGTGAGTCGCCCCAATGTTAACCCCTCTGAGGATTTGGGCAAACCATACTGAATCATGAGAATAGTCTTCAGAAAAATGCCAAGCAGAATGAGACTTTTACGCCAAATTATATATCCCTGACAGCCGATCAGTATGAGCAAATGGTCAGGACCATGCGGCTCCCCTTCCGGGCCATTGAGGGAACGAGCGTCGTTGGACCCTTCTTCTGGGCTGCATTCGACCAAGATGCGAGCGATCCGCACTTGCGTAAGTTCTACTCTGCTTCAAACCATGGATCATTCTACTTGCATGGATATGTTGATGGCTGACAATGTCATGCAGAGATCATTTTCCGCAAATCCGATGTGCGGAAAAAGGGCAAAACCCGTGGCTGGGAGATTATGCTCTCTCACTCATTCACAACCGCCATCACGACCGGATTCGTGAAGGGAACACCGTCTTCAGATATTGTCACTTCGATTGAGCACCTGACATCATGTGCCGCGCAGGTTGCGCATCCCATGCTATTGCCCGTCATTATCCTGTCGCACGATCTGTCCTGGAAGACGGACCAGAAGCAGCGCGACGCCCGGGACTGGCTGCGCCGTCTTGAGCACGCCGTGACCATGCGTGATGAGATTGAGGAAGGAGAGAGCTACCGGGATCTGGACCTTGAAGTCCTCAATCGGGATCTCGTCGAGTGCCACAGCCAGGTGTTGTGGAAGCGACCACAGGCTTATCAGAGCATCATTGAGGAGATGAAGCTCACCATGGACAACTTCTGGCAGAGCTCCATGCCGGAGCGGGTGCACCGCGGCGAGACGGCGGCTTTGCATAACAGCATGAAGAGCCGTCTTGATTTTTACCGCATCAAACTTTTGGGCGTGGAGAATTACGCGCATACGACGTTGGAGAGGCTGAATATCCAGCGACAAGCTGTGAGTTGAATTTCCTTTGGGTTCCATCATTATCTTACACAAGATATCCTAACTTGACGCAGCTTTACAACATCATCGCCCAAAAGGAATCCAAGCTCAACCTAGAAATGGCTGCCCAGCAACGTCGCCTTGCACACGCATCGAAGCGCGACAGTACGGCCATGAAGACGTTATCACTGCTGGGTGCCGTGTTCCTCCCGGGGACATTCTTGGCCTCCATCTTCTCCATGACGTTTTTCGACTTTAACGTGGACGATGGCTCAGGCGGCGGCAGTACCGGGGCGGCGGTCTCGCAGTATCTCTGGGTCTACTTTGTGGTGACGATCCCGCTAACCATGTTGATTGTGGGATCATGGTGGTGGCTGGACAAGAGGCGCGAGCGGCAGTACGCGCTCGAGGACGCCGACATTGAAAAGGGTATCGAACGCATGGAGACGGAAATCATGGCCATTATGCGCAAGAAGACGATGAAGAAGGCCACCACATGGAACAGCGGAAATACGCCGAGTTTGAGTTTTCAGCTCAATAGGAAGGACAAGACGGGCTGATTCGACTGGAGGTGGGCAGCGAAAGAAAAAAAAAAAAGTTAAACCCCATTGACGAGTTACAGAGTGGTGGCATCAGTAGTCGGTCGAGGCGCGCCTCCTCCGTCAGTCAACGACGAGGAAACGGATGAATATATGAAGAAACAAGGAGGAGAGTGCTAATAATCAATGGAGAGGAGGAACCCGTTTGTGGATTAGATCTTATGACCGCGACGACCTTTTTTATTTTTTCCCTCTTATGGCACAAAACCTGACGACCATTTACACACAAACATAGAACTTTTTACACGAGTATATAGCTAGGTACACAGGCACACACACATCATATATGGGAATAATTGGGAACCAGGATGCACAATCTTTGCCTCGTTGGACGCTTTTAGTCTTTTTTTTCTTTGCAACCAATGAGCTGTACTCGGTTCGTCGATGGAGGTGAATCCAACAATGGTGGAATTCTCTGTTTCGTGAGTAGAGGGCATATAAATCTTTTCCTACCAAGAATATTCCCCTTGACTCGCCATCTAGAGTTACGTTCAACGATGACGCATGCCAATTAACCTGTCTCCAAACGCCACAAGCATCTCGGCCTGCCTGGGCCTATTTTCGTTCCCACCCTCCAGCTTCAAATCACAATCTTTCCAATCGAATATAAGTGCTAAATGTATCAGCAAAACATTTGCTGAACGCAGAATTCATCGAGAGCTCAAGAGCGGGTTGGTTGGTTCAACGAAATCAACGTGTGCTTGGTTTGTTACAGCCGATTGTTTCATGATCCCACCCAATGCAAACGTAGTAGTTGTGTCAATGAGGTTGTGCTCTTTCCTCGCACCTCGAACAACTGAAGGTGAACGTTTCGCCAGAAGCTCGAGCTTCTTATCTGCGTTCCAGTCTTTCCGTTTGTTCTGCCTTCTTTCCCTCAAAAGTTTCAACCTTACTACTTCAATTCCAAGACTATCACTCAAGTTCCCTCGCATCACAACTCTTCCTTCAAAGCAATTCAAGCCATCACTACCCAACCTTGGGCGAGGCAAAGTATCAACTGGAATTGCTGTCCTCCCAAGCCCGCTCGATCCCGCTGCCAACTTTTTTTCTACTCTACACCTTCACTGGCAGGAACGGGCATTCTCAGGACCACACAACCCCATGCTCGGGTGCTTGTAGTTTCTGTGGGATCAATACTCCTCACCATCCTAGCCCGCTCAGGTATCTTCATCACTCGTCTCAATATTCAAAAGTCTTAGGTTACTGGCTTCGAGAAAGATTGAGCCACCATTAATAACATTTTCTCTTGCTGGAAGTTGATGATTGGGTGCATCAACCGTACTCACCATAATGCCCAAATCCAGCAGTAGCAGCACAATGTCTGCTCCAAACGACAGCGATGACGTGGCAGATCAGCACCAGTTCGACCGCCTCAATCAAATACTTTCGAGCGGTAGCCTAGACGAGACGGAGCAGCATGTCACCATTGCTTGCCAAATTATCGATCAGATTACCATCGCCCTCATGCCATGCGGTGCAGCTACCGATGCACAGCGATGGGTCAAGGCTCTCTCGGAACTGAAGAAGCAGACCAAGCCCACCCCAGTCATCATCGGAGTTGTCGGCAGTACTGGAGCTGGCAAAAGCTCATTAATCAATGCCATGCTCGACGAGGAACGTATCGTGCCAACCAGTGGCTTTCGTGCGTGCACGGCTGTCATCACAGAGTTGGCATGGAATGACTCTGATGTACCAGAAGAGCTCTACAAAGGCGAGATCGAGTTCATCCAGCCAGGAGATTGGGCTACGGAGCTAAAACAGCTCCAAGGCGATTTTATCGATTCCAAAGGCCAAGCTTCAAGCGACCCTTCGGAAGCCGACAGCGATGCAGGCGTGGCTTGGGCAAAAGTCAAAGGAGTGTATCCTCATTTATCCCAGAAAGAATTCACAGAGATCAACTTAGACGAGCTATCAAATGATGCCAGGGTTCGCGAGGTACTTGGCACGACAAAGTTGATTTCAGCCGCCTCAGTCAAGGCATTCTACTCCCAACTTCAGCAGTACGTCTCGAGCGCAGGAAACAAATCTCGGAAGCGTAAATTCTCCGCCAAGAACAAGACTGGGGATGAGGTGAAGTTCGAGTATTGGCCATTGGTCAAGATGGTTAGAGTGTACACAAAGGCGCACGCTCTCCGTACTGGTGCTCGAATTGTTGACTTGGTAAGCGATGAAGCTCAAACAACAAGATATTTGCTAATTTTTAAATAGCCTGGTATCCAAGACGCAAATGCTGCAAGAGCAGCAGTCGCTGCCAGATATATCCAGAATTGCAGCGCTCTCTGGATCGTGGCGCCAATAACCAGAGCAGTCTCGGACAAAGCCGCCCAAGACCTACTGGGGCAGACATTTAAACTGCAAGCCAAGTACGACAACTCGTTCTCCAAGATTACTTTTATTGCCTCCAAAACAGATGACATCAACGTTTCAGAAACTATTCATGACTTTGGAGACGACTCAATTGACTCTGACTCGGAGGAGGCAGACTTCTTAGATGATTACAACGTTGCCACTGAGGAAACAAAAAAAAGTCAACACGAGCTGGAAATTGTCAAAACCAGCCTCAAAGAATCCAAGCAATCCGTTGAAGGTCTCAAGGCCGAGATAAACAAATGGCGGAAGTTGGCAGACAAACTAGCCGAGGGGAAGAGCGTGTTCACCCCAGGTACAACCCGCGACGGTAAGCTGCGGCCGCGTGACGAAAATGGAAAGGTGATCAAACCAGAAGACGAAAAGGTGACCCAAGAAGAATTCTTTGACAAGAATGGCAAGAAGACCAAAACGGAAACCTACATTCCCGTTCCTCGGCGTCCTTCTGCAGCACCAGCACAGGGCAGGGGCGACAGTGATGGAAGTGGCTCATCAACCAAAATGGAAAGAAAGCCGCTATCTCACGAGCAGATTCAGTCCAGATTGACTGATTTGAATACTTCACTTGAGAAGGCTCTGGGCCTCGTTAAGAAACAAGATGCTCAGGTCGTGCTCAAGGAGGAGGATCATCGTGTCTTGCAGCATAGGCTCTCTGAGATGCAACCCCATGCGAGAGAAATTTGTATTCGCCAGCGAAACATCGATTCAGAGGAGGGGATTCAGAAAGATTTCGCAAGAGGTATTAAGGAGTAAGTATTAACTCTATTCAGATGCAAGTTGGAATGACATGAAACGGATATGCTTTCTTGTCACTTGGCCACCAATTGAGCGACTTTTTTTTCTTTTTTTTTTTCCTACCTTGGTACACAAAGGCTAACCTGAGGCATGATCTAGATTGGACGTGGAAGACGAAAGTGATTTTGATCCTGAGGAAAACAAAGACTATAAAAAGATTGGAGCCTCGTTGCCAGTCTTCTGTATCAGTTCTACGGCATACCAAACTCTGAACAACCGTTTCCAGCACGACAGCAAGATCACGGGCTTTGCAACTCTTCAAGACACCGGGATTCCTCAATTGCAAGACCATGCTGTCTTGATGACTGGATCAGCCCGAATGAATACTGCAAGAGGATTTCTCAACATCTTCTTCCAGCAACTCAATTCTTTGTCCATTTGGGCAGCTAACCAAACCTATCAATCCCATTTAGAAGCCAGTGAAAGGGAGACAGAGATGGCTCATATTCGTATCATTTCAGAAACTCTGCGCGAAAACCTCATCGAGAAGGTAAATCAAACCGTGAATGATATAGAAGACACACTGTCGAGTCGCCTGACCAATCGTTTTGGCGCTGGCTGTGTCAAGGCAGAGCAAGAAGCAATCATCATTGCTCAAGCCTGGGGCAACAAACCAAACGATGGAGGCATGTTCTGGGCAACTTACAAGGCTACCTGTCGTCGAGAGTAAGTCAAAGATCAATAATTCTGAGTCAAATGTTTAACTGGGGATAGCGGCGAGTTCTCTGGATCTCGTGGATACAGAAACTTGAACGAAGAATTGATCGCACCCCTCAAGTCCAAGCTCGCCAACGCCTGGGAGAAGATGTTTTCAACCACCATACCTAAGAGGTTGGAGAAGTCCTCACAAGATGGTCGAGACATCTTGCAAGACTTCCATTCATCTTATATCACACGCATGGAATCGAAACTCGATGCTACCGATATTATCATCATGAATTCGCAAATCAAGGTTCAATCTCGCGTCCTCAAGCACGCAATGTCGGACATCGTGGTCAAGGTCAACGCTCTACAACGAGGCGCTAACAGGCTGTTCACTCCAGCCATCATGCGAAGACTTACACAGGCATATAATGACTGTGTCGAAGAACACGGTAAGTTCATTGGTTTAGTAGATTACTCTGCATATTTTGCTGCCAATTAGTTATCCAATGTCATACAACATCATCATCATGAGAACTATTTCGACTGACAGATTCGCTAGGCAGAGGCAGCTTCAGACGGATGAAAGACATAATGGTCACCTGCATCGAAGAAGAGAAGGCACAAATGTTTCAAGACTCATGCGAAAGTGTGGAAGAAGCCCTGATTCTCATGTGCGACGAGATCAAGCAGGACATGCTGACGACGACCAACGAGGCTGTGAACGCCATGATCTCTGACTATTTAGAACCCCTTGCAGGACGCAAGATTTCGCCGGCTTCCAAGGCTATACGTTCATGCGTGCAAAGATTTCTGTCAGAAGTACACTCCAGCTTCCGTCTCGGCCGAGTCAATCCTATTCGTATCTCCTCCCACAGAAGAAAACACATCCATTTGAAGAAGGGAAAATATGGAGTCTTGATGAAGGGAAAGTCCAGATGGTTGAAGGCCAGATCGTACAAGCCATTGAAGAAGAGAAAGTGCCGCGCCTTGAAGAAGCATAAGTATCGTTTCTGATGGACAAGTCGCCGTCTTCTCAAGACCCAGCCCGAACTCCTAGATGATGGCTTATTGGAACATGGTCTGACGATTACTTCGAAGCGTTTGAAGGCATTATGGTCTGCACTGTAAGTGCTATGACTGGTCAAGATGGAATGAAAGAACTGGAATGGGTTACTACATGCCGAAAGAAGACTCGATTTCTGCGTGGCATTGAAGATGAGTTTTTGATGAGGAATTCAAATCCCCAATGAATTGTTAAGACACAGCCCATGTGGTTGTGCTTTGTGAGAGACAGAATCGGCTGTAATGCCAAAACAGCTCTGATGCACTGGAGAGTATGTAGTTAGTTCCTGCATTAAATATGACCCTCATCACAAGTGAAGCATCGTTGCCTTGTGTATGCAAATGGTCTCTGCCGCGTAAGCAGAGCTACATTCTTGCAAAACTGCATGACTGCGTTGGTTCTGTGGAAAAGTCCTGGTAGCGGCGGCACACTGCCAGTATTGCTAACGCCTTCGCGCATCCTTGCGGTAGCGAATAGGAACAGCACGAGGGATCTCTTTGTATGTCGATGCAAATCCAAGTGATGCCAGTATTTAGCACTGGTGATTCCTTGTGACGAGAATCCTCGTCTAGCGAGCTGTCTTGCACACACAGCTGATAAGCAGAAAGTAGACATGCCATGATGTCAAGATTATGGATCCTCTGGAGCAAAACCTTCACATACAGAAGAATTTACAGATTTATAGCGAGGAATACGAACTGACGGAGCTTATACTAGTCGATTGGTATGTTGGGACATGGTGTTTATTAGTTCTAGTCGCAGCGGCCCCTTGCGGAAGAATAAAATGGCGAATCGTGTGCATATCGAGATGAGCACAATGCCGGCTGGCCAGACTGACCTCATTAGTTGATGTACATGGGAACGATACGTGAAGTTTGCGCGCAACCATGATATCCATTTGCATGCGCTCTATTGAAGATTAGTAAAGTACTGGTCGTGGTGAAGATTAAGTTATGAGCATTTGATCGTCAGTCATAGCGGTGGTGGTGGTTGTTGTTGTTGAACACAATACACCCCTGCTCATTTCCCTGGAAAGACATGTGACAGTCTTGGCGGGGGTAGCTAGGGGCTTTTTGACATGTGAAATCCCATTAATCCCAGAGACCGAGGGCTCAACTCGCGTAGCTCTCAATAAAAACCAGATTCGGATATATGGTCCGTTTTGTTGAGATTTTGAATTTCTCTGCATGATCTGATGGATTTTCTGGAACAATTCTAGAGCCGCAAGGAACCGATTGACTGGGCAGCGTTCGGATGACGGGATGTGATGCAGCCATCATCAGTCCTGATGTCGCACTCTGTACCTGTTTGCAAACCTACGTACACCACACATTTCCTACCTATTCATGACGGAGCCTGTCTCATCAACGTCGATGAAGTCGCGTCAACTAACGCTTTCTGTGCAGTATCGCTCCAATCGTGGCAGGGTGTCATAACACGCATTTGCCATGTTGACTAGACGGAGAATATTTAGACACGAGGACCTAGCTTCAGGTACAAACTGTTTAGGTTAAAGCCGAGAGAGGTGACAAAGCCGCGTGGGAATAGCGGGAGGTCTAGTCGTTTAAATTGATGGATGGATGGGGGGATTGGATGTCATTGTGCAACCACTCAAAATGCCACTTTGGCAGCTCTATGCGACGGGTTGAGACTGAAGAAGCATCATTGGCTACCGTTGGATTCCAACCACAGGCGGTGACAATTGACTGTCTTGGCATACATACATGTATTTGCTTTTTTTTTATCCATGCAGTATACTACATAGTATTCCGTATATACACACACACTCACACTGACGGCAACGGGGGCGGTGTCTTTCAACATCCCGCAACGGCGTAATAGGGCGAGTATATTGCTCCGCCCAAGAAGATGTGCAGCGCAACTGGTGATGGATCGTCCAGCGACCCGAGGTTCAAGGCCGGTTTGGTAAGGACAAATGGTGATCTGTCCACCATTGGCCAATGGGGATAGTGTAGATGATAGCCACTGCCTAGGTTTGTCGTAGATATTGAGAAGAAGCAATGCTTTTTTCCAAGTGTCAGTCGGCAAGTGAACCGGGGATGTTTGGGCTGTTGGTCGCACTGCGTTGCGGCTAAGGCCAAAAAGCTCAATGCGCCCTGAGAACAAACCCGCGGGCGCATTTTTTTTTTTGTCCCTTCCCCAACAAAATTTCAAGATGGAGAGGGCAAAGAGAGCAAAACTTTATGACTTGCCCCGCAATCCCAATTATTTCTCCAGGGTCCAAAAGCTCCATATTTTTTTTTATTTGCAAGGAAACCGGCACGTACATGCGACGCCACTCAACTTGCTGAGAGGAGCCGGGCCTTTGGGTTTTTTTCTTCTCGTATTATCTGGACATGTCAGTCACATGTTGCGTGAACTTATTTGGTTGATATATTGATTATTGGCGAGGACCAAGATTGATATATGCGCTTATGTAGGAACAAACTGAACCATGACGTTTTCCATTACATAGTAGACTTTGAATTGTGGAGCGAGACTCTCTGCAAGAGCATGAAATAAGTACGATGCGTATATTGATGAATGGATCTTGAATTTTTGAAAACTTGTCGCATCGCTACTTTGTACGGGTGTTACAGATGAATCACCTCGGATATCTTGTATCCTTCTTTCCAGCATTGGCTCCCCAATGAATAATAAATGTATTGGGCAGGGTTAAAAGGCGTACATATGTAGCAGGTATACAAAATAGTCCTTTGGCTGCGCACAAGCTCATTGGCGGACAGGACACAAATGTCTAAACGTCATGCCCACCCAAGTCGCGTGTCCAAGACACTAAGAGAGTATTATAATCCCAACAGAATCGGCTTCGCGACACGATCTTTTTTTTTTTTTTTTTTTTTTCTGGTGTCCCTCCCTGGCCAAAACGGCACCATTCCACCTATGGCAATCCGCTCGAGCTTCTGCTTCTGCTGCTGGGACCCCCCAGGGCAGGGACCACTGAGACCCGATCCCCATAATGTGCATCTTTCGGGAGGCGATCGTTGAGTTGCCGTGGAGCGACACCTTTTTCTGCTTTGGCTGGCCATCAATGGGGACGCTACGTACCTATCTACTGCTTTAATACCATATCGGAGGCGTTTGTACCCTGGTCCGGGACCTTGGGGGGTACACAGACATCGTTTCCAAAATAATTCATCAACGAACGACCTCCTGGTTCGGCGTCGACGTCTTTCTCAATTTTTTCCCTCCTCTCCCTTCTGTCTTCTTGCATGTGCAAAGAAAAGTTTCATATTTTGTTCTTTTCTCTAGTCTGAGCTCTGCCGCTTGACTCCCTAATAATTCGTTTTCATACTGGAGCTCGGTGTCTCTAAATCATACCTACCACCCACTTACTCGAACCCACTGTCTCGTACCCGAACGTTATCTGAGGGTCCTCATCAAGAAGAACGGTCCAAGGCTCTTTCACCTCTTGAACGCAAACGGGTCATTGCCAATCTACCATTCGAGCTTCTTCCGCTTCCCAAGAGCACAAAAAAAAAAGCTCGACGGCCAATACGTTATTTCGTGAGCTGGCCAGGTGCAGAACATCAACATAAACCAAACAGCTACCATGGCGTCCTCACCTTCGGTTTTCTTCGAGGCGCCTCCCTCTTCCCTCTTCAACTTTCCTCCTCCCACGGAACCGCAAGCAATCCCGCCGCCGCACTTTGACCTTCCCTTTACCATCCCGGACGAGATCTTCACGGCCGCCTTGGACCCCCGAGTCCCCATCACCATTGCCGCTGCCTACGCCATCACGGCCAAGCTGCTGAACAAGTACAACACCTCTACCGGCAAGAAGCCATGGGCAATCAGCAAGACTGCGCCCTTCCGCCTCTTTGTCGTTTTGCACAATGTCTTCCTGGCCGTCTACTCAGCATGGACCTTTGTTGGCATGTTTGGCGCTCTGAGGAGATCGATTGTCAGCCCCAGCGGTCCCAATGGCTTGGCTGGCACCGTGGATAGCTTCTGCAAGCTCAACGGTCCCGCCGGTTTCGGCAATGCCGCCACCTACATTCAGGAGGACAACGCCTGGGAGACGGCCCCTAGCCGCGTGGATGTTGGAAGACTCTGGAACGAGGGCCTGGCCTTTTACGGTTGGATTTTCTACCTGAGCAAGTTCTACGAGGTCCTCGACACCTTCATCATTCTGGCCAAGGGCAAGCTCAGCTCCACGCTGCAGACTTACCACCACGCCGGCGCCATGATGTGCATGTGGGCCGGTATGCGCTACATGTCGGCACCCATCTGGATGTTTGCCTTTGTTAACTCTGGTATCCACGCTATGATGGTGAGTTTCCCCATCATTTCATTCACATGATTGTGAGAACATTCCAGCTAACTTGTGCTCAGTACACTTACTACACCATCACCGCCTTCAACATCCGCGTCCCTACTGCGATTAAGCGTACCTTGACCACCTTGCAAATCACCCAGTTCCTCATTGGCGCATCATACGCCATGGTCCACTCGTTCGTCTACTACACCATTCCGGTCCAGGTTCCCGTTTCCAAGCCCGTTGCTGCTGTCTCCAGCGCTGTGGCTGCCGCGACCGAGTCGGCCCAGGCCGCCGGATTCCTGGATGGTCTTAAGCAGGCCGTCTTTGGCGCCGCCGAGGCTGCCAACCCAGCCGCCATTGTCGCTCCCGAGGCGGCCAGCGAGAGCGTCTTTTATGAGACCCAGTACCAGGCCACCCCCTGCATCACCACCATTGGTCAGACCTTTGCCATTTGGCTCAATGTGCTCTACCTCGCGCCCCTGACCTACCTCTTTGTCTCCTTCTTCATCGCCAGCTACCTCAAGCGCAGCAGCGCCGAGACGGAGCGCAGCCGCGCCAACAAGAAGAGCGGCCTCGCCGACCGCCGCGTGAGCAATGCCATGATCACGGCCGAAAAGGCTGGCTGGGACGCCGCCAAGGGTATTGAGCGTGAGGTCTACGGACAGGGCAGCGAGAGCGCCGTCATCGAGGAGGACGAGCCTGTTGCCGCCAACGGCCGAGCCCTGCGAAGCCGTGGCAAGGCCAATGGCAAGAACTAAATGAAAAGAGTTGTCGTGTTGAACTTGTGACGAGATTTTGCCGACAAGAGCATTGGCGATGGGGAGTCACTAACCCGCTCCCGACTCTGGCTGGGTCTGATTCGCGCCAATGTTGTTGTTGTTGTTATTGGTGCCAGAAAGTGCTACATGGATTGAGAAGACTCGAGAAAATATCTTTTGAACGAAAAGATAGACCAAGAATCTAGATTCCTGCGAGAAGACACTGCTTGGAGATCTACAGATATGGCGGTTCACATGAGCGAACTGCAACATCACGTGCGTTGATCTCACCTCATTTAGAGAGAAAGATCGTGGTATGTATATACAGGGAACCGGATAAGGCGTTTCGGAAGGAAGGTGTTTTTTTTCTTGCTGCATACTTTTAGCCAAGAAGTAAAATAAAAAAGCATTTTGTAATTCTGGCCAACTCTCTCTGTATTTGGCATGTCTGTCATGTCTCCCATGATGTGAGGGTTACTATGAGATAATGTCGATGGAATGTGTCTTGACTTGCTTCTTGCCCAAGTAAATACGGCGATTGTCATGGACATGCCAAACGCCAGCAAGGCATATGAATCATCTTTGGTGCTATCTAAGAAAAGCGTCCAGGCCATGAGAAATATTGCCATACTCTCTGGACAGCCGTGTCTGTCTCTATAACTGACGCACGAGTATGTATTTACTGCAGTGTGAAGTATTTTTTTTTTTTCAGAATCACTAGTCTTCCACGGACAATTTATATAAAGTATTTCTTATGAAATTATTTCTCATTATGCTCATCAGCAAACGATGTTGGGATGCGATGGTACTAGGGTATTTTCGCTTCGTCTCATCATTACTGGCAGTACAACGCGCTTGAGCTGGTATACTGAAAGACTGTATCTCCAGAGGATACCAAAAAAAGAAACCAGACGCAATGCCCCAACGCCTTGCCTAAATCAAAAAAGTTCTCAACCCTGTCTGTTCCCAGGGGATTCTGTTCCGTAAAATGAATAGCCATCAGAGGGGAACAGCAAATGACATCAGCTTTCCCCCCTTTCGCATGCCAGTCTATAATGTTTATCATCCGGAGCAACTAAATCCTTTGCGGATTTCTCTCCTCTCGTCACCCCCTCCACTCTCAAATGCATAATGACGTTCTAGTCATTCGTCTTTCTTCTGAGCATCTACACAAGCATAGGGTCCCATGTTTGTGTAGCTTGTTCGTGTCCTTGTCCCTTCGCTGGGAAAATCAACCTTGGGTATCATGTAAAATAAAAAAATGTTGGAAAAGTGCTGAGAAGCCAAGCAGAAAAAGCTCGACACTCTTCGTATAGTTCGGAGAGTTCTTGCGAGTCTTGCCTCCTGGTGCGAGCCATCTATAGCAGCCCGCTCTGCCGATTCTGTTCTGCTCTGGTTCTCTAAGATCTATAGGTCTTCGCTTGATCTTCGGTCGTTTATTTCGTGTTACGTGGGTCGCCTCGGTTGCAAGTGGATGTCGCTCCACAGTTGCTGACTTCTGGGCAAGTGTCCACCTTCGGAATGGCTATTCCCCTTCTCGTGGATGGAACGCTCCGAATAATTATGGAGATATGCATCTCTCCGAGCGTGCACAGGGGGTACACTCAGAAAGTGCTCCAGTTCCAGTCTCGTGGAACGCTTGCAGCAACCTCGCCCTTGTTTTGGTCCCGGCCGGGATTGCCGATGGCGGTAGGTGTGCCAGATGCCGTGATGGGACTCGCCGGAGCCGTGCCGGAGCTGTTGGAGGAGCTGTCATCGCTGGAGGCTGCGCTGTTTGTGCGACTCCGCCAGACCTCAAAGTCGGTGTGGCAGTGGGAACAGGCGCGACTGGGTGTGCCTCGAGGGTTGTAGTTGGCATCCTGATCAAGCGGCACATCGTAAGACGAATGACTGTCGCAGAAGATGTTGCCGCACTTGCGACAGTGGTGGCGTCGCGTCCAGTAGTTGAAGTGACGTCTACAAGAAGGCTCGTCGCAGATCGTAGCGTCGTTGTCGGCCTGTCAAAGGGAATAGGTGTTAGTGAATGTTGATCAAGGCCACGTGCCTCATGAATCAAGGGGCAATGTCACATGTCACGTCGTACGCCGTAAGGCTGTAGTTGAGACATGACGAAAGATCGAGGCGACTGGAGCGTGGACAAAAGTATTTAAGTACTCACCTTCCAGTGCTGGCGCGTAGGCTCGGCAGTAGGCTGGGGAAACAGATCCAGATCCAACTCTCCATTCATGCACTTGCCACTGTCGCCAGTAGAGCGTCGAGTGAGACGGCCAAATGCGCCGAGGCCGGTGAGGCTGCTCCAACTGCTACTGGCCTTGAGGCTATCGTCATCATCGTCCGTCTTCTTGGCTGGTGCCTTCTTGGCTGGATAATCTGTCGGACGCAGGACGGCGGGAATGTAGAGCGGCCTCAGTTGGCGGGTGTGGTAGGACTTTGGAGAAGTAGGCGAGGCACTATTCGAAGTGCTGAGAGGAGAGATCTGACGGCTGTTGGGACCTGAGCTCAGTTGTTGCTGGAACTGAGCCTGCTGCGACTGCGCGGCGGCATGCGCCTGAGCGGCGATGTGCGACTGTTGGTGCTGAGACAGGTGCGGGTAGAAGTGGGCGCCATATGTTGGCTGTTGCTGATCAGGCAGCCGGGGCATTATGAAGTCGGTAGCCATTTCCTTTGAAAGTGAACCCTGCACTGCGGACGTGTCGATTTGGTTTGGTTTGTTCCCGACAAGAATATCAAGGGAACAAAAGAACTGCAGATAGGGAGAAGGAGGTGAGATCGAGGTGGGCGTTTGTTCGTCGTACCACACTGTCGGGATATGTGGTGGATGGGTGGCTGTTGAGACAGGGAAGTTCTGCGACCGCGCGGCGACAAACCTCCACTGGTTCGATGATTTGATTTAATGGGGGTTGGTTGGTTGGTTGGTTGGTTGGTTTCGACGATAGCCGTCACCAAGAATGCTCGTACATATGATACGAACGGAGAAGGAGGATTATAAAGATGGGATGTGGTGAATGTGCACTGGTCACAAATCTGGATTGTGAAAATAATTAGAAAGCCTCGAGTAGGATTGTGAGGGGAGCATATGTGTATTGTAGTATTCGGGGGGGTGTGGATGGGGGATTGTAATGTATGTATGTTATCGGATTGGACTGAACTTGGAACGGGGTACGGGCGGTACGTAGGCGAAGGAACGAACGAACGGGGGAGAGCCACTGGGATTGTCTGTGTGTCTTCTGGGTCGCTGCTGGCCGCCGCCGGGATGCCTGGCTACATTACCTAGTAGGTGGGTGGGTGCTATGTAGCTAGAGGGTACGTACTATGATGGACAGAGTAAGTGTACCCAGAGCCATTGAGGCGATGGCCCATTGGTTACATGGGTAATGTAATGTAATGGAGGCGGGCAAGGTAAGTAAATTGTAAGCTACGACCACTACTAGCACTAGTTTACTTTTCTTGTCGGCCGCGCTACCTACTGGGCAACCTGGGCTCGCAGACAAATACCTCCGTCACCTACCTTGCCTGCCTACGTACTGCTGCTCCCTCAAGTGCTTGAATGGAAACTTGTTTTGAGCGTCAGAGCCCCGTCAGATCGATGGAGACATTACAGCGCAGACATGAGAGCAGAGACAAGTGTACACGTTGGGGAGCAGTGAAAGATACGGACTAGACGGAGAGCAATCAATACACAGTAGAGAAAGCAACGAGATGGGTGTGGGAGACCGTTTTCTGATCGCGGAAGAGGGTGGGTATGGGTATTCTCGGAAATCTGCGCGTTACCATTGGGCTGAGAATGCTCATGGACCACAAAAAAAATGCGCGAGCCAATGCCGCTCCCAGTGTGTACGAATATGTACATTAGTTATTAAGTCTGACGGCGAATCCATGGCCGATGGCCAGCGTCGGGGGCTCCCCCCCTTGGCAGTGATCGGATTGAGACGGGTCGACTGACTTGACGTTACGCCCCCTCTGGTCTGTCCCCTCTCAAGGCTCCAGCTCTGGCTTTGAAGATGTTCTATTGTTGTCTGGTGCTACGCATTCTGCTTTGGAGGAGCACGCCAGAGGCCAGAAGAGTCAAGAGACGGTTGAGGTGGACTCTTGAGCCACTCTTTCTGCAATTCATCCACCCAGTTGAGGTCCCTCAGTTCCCACTGACCTACACTACCCTCATGTACCTACCTTATCCACTGTAGTATGGATCTCCTTCTCACTGTCCACTGGAATCGGCGCCGCATGTACTCTACCTATGTGGCCCCCCCGGCCCGCATGGATGCGAGTACTTACTTACTTGGGTTACGAGATAAGATGGGAACAGGGTTGACTCGTGTAAGTTTCCACACCGACAATAAGCTTTCGACTGCTGGGACGAGTGAGAGGCTCGCGATAGGCAAAGAACCACCGGTGAGGGATGATGAGTAAGGGTATGTAAGGCCTGAGGAAGAGTAATGCACGGCCTTTCTCTTGCTCTTCTGCTTGTTTTTCTTGTTCCTGGCAGCTGGGGTTGGTTTTGTTACTGCCTCTCCGTTACTGGTGTCGTCTCCCCAAATGCAATGCCTGTTCACAGGTTCTCTTGGATTTTGGCCCGAGCACGGCGCAGCGAACCGATTGCCGTGCGAGATCATCTATCTCTGCAATACGACTTGACTATGATGTAAGGTTTCTGCCAATCGTCTAGCTCATAGCGTACAACCGGGACACTATATCTAGCAACAAACCATATATGATACTATAACCTGAGGCTATGGAAGTATGAAAGCAAACATGATGGTGATTCCGTACGAAAAGTCTAAACTACTGCCATTGGTGACTGCTATCAAGAACTCGGCCTCGCAGTTCAACATGAGGCGACGTCGGTTTGCCTCAAACATGCTATTTGCTATACTTGTGCTGCTTTCTTATTATTACCATTCTTTGTCTGGGCGCGCATCGCAACCTCCGGTGGCCAATGCCTAGCAGTGGTCTTGTTCGGGCGGATGCAGCGCGGAAATGCTCGCGTCGGCGTCGGCCTTTGCTGCTGCTTTTTGCGGCGGCGGCGTCGCAACGCAGGGCTTGGTTGATGACAGAACAGGCAACGTACACCACAGTAGGCGTACACTAGTACCGCCCAGCTTGCCAGGGTCTATAGTGTAGGGAAATATGTTCGAGGTTGATCAAGCGGTCGACCATCCGTTGAGACTTGACCCTGTGCAATCTCGTGTCTACATTACTCCGTCCGTCGAACCTACACAGTACTGGCCTGGCAGGTTGGGCCGTCGATCAAGGAGCCTTGCTCGCGTGCCTCCGCTCGGCAACTTGTGGATTTGCTCGGCTGCCGTCTTCTTAACTTCGGAGGCCCAGCTCTACTTACACTAGGATCGTCCTGCCAGCCTCTTATTAGCTGCAACTAAACTTTGTGATGGGGGAGAGTTTTTATTTATTTTAGCACGCTCTTGGGTAACACGGCAATATGTGCTACGGTTTTCCATCATCGGCGCTTCAATTCGTCTGCCACCTCCTGACAGGCCTGTCAGTTCTGTCAGAGAAAAAGCACTCTTGTGATTCCTTTACACACTAGAGAGCTGCTGCATGCAACGCCATGCGTGACGAGGGGTTGCATGTATGTATGGTAAGTACATGCGCGCCCATAACTATACTACCTACTTTTGGGAACAGTCTCCCATGTATGTACTCTGCGTCCTGTTTTACAATATTATTGATCCATCGACTAGAGTAATGGAGCGAAAGTGGACAGGAATGTATTGCTCTCCATCTAGCCCATGGCCACCAGGAGAGACGTGCGACGTCGGGAGTGTTTCTGGCGGGCAAGACCACCCTGCCCACCCCCATATTAGAGAGTTGATGAGAATTGGATGTATTTTCGCACACGACGATATAGGCATTGTAGTGTTTTGGGCGTTGTCTAGATCCAGCCTTAGCCTACCTACCAATCCACCCATGGACTGAGGTCTATACTCATGCGCAAGTTTGGGTGTAAGCAGAGACATGCTTAATCTCGCAGGCAACAAGTACAGCTCGTTATAGAACTTTGCATTCGCGCCGTCGTTATGTTGCCTCGCCTCCCAAAAGAACGAACTCTGGGCGCTTCGGAATCGATTCGGAATTATTATTCACTGGTCAGCCACATAAACAGTAGTCCACACCAGGATAGTACATACAAAAGTTGCTTGCTTGTGGCAGCCCAGAGTGCCAGACGGGCGCTGGGTGCTTTTTTTTTTTTCTTTCTCTCTCGACCCTTGCAACGCCGGTGCTGTCGGTTGTCGGAGCAAATTCGAATAGAGACCCCCCTCGCAAACATGGGTCTGGGCCGCATGTAGGCTAGTGTAGTGGTAAGGGTGGTTTATTGCCGCTCGCGAGACTTGAAGCGCCTCATCGCGGCGGTTTCTCAACGTCAGCTCTCAAGGTTTCGACATGCGTAGCGAGCCAACCTAAACATCGCTTCCGGGGTGTGGTTTAGCATGCTGTTGTTCACCGCGGATCGTCAATATACTTTTGATTGCTTCTGTCTCAGAGTTCTGCCTATCTTGCCCATCTCTGGTCCATCGATCGCGGAGGAGCAAGAGGGGTTCAATTGCTATGTAGAGACACATGAGGCCAGCGAACCTCGACCCGGCTGGGTACGGAGGCAAGTAACTAGGTTTCCTGGAGCGGGGGAAGAGCAGATCTCAAGTCGCGCATCTCCATGTGCCCTCCCGTCCATTCTTCGCCAACCAAATTCTCTCGACCGGGTGTTCTATGCAACCATATGTAGCATCACAGGCCGTCCAAGCCGTCTGCCGTGCAAGTGAGCGGGCCAGGCGGGCGAGGAAATGAGGGGTGGGCGCCTGAGCGGAACCTCCCAAAGACCCCAGCACGCCAGAAACAGCCTGCCAAACCTCCCCAAAGAAACCAGGTGCTACAATTTTTTTGCTACTCCACGCCATTTTCACGATACCCTCGAGTATACTACTAAACTGGAAATGAAGTCGGCGCGCCGCATTCACGGCCGCACCTGCACAGGACTACTTTGAATGCTCCTCAGATCGTCGCGTGCTAGGTTCGGGCCTGGGCCCCTTGCCTTGCCTCGAGAGCGGGTTGGTGATGAATGGCGCAGCTCTGCACGCGACACTTTTGTCAGGCCGACCGTCCTAGGGCCGAAAACGAATGGATTCTGTTGGTAACAGCAACCTCGAACAGTGCTCAAGAGCTCCACCTCTCGCAACCAGAGCCTCGGGCAAAGAGAAAGAAAAATGTCTCTTTCCTTTCATTCACTCGCTCCCTCACTCTCACGTAGGCTTGCCTTTTGTCAATGATTCAAGCGCCAATCTCCGGGCTCCAGTTCAAGACTCTCGAGACACGGTTTCTCACTCGGACAATTACGTCCGCCTTTCCCAGCCATGATATCCACGCACACGACAAGATCATCGCTGTCAACCTGTCAGGTTTGTCTGGTTGCCAAGTTTAATGCCTACCTAACCAACCTGCCTACATATACATATATACATACATACGTGTTATGTGTCCAGAAAACAGAAATATGTGCACCAGTAGCAGTCTCCAAAAAATGGATTTGCCATGCCAGAATTAGTATACTATTGCATGCATCAATTGATTCTCTTACCCGCTGGCGCCGTATCCGCTTCTCAGCAAACGAGCCACTCACGATGGCTTCGTCGTCGGCCCTTTGCCGGTGCGGGAACCGCCACATGACAAGAGGCAAGAGGACATGACCAAAAGCAGCAAAAGCAGAAACACTGGCTGGTGCATTCCATGCGAGGGAGGGTAACGTTGTGGTCCCCTCACTGCGGCTCCTCGTCTCTCCTCTTTTCTCTTTCTGTTTTGCCCCCAGTCACAGAGATTTTCTTCAGATGCTTGCTTGCATAGCATTCCCCAGGTCCCGTCCCCATTTCTAGGAGACATGGTAGCACTCAAAATGAGCTTTGCCCGCCTTGCAGGAGAGACCGCGACGAACGAGCAGTGGCCACCATAGCTGTGGGCCACACACCTCGGAGAAGCGTGGAGTAAAAAAACAAATGTCTGGAGTTCCCTCGTGCCGCTTTTGCTTTCCCTGATAAACCATTTTCCCGGATCTAGAGATGCATCTGAGATTTGCTGTGATCTCCCAGAACCCTCATAATGGGGTTATGGATTATAGCCGCTGTGCCGAAACCATAATATCACATTTGATCCGCTGAAGAATCATTGTACATACCTGGACTTCGCTTGACTACTTACCTAGTCGATTTAAGGTTCTGCTGGTCGCAAGAAATGACGAAGCGGTAATCAAAAACAGAGCCACAGCAATCGATAGCTAGCGGCGCCGTGCTTGATCATACAAAGTCTCTCTGCCGAGCATCCCATACTGGACGTAGATGGTAGTGTGGAAGCGTGCTCTGAGTTCGTATACTTTTTTCTCGCTCTTTTTTTGGTCTTTCTTTTTCCCCCTCCTGCTTGGTCGCCAAACAATTTCTGCATGTGATTTAGATCATGGATAGGCGAGGAAATGCTGCTACGTATTGGTGTTCTTCGCTGGGTACTGTCACGGGCGTCAATGCCAAACCTGTCATGCACACTTTTCGGGTCAAAGGTGGTGTGCTGTCAAAGAGCTGCCACATGCTGCCTACATACACATGCACAGCTCTCTCAAGCTCTCCCCTCTCGATCTCCCTCAGCCTTTCCTTCACGATAACAAACACGGACCCGGGACCTAAGATTAGTTCTTTGGTTCCCGTTGCTTCTTTTGTTCGCCTCTCTGGACCCTTTTTCTTGCTTGTATGCATAAGACAACGCATCAACAAGTGGATGCAATTTCCAAAGTAGCAAAAGTAGGGGTCCAAAGTACTACTCTACTCTGCTACAAACAGTAGGTTATTACGCAGCTCGTTTCTGCCGCCCCAACTTTTGTGAGACGGAAAAATACCAGCGTTTGGAGCGTACGCGCGCCAAGAACCCAACGGTCGGTGTCTTGTGTAACCTTTTTGCTTGTGGGCTTTTGCTACTACTGGACGTACCATAATAGCTCAAAGCCATGGAGCCGTGCGTGGTCTGTCTGCGACTCTGCGTTGCCGCGCCTTACCTCCGCCAAGCCAGCAGAAAGCTAGGCCTATCCTAGGTCCTGTGGCCTTAGCAGGGCTCATCCCAGAAGCATGGCATTTGGCCGTTCCCGCTCTTTTTCAGGGTCCAATTAGTGGATGTGCTTAGTGGCAGCGAACTGCGTCTTCTTATCGGCCGGCGCTGATTGGCGAGTCACGTCCTCGGTGCCCAAAATGGAAATCCCAGCCTGGGGTCCTCCCCTGTCCAGCAACAAGACAGACGTTATGTACACTGAGACATGCACCCGATGCCCGCCAGCCGCCGCCGCCGCCGCCGCTTCCACCGGGGGGCCCTCTAAGCTCCCCTCAGCAAAATGCCACCCAAAATCAAAGAGCGCGCAAGGTGGTAGGGAATAACCTGCCAATGAAGCATGATTCCGCGTTTCCTTCCAGGCCAGAGACGAGACCACCCAACCTAGCCAATCCTTCTCAAGGTCCGGCCGAGGAGAAAAGCCAATTCGGCCTTTCCGGCACATAGCGGCTACTTGGCTCTGGCGATCATATTCTTCTTTCTCGTCTTCGAGAAGGAAAAAAATGTCCAGGCAACGTCAGAACATGGGGCATCCACAACGCCATCGCCAAGAATATCTTAATGAGGTAAAAAAGGAAATGCCCGACTGGATGGTAGTATTTTGTTACCCAATGCACCGAGCGCCAGAAGATCCCATTCTCTACTTCCGAATGGTGAGGGCAGCTATTTACATTTAGTCGCTTGAGCGAATCATGCTGTGTTCTCTTTTCTACACCGAAGCTACAGAAGCCGTGGGGTGAAAAGTACGTCAGGCCAATGGCGTTTTTCGCTGCATTGATTCTTCTCAAGGCATGGCATAGTAGTCCTCATCGACCATGTCATTGACGCTTAGGCTGTTTTCCGGCGGTGTGATGAAAGAGAATGTATTGAAAGACATCATAATCTACTATACCTACTGTATTGGGAGATGAGTAGATGGAAAATAACTCTGTGTCTCTTTCTGATCAACAAGCTTGCAGCTGGGCAGACATGGTGCTTGAATCATGTGAGGTCCAGTCAACCAAGATTGAGCAGGCATTACTGCCGATTTTTTGCATACTGGCTGGCCGTCGCCGCGGGGTATGAAAGTCGAAGTGGGCGGAAAGTTTCCAGACCATGCCCAAGTTTGTCGAAACCGCTTCCTCTCAAAGAGTTGTGGTTCCTATTGCTGAGGTAGGTACCCTAGGTCGTAGCGCAGCAGATCAACTCTCACTTCGAGATTCAATGTTGCTCATCATGACGAGGGTCGATTAGAGGATATGGGATTTTGCGAGGGGCAGGCAAGCTACTGTGTACCGTTGGAAGCGACAGCTGCTAATGCTGGTCCAGCAGTACGATAGCTGCAGCTGATTGACAATTTAGCTCTGAGAGCTTTGGGTAATGCCACTCATGCGTCCCCGGAAGTCTGCCCGTCTCCCTAGGAATCATCATTGCCTCCTTATCGGGATCCAGCCCGGTCCCCCCCCTCCCTCCCTCTGACGTAGAGGCTCCGTGCCAAATCGCGATTTGCAATGGAGCCCGCCCGATCTGGTCCGGCGCCAGGCGCTTGGGCACACATCGAGATGCTCGATCTCTCTCATAAGCAAACAAGCAAAAACATACTATGTAGCTCCCTCCAGCCAAGCTGAAGTGACAGCTAGCAAAGGAGGGGCGGGATCCTCGTTGGCATAGTACGGAACTATGGTTGGGTAGGATATCTTTTCCTGACTCGTCTGATAATGAGGCTATTTCCACACGATCCTCTTCATGCATCGAGGTTCCTCTCCGTGTGTCTCTGACCATCTCCTGTCTGAGGCGTTCAGATGGAAGGGAGGGGAAGAGAGATAAGGAGCGGAACTTTCTAGTTGTGCTTCATTGCAATGCATTGCCACGCCAGCAACCACGGGATGCATCATGATGAAAATATACATGGCACGGGCTCCAGTGCTTGTGTTGTTGTTCTTCTCCCGGCCCCCAATCTCGGCGAAGCTGTTGTGAAGCGAGATCCGGAACCACACCCCCTGGACTGAGTTCCGATATGGTTCGACGGTTGCGTGGAACAGGAAAGAAACTTTGGGATCGCAGCAGCAGCATTGGGACAGCATCGTACGAGGACAAGAAGATCCAAACCGTCTGGTTGAACATGTCATGTTACCGATGGCAAAAACAGAAACATAAAAAATACAAGTGATTATATTTGATTGAGTCTGAATCGTTTTTGATCCGCTACATTCATTCAAAGCTTTTCAAGCACTTCAAGGTAGGTCAGATAGGTAGGTTGTGAGCATGGCATTATCTAAACCTTCGATTTCAAAGGTCATGATATGCCAGCGATCATGAATGTAACTAAGATGGTTCTCTCGGTCAAAGTCACGAAATTGTGTTCCTTCAATGATAATATCCTATGCCGAAACAGCGATACATTTACTCCTACAGATGGTACTCCATGTGACGATATTTATGGCGAGCTCGGATACAAATGGATTTCTGAGACAGTTCATGGGTCGTGTCTTCATGACCAGGCATCCTACCATTCATGATGTTTTCGCCCAAGCAAGTTTCCCACAAATCAACTTGCAAGCGATATTCATGTGTTTCATCTAGTTGGTTTCCTGCGAAATACCTTCAACCCACTTCCCGCTCTTGCCGCCTTCCTTCATCACAACTCTCAGGCCCTCGATAACCATGCCCTTGTCTACCGCCTTGCACATGTCATAGACGGTAAGCGCCGCCGTGGAAGCTGCCGTCAAGGCCTCCATCTCGACGCCGGTCTTGCCCTCGCACGATACCGTGGCCTCAATCTCGACGCTGCCGCTACGGCGGGATTGCTCGTCTTTGCCCTTGGCCTCTTCCCCCATAGCAGCAGCGCCCCCAATGTCGTGGCCGTCAACCACGACCAGATCCACGGCGACTTTAGAAATGGCAATGGGGTGGCATAGCGGGATGAGGTCCGGCGTCCTCTTGGCCGCCATGATGCCGGCAATGCGCGCCACGCCTAGGACGTCGCCCTTTTTGAGCGCGTTCTCGCGGATCAGCGTAGTCGCGACGTCAGAGCTGAAGCGCACGCGGCAGACAGCTATAGCGGTACGGGCCGTTGGCTGCTTGGACGAGATGGAAACCATGTGGGCTTCACCCGAGGACGAGACATGCGTCAGCTTGGGCGGTTGTGATGCGGACATGCTATCGTCCTTGGCTGCCAGTAGGCGGCGCGAGGTCGAGAAGAGTCGGGCGTGCACAAAGGGGAATGAAGCGCCAGGTAGCAGATGCAGTGGAATTTTGGTCATCATTGTCGGCCGAGAAGAGTGGCGGTTGTCCGAGATCCATTGTTGGCTCAGCGCCAGCGAATCTGAACTCAAGTTTGGGTGGCCGCGATCTGCGTTTTGCAATTCAGTCTTTGTTGCCCGAAGGTTGTGTCTCCGGTTGATTGGTATTCGAGGCAAGTATTGCGCAACCGAACGAAAAGTTTCGACCAAAACCGCCCGAATATAATGATGATGGGATTGTTCACCCACCTATCAAGATCATTGGCCTGTTCTTCATATGCTCTAGCTCACCGATGCCCGCATGCTTTTCCTTTTTCCGCTTGACAGCCATTCCAATGACTTCCAAGAGCTCCTGCTCATTGGGGGCTAGACCTAGCGGTTTGGAGTTATCGATGAGCCCTTGCCTTCTGTCCATCTCAATCTTCTTCATGGCTTCAAAAGCCTCCTCTTCTATCGGCTCGCCATTGTTGGACTTTCTCAGGATATCTCGTACTGACACTTCCGCATTGCCAAACAAGCAGACTTTGAGGTTTCCATCGCTCGTGATGCGCAATCGATTACAGGTGCCGCAGAAGTTGTGAGTCATGCTAGTAATGAATCCAATACGACCCACGAACCCAGGTATCTTCCAGGTCTTGCTTGTGTCGTTCTTGTGGTCCCGGATTTTCTCCAGGCCGGGATACGTCTCCCGGATGAGATCAAGCATTTCATTGTAGCTGTACATCTTTCCCTTGTTCCACTTATTTCCATCGAAAGGCATGTACTCGATGAATCTAATCTCAATATCTTGTTCGCGGGTCATCTCAATAAAAGGGATGATCTCGCGGTCGTTGACTCCACGCATGACGACACAATTGATTTTCAGCTTGATGCCGGCCCCGTGACGGTTCAGTTCGAGGACTCTGTCAATGCTCTTCATGACGGCATCAAAGCCCTTTCTCCGTGTCATGATCTGGAACTGCCACGGGTCGAGAGTATCCAAGCTGAGGTTGACTCCCGTCAGTCCAGCCTCGACCATGCCCTCGAGCTTCCGGTGCAAGGCTAGACCGTTTGTCGTGAGACACAACTCCCGTAGTCCGTGACTTCGAAGCGCGCCAATCTGCTGCATTAGCGGTAGAATGTCCTTTCGGACGGTGGGCTCGCCGCCAGTCAGCCGGATCTTGTTGACGCCTTGCGAGACAAAGACCGAGGACAGCATGACAATCTCGGGCGTGGTCAGGAGCTCCCTTTGCGGGGACAGCGGGACCCCCTCCTCGGGCATACAGTAGACACAGCGCAGGTTACAGCGCTCCGTGAGCGAGATGCGCAGATAGTCATGCTGGCGCTGATACGTGTCGGTGAGAAAGTCCGAGAAAGGCCGGGCATCCTTCAGCCTGCTACGCCGACTTGGCGGCGCTGCTGCCGGCTCCTCAAAGTTTCGTCGGGAGATTCCATCCAGAGATGTGCTTTCCGCTTCCGCTGCAGAGGAGGCTATGCTCCTGGTCGTTGGAGGACGTAGCTGCCACGCATTTCGGGTATATCGCCAGACCAGACGTGTCGGGCTGAGCCGCAGTGAAGCCGCCGGCATGGTCGAGCGGTTGCGAGCAAAGGTTCAGCAGGATCGCTTAGCAAAAAGTGATGCACATGGCCTCGGTGGTCTCGGCCAGAATCATGCCTGCTCTGGAACTTGATAAATGTGTTCTGTATGCCCCCAAAGATGGCAAATTATCTGAATTACCTATAATTTGCCACGTCCTTGTCGAGTGGGAGGGCGCAGAGATAGATACCTACCTGTTCATGGTGGGGTAAATAAAGTGTGTGTCAGCAGACTTAGGAATCCGGCGCTGATACTGGCCGGGCCCGACCTTGAAATAAGATTTGGCAATGAAAGGACAAAGGTACATTGTGCCGTCCCGAAAATATTTATTGGTTGTCAACAGGAAATGCCCCCCCAAATATAAATGTTCTGGTCGGAGTGATTCGCGATAGTGAAAGGAAAGCTTAGGCGTGTAGTGAAGATTGAAATATTATAGCGGAGGATGCAATGAGTGACAGAGTTACAGGGAAAATTCACTGCTGTCCATGCCCTGAGATGAGCTAGATATTGCCTTTTAGGGAAGTACCCGACTTGAATGGCGCAGCTTCTATATTGTACGTACGCATTTCGCATTTGATGAATTGTATCATTAAATACGAGAAAGAAAGACATGAAAATAGTACGCGGGAATATATTTAGTAAATATACTTTTTTAAAGAAAAAGAGGACAAGCTTAGTTTCGTCGATTTCCTGGTGGGTAGGTAGGTAGGTAGGTAGGTAATACCTAATAAACGGCTGCTGAATTCAAAGGTTGTCATCAAGCGCAAATATTAACCCAGCAAGTTTTCGCGTAATTGGTCGGTCATCACCACCCACTCACAACATCAACAAATCCAAGAAAGATCGACACATTGGTGAATGCCGCGACAACGCACATGTTCACTGGCCATTTTGAATTGCAACTGCTTGCTTATGAGATTTTGAGCTGTTGGCAGTGTGAGGAACAAGAACTACTGTTGGCAGGACACATTTTCAGGCACATTTTCAAGCACAGGCACAGGCACGGACACTCAATCGCGTCCCCCTGGCGGACTATTTACTTTACAGGACGTTGAGCTAGGTAGATGACGGCACCCAACCCACTGACACGGTTCGCCTTTCAGTGGTAGCAGCAGCAGCAGCTTCACCGGTTGACTACAAACCTTGATCACACTTGTCCTGAAGCGTCACACGGTCCTCTACTTGGTTGCCTTGTAAGGCGACAGAGTCTGCATTTAGACCTTGACGATGCATTTCTCTCCGGTCTTAAAATGTACGCATGTCCAGTCCTTTTATTCTCCCCCCACCGGTCATGGCATTTCTTCATCCACGCCGAAAGATACACCACCTATCGCTCTTCACCTCCTGTTGTTGTTGTACCACAATCAAATGAAAGCCGCATACTGATCCCAGTTGGACAGCTTCGCCTCACAGCCTACCAAGTCCCGATGGCAAATTCATTGCAACACTGCTGCCAGCTCAGCTCAGAATCAGGGCAGTCCAGACCTTGACCGTGGAGCGGAGGATCAAGGTGCCTGCCGACCTTGCGGCCAGCACCACGACGTTTGTCTGGTCTCCCAATTCTCAGAGACTTCTTCTCTCTGCAGGTGACGAGATACACGTCTTCTCTGTCGTCGATGACGATTTCCATGCGACTGTACGCAACCCTACCTCATCCGTGGCCAAGTCAACTTTTGTAGATTTTGGTGCTACGGACAGAGAGGCCTGCGTCTGCTCTGCCCATGGCATCAAGCTATCACTATTCAATCTCGCTTCGGCCAAGGTTGTTGAAATAAGCAATCCCAAATTCTATGCTGCGTCGACCGCTGCCCGCGGCATCTCCTACCGCCCCCTTACGCATCATCTAGCGCTGCTTACCAGGTCCTCGGGCAAGGATTTTGTGAGTATTCACACTGCCGAGTCGAGAGAGGTGCAGCGATCATGGAGTCCCGATGTCGTAGATGCGCAGGGTCTCTCATGGACGCCGGATGGGAAGTGGCTAGTTGTCTGGGAGTCTGCCGCTCAAGGTCACAGAGTTTCTTTTTTCACCCCCGACGGCCACAAGTATCGGGATTGGTGCGGGCCCCTCCTCCGTCCTGGCGAGACGCACGAACGCTGGGGTGCGGGTGTCAAGGTTGTCACCTTCAGCTCCGACAGCCAGTACGTAGCAATTGGCGACTACGGCCGGAGCGTATCCGTGTTGCCAACGGCAAATCTAGCCCACGAATTGCGGCTCTGCCACCCTCTCACCCTCGAGCCCAAGGACACGCTGCAGGTAGGTGTAACCTTAACCCCCTTTTTCTGTTTCTGTGAATGAGCTTGATTGACCTGAAACCACTGTTCCCAAGATCTGGCAAGAGCAATTCGACTTATCCGACGGACAAGGCCCCGTTCATCGATTCGTCAAAGCTTCTCAACCGGTAGCTCCAGTCGCGCGAACAACACAGAGCGGACATGAATTGAAGACGGGCCCCCTATTCATGTTGTTTGACCAGTCTGCTACGCTATTGGCCATGGCTCTAGAAGACGCGCCGAGCACACTTTGGATTTGGGATGTAGCAGTAACTGAACTACGAGCAGTCCTCATGTTCCATGCCGAGATTGCCCGCATCGAGTGGCACCCGTCGCAATCGGAACTTTTACTTGTGCGGTGTGAAGGTCAAGACCATGCGGGTCTCGTGTTTGTTTGGGATCCCCTCAGCGATGGGCCAACTACAGTTGACTTCAAGTCCCAACTATCGGCAGGTCAAATATGCGGGAAGCCGTCTGCGTACTGGTTGCGAGCCTTATCAGGTTCACCGACCGTCTTCTTCACTGACGCACAATCCTACATGCTCGTCTCTGTGACAGACTCAGATGAGAATGATATGCCGTGGCTGACCCCATCTTCAGTCGATGATAGCCAAGCTGCACGATTCTCGTTGGGGTCCACTGAAGAAAGCAACAACAGAGAAGATAGCGACATGGGAGACGATGAAAGCCAGCCCGATGATACTTTTCATTTCAAGAGATTTGGGGTTGAGTAGCTGCAGCACTACCGTCTTTCGGTCGCTGCGTGTTCAGTATGACAAATGACAAGTAATAAACGACCCAGGGCTGCGGATATCCCAGGCTAGTTCACCGGGGCACGTCCAGTCACCTTCCGGCGCTGCCTTGCATGGTTGGCTGCCGCTACACTTTATTAAACGATATCACTTGGCGATATTGCTCAAGTTGCAATCGACGAGATCCAAGCTGGATCGAGTAACTGAGGCGCCAGAACTCACAACAAACGACTTTCCTACGGCCTTGGCACGTCTCCACCTTCTGTATAGTAACCGCCTGTGCGGTGCAATGGAGAGAAGGAAAGAAAGGCCTTGTGTCGCTCGCAGCAATGCAGCATGGCCTTCTTCCCGAACATACAGTATTGTGTATGTACGTGACTACGGCATCAGTGAATGTCGGTTCAACCAGCCGTGGGGCATGAGCATGTGGAGCATTGCAGAAGCATTGGCGGTTGGCACCTGCAACTCATCGCCAACCATTGCCATTTGTGTGGCTGTCAGGACTTAGAAGACTTTATGCAGGTCGATCAACTGGGAAATCTCCATCACATGGGCGCAGCCGATGTACGTCAGAAGGTTTATGCTGTTTGCTAACCCCCCCGGTCGCTTCGTTTGGCCAACGACGACAATGGGGCCGTGATCTGGACAAATTCGAATTCTTTTTTTTGTGAGACTCTCGGCCATCTACTTTACGAGGTTGCTACATACATGGCAAGCCGGGTGTGCCAACAATCCAACGACCTTGTTGCACTCGTCAAAGGTCGTATTTTCTGTAGCGAGTGGACGGACCAACGATTTCATGGACTGATTGGTCATAGTGCCAGCGGCAATGCATAGGCGGTTCCGCGACAGCACGTTTAGCATGGCTGTGCCCCATGTTGACAGTTGAGTCGTACTACCACAAAAAAAAAATCGGAAATGCGGTGCCCCCAATTCTGGACCGTGTTTCTCGACGGTGCCCCCAAAATGTGCTGGTTCGATGAGCATCTGGCCCCCGGGGACCATTTCACTAAACGGCCCCCCACGAAGAAACGTCGACCGACCAGTCCAGCTTGCTTACCGGCCGACCTCTTGGCCAGGTGTGCAACAAGTTACAGCTACAAAGGCACAACCATAGATCCGGCAACCGGGAACTGGACAAACCATAAAATGTTCATACTCGAGCCTTCACCTAGGTCCAAACTCCGTAGAGGCCCCGCCAGTGTGGCTTAAGCGCCCGGCTCTATGCATCGAACTACGTTGCCTATCACTTGAATTTCTCCTCCTTGCCTCGCCTGGGGGGGCCATGTTTCGCACATTGTCACTGTATCTAGTCACTCGTCACGTATTATTCGTTACCGACTGATCACGTATCCCAGGTCGGCCCGTTGGTTGTTGTGCCTGGGAAACAATAACCACCAACAATAGGTTTTGATCAATCACCAACTATCTACACCTGCACGACTGATTCCGGGCGTAAGTCCTTGCGTGCGTCCATAGATCCAACCATCACAAGAGCAATTGTAAAAGATGATTGCTTTTTTACATTGAATGAACATGCAGCCGGTGTCATCCGCTGCAGGTCTGCCAAGATACCATTGGGCTATTAGATAGGAAACTGCGCATATACAGCCGGCTCAAGATGTCGCCCTCTTATTCCAGACCTCCCTGATTGGTGTCTGCGTTGCTCATTTCTGGGGTCGCAAGATCCTGGAACCTGTACGCAATTCGAGCAAGCATCTTTAGATTACACATATTTGACATCAAAATTGTCCGCTGGCTCCTCTCCAACAGCAGATATCCGCTGAAGATCGTGTTTTATCTGAGCCCTACCCCAAGGCGGCTTGCTCTCGTACGACGAAATATAAAAGACTCGTCAACGGGCCGTCCCATTTCCCTTTGTTCCACACCCTCTCAAGTCAAGGGTGGTCCTTGCGTCAACTATAGCATTGTTTTTCTTTCTTTCAATGCGGCTGCCCGTACACAATGTCGAGCGACACCATGATCCGTCAAGTCCCCATCAACAACACCATACAAGTGATTGTAGGCCCAGGCAACGTGACGGGTCTGTATTACATCCTTGTCTCCAATGTATGTCAATGCCTTTGGTGAGAATTGTGCCTCAACGAAATAAGAGACTGATTTGGCATACACGAAGTTACCATGGCAGACCTCGTGGAAGCAGGTTAAGGACCATGTGCGGACGGTCTGTTCCTCAGTTGAGAGAGTTGAGATCTTCAATGAAAGCACTTCAGGATGGGTGTGTGTTCGCGGGCGCGAGAACTTCCGTGCGGCAATGCGTATGTGATATCAAATCCTTGGTTGCCCGTTCGAATCACTGATAATAAAAACAAGGTCATCTGGGATCGACGCCCTTTCAAGACCGGCCAATGTTCATAGATGGAAGAAACGCCAAGGAGGAGATTCCCATCAAAAGACTTGTAGGAGGTCCAGAGAGGCTACCTTCCTCTCCGCGGTCACCTCGCACTCCACGAACAGCGCCTCAAGTTATGCATTTGCCCATCAATACTCCGCCATTGATGTCGCCGACAGCCTCGGGCTATGACCATGCAAGTGATCCTTTGATATTTCAGAAAGAAAAAGGCGTCTAATTGTTATTTGATCTAAACAGTGGTCTACACCAAGCACAGTCTCACTTGTGTCCAGTCCCATAAATTATGGAATGCAGCCCATGCACCCATCAATGGGCGTCGACTATCAAGATGCCACATCCTGGTATCAGTCTCATGATCACAGCTATGTGGACAGCTCGGCCATTCTACCCGGCCCAGTTCCCACATATCAGGCAGAGTCATTCTATCATATTTCACGTCCAAGAGACACGTATGAAAATCACTACTCCATCACAACCGAACCAATCCAAATCCAGACCCTGGCAGCCCCAGCAGTTATCGAGACCGAGTATCGGAAAATAATCATTAGGGGACTATCTAGGCGGACTCAAAGCGATCAGATCAAATCCCTCCTCCGCTCAAGGTGTGGCTTTGGTGGTACCGAAATCAACAGCATCAAGATTCCGAGATCCAGAGAAGGTGGTAATCGAGGACACGCGACCATAACCTTTGTCAACATGAATTGCGCGGAAAAGGCAGTACAGAGGTTGCACCATTTCAATTTCGATGGTCATCAGCTCGTTGTGAGGCTGACAAACGAGGGCGTCTCTCCAAACGAAGAACGAAGAGCAAGATCTCAGCGACAACAAGAAATTTCGCCTCAGCAGCAAGAGGCAGGCCCACAGCCAATCGCAACTAGCCAAGAGAACAGGGAAGAGAATGAATCCATCAATAGAGGCGTCATTATTGCGAATGGCTCCTCAGGCCGGCCTACAAGCCAGTCAAGTGAACCTCGGTCTCGGGGGTGAGAGACCCATGAATAGGTATTAGAGTTCAGGGCTCCTTTCTCTAACCTAGAGGAGTCCTTGCGAACAATGCTACAACGTATGGGAAAAAATAGTTCTATTTGTGTCTAGACTCGCTCGGGGCGTCTTGATTATTCGGTTTGTGCGACGTTTCTTCTTCATGGGACAGGATAGAATTCATGAGCGCTTGTCTATTCCTAAAACCAAAAGTCTTTTGTAGAGCCTGGCCAAAAAGTTCAGCAACAATCGAGGTCCAAGTCACGTATTTTCGCAAATCGTGGTTGTGATTAATGAGGACAACCCTGAAATTAATACCTATTTCTTTCGAATGGATGTACAATCAAGGATCTGTCACATTGCATCACGTCGATCGCGATTGATGAGGTCAATTATTTTCGCCTACGTAGCTTGGGCTACGAGGCGTCGTTATTAATATCAGATCTATCATATTCTCATATTCCAATCCTAATAGGCAATTGATATGCGTTTGATATCATGGAGGCTTGTACATACATAAGATTGAAAACAAAAAGAAAACATATGAAATAAATCCTGCTCGGATCTACCACCTGGGCGGGTTCGTTTCTACCGCACCTCGACAGGAACCGCAAGCATGGTTTCGGAGGCGAGGATTATGATGAGCCAGGTATCAGAGAATTGTGCATATATGTAAGTGTCATGTATGCTGCCGCATTTCATCATCCGATGGGCCGGGCAGTGGGGGGCCAGAGATGGGGAGAAGAGGGGGGATCCATCCCCAGGGACTCCAGGGACTCCAGGGACTCGAGCCCATCTATGCCCTCTCAGCCGTCTTTTCTTTCCCACCTCGTCTCTGCAGGCTCCCGCGAATATTAGAGGAAAGGCGAGTTCCCCCGTAAGGTTGCGGTGTGGCCCGTCCCGCAAACCTTGATTCCGTCCTGGGAAAATACAGTTCTCGTGGCAGCGGGCGGACTTTTTTCTTGAATCCCCTTGGAGAGCAGTGAATGAGACGAACATTGTTTGGAGCAATCGGATATGGCCGTTCTGGGAAATACCGATGTCGGGTTACTGCTTTTTTTTCGGGTGGGTTCATTCAACTGCGAACGGGCTGAGATCGTCGTGGGCAATGATATCTCGAGTACGTAGAGCCAATCTGTCACACCCAGTCGCAATGATATCGTATCCACGTCTTTGAAGATCAAGACCATAGGCATGTGTTATTTACAATTTACCTTCAACTTGCACACATGCATGTTTCACAGAGTTCTGCCCCTTGTGTCGTGACAAGAACACAACATAGGAGAGATATAATATTAGAACATGGGTACGGCAGTCGTAAGCATCTTGCAATGACTGGATGAGACGGTGCGTCTTTCCAGTCGAGAATCTCTTGTCTGTGCTCTGTCATCTTTTCGCCCTTGGCGCTGAGCCCATGCCCTGCAGCCTTCCGTGAGAATAGATATGATCACCACTATAGGTGACATGTCATCATGGACGGCTTTGCATTAGTACGGTACAATGTAGTCAGCCGCGGAGCCGCATATGCAGGCGACCTTTTTCCCTCTGGGAATTCGCTGATGGGGCCGATTTTGACCACCACCAAAAAACGTGGCTTGCAGGGTAATTTTCTCGTTTGTGGGTTTCCCTACGAAATGCAGCGGCCATGGTAATAGGTCAACTTTTTGAGCCTGCTGGTGATGAGAGTGGTGGCTACCGCGTACATCGGGTAAATCACTTCTCCCTTGGGCGTCTGATGATGGTGTGTGGTTTCGTTCCTCTCCAGCGTGGAGTAGTTGCAGCATGGCTTGCACATTTATCGAATTTGTGAAAAGCAATAAAAAAGTGACTGGCGGTTGAGCAAGACCCAGTATTAGCCAACAAGTAGGATTTGAGAGAGCCCTGTATGCAATATTTTCTCCGTGCCTAGCCGCGCGCTCGAATGTACAAAGAGATTCGACACCACTGGCCTGTCTACTTTAAACAAGGTGGTGGTTGTACAAAATACTGTGCGTCGCTTCCTCCCCATGCTGCTTTCCACAGCAGGGGCCCAAAAGAGACTGTCGGACAGCCGTAGCCGAATACGCCTCCCCTCCTCCCCCCTTCGACGTGGGAATGGCAGGGTACTCACGGGCGAGAGTACCCGGAAGTAACACATGCTAGGTATGTGGAGGGGGTCTCCGCCGGATCATATTTCCTAACATATAGATGTGTATTTGGTTTTTTCTTTCTTCTTTTCTGTCATGATTCATTGATATTTGGTGTTTATAGAGCTATTGGCTGTCGTTCATGTATAAGTATGCCCACTTTCTTTTGGCTGCTCTGATCCTTGCCATCTTTTTTATTAAAATCGATTACAGATACTGTCAACGTGTTCCAAGTTCTTTTTATGCCATTGCAGCGCATCGATTCCTTGCCAATGATCTGCTGACTATCATAGATTCGTGCAGCAATATCTGACTTGGCTGTCTATTGACGTGGTTGTTCTCACGATCTGAACCATGATGCCTGCCGTATAATTTGATTCTGTGTAGCTAACCTCACCGCACAATACCACGGTTGCATATTCTACTCTTGGTATTGTCTATGGCGATCCTGGAGCCTTCAATGATTTGCCTTCAGATAAAATGAATTGATTCTTCAAGCAATATTGTAAATGCTTAGTCCTGAAAACGACCTTTACGTTTTTCTCACCATTAGCACCACGAGTCAATTATTTCATCAGATAAATTTGTACTCTTGATCTATAAGGATACACTGCCAATCTTACAGGAGCACAATTGCGGCGACCCTTCTACACGGCCAGATTTTTTTTTTTTTTCACGTTATTAGCTGGCACGATGTGACCGCTAGATAATTCATACCGAACGTTTTGATGCTGGACAATTTATTGCAAGGCATGTCTAATGTGGAAGCTATACTTAACGCGTTGGTCTCTAGTCACCGTTTTCTTTGTGTATTCCCTAGAGATCCCAGTGTTTTCATTGCTACCTTCTCCCGTATCCCATGCTTGCTGCCTATGTTTTCACTTTCCGTTCTCTCAGTATCTTCAGTCCCGCCCTTCTTTTTTTTTTTTTTTTTTTTTTGAATCTTCCTTGCATTTTCGAGATGCCCAGTCTCGAGCATCACATTATGTTCAATGCAGAAAAGCAACATGTACAGGTCAGTACCTGTGATCGACTTTGGCCAAGAACATTCTCATGTTTCCTTGACTAAATAGCTTGACCAAAACTTGATCTTGCACGAGCAAGGATTTCCCGTTTCATAGTATTCCATGAGAAAAGTTTCAATCAGGATAGACAAATGACATCGCGGTCATCTTCTACTGGAACTCCGAAAAGGGCGTCAGTAGTGGACAAAACTTTGCGGACCTCGACCCGAGCAGCTCTGGAGGCATCAGCCAGGTTGCTACCAATGACACCCGACTCGAAATCGTATAAAATGCCACTGATGGACTGAGTGATACGAGCAGAAAGTTCCGACTCGAGCTCATCGCAAATTGCGTCCAGCTTGCCACGGGCACCGCTGGTTGCTTCTGAAAACATCGAGGAACGACTTTTCTTGACGGAACGCAACGTCGTGTCTTTCATACGAGAGTACATTCCGGCGCCTAGTCACTGATTAATTCATCTTGTATGTGTAATTTTGTGTGGTGGACTTTACCTCTTTCTCTTGTGCAACGTTCATAGATCCGAGTCATGTTTCTTGTTACAGCAGGTGTGAACTCTCTGTTGGCTTCCCGCTGCAGCCTGGTTACCTTCGACTGGAACGTCTTGAAGATATCCTCGTATCTTACATGCTCCATCAGAGAAGCCTGGAGAACTTTATGGTCCTTCTTTGGGATACGACCCTTGACGTTGCTGTGAAACTTCTCGCGGACGCTCTGAGACATGGCGGGAAACTTGGCTATAGCATCGGGAATTCGAGCACTGAACACGACCTCCCATGAATTTGCCAATAACTTCTTGATCGGCGCTGCAAGATCTTCGTTGAGGTCGACATGGCCTACTGACCTTGTGGTGTGCACGCCACTGCAACGTGTTAGTAAAGAACATCCGAAGCACCGAAATGGGGAGACTTGCTTGCGAATACAAATGGCCTGGTATGTGTTCCATGCGTAACCACCATCAATCCGCGGGCCAAACCATTTCTGCGCCGTCTTTAAGGCCGCTTTGGCGGCCGATGTGCTCGACCTATCGAATTTGTCGTACAGATATCGAGCCAATATGGCACGACACTCTGATGTGACCGTTTCGGCAGCGAAATCCAAATCCTGGACATTATTAATATTTTTCTGAAAAAGCATTTACTGTGATGGAATAGATCGATGTGCATACCATTTCAAGTTGATCCAAGTCTTTCTTGAACATGACCTCAGTCAACTGGGCTCTGTTACCCTTTTTCTGAGCCCAGAGACTCAGAGTCAGAATAAATTGTCTGAAGTTCTTCATGTAACTTCGGGCAATATCCTCACGGGAAGACTCGGTGAGCTTCTTTGCGAGCATTCGCAATTGAGGCATCCCAGTACTTTCTAGTGTAGAAAATCCTTTTACCTTCTCATCCCTTTTGAATCGTCCTCTCAACTTTTGGTAGGCTTTTGAAGAGACACAGAAGACCGGAAAGGATGAGGCGATTGCTTTATAGTCTCTGACGTTGTGTTCAGGGTTGAATGATTCCTCACTTTCGCGTACGGCGAGCTCTTGGTCCGATCTAAACAACTGTTAGTCTCGATCGTAAATTTGGATTCTGGAAGATAACTACTCCTTGATGCCTCGAGCAAAATCTTGCTGAATGGCGTTCTTGGAAAATTTGTTTCGGCTCTGAATACACAGAGATTTGAGGTCAATCTCAGCCGCCGACTTTGCCCTGGCATCTCTTCTGTGTTCATCAAAAGCTTTATCCCACTGAGTATGCAGATAATCCTGCTTTTCGTGGATCTTTGTTTTCTCGCGTTGCAATCTATTGACCTCATTCCAAATGCGCGCTGGTGTGAGAGACTCCACGGGACTCTCCTCCCTGATTGTTGGCTTCTCCTCAATCTCTTCCTTGATAGGGTCGTTGTCGCCATCGCTGATGTCGCTGTCAGATATGGATATTGAATCGAGGTCGATACGGCGCTTCTTGAGAGGTGTGGTATTTTGGACTGAAGTTTTTCTCTTGCATGGTGCACCGGTGTATGGCTGAGCCATGTTACCCTTATCAAGACCAGCGAGCTGTTCACTCCAGTGATCGATCTGCTGTTGAATCTGTTCTATAAAGAGCTCGACTTGACGAAGATCATCTTTGATACCTTGGCATTCTTCTCTGCTTTTATCAAAGTCGGCCTCAATACGTTGCAGATACTGCAGGCGAGTTGACATGTCTTCCTGGCCTCTGAAAGATTTGGCAGCCTCCACGACTGAGATCTCATCCGTCTTGGAGCAAATGAATGTGACGCGGTCGAGTTTGCAATCGAGTTTCAGTTGTAGCTTGAATGTTTGGCCCAAGAGCTTTTGAGCTGTCTTGTCGTCGACTGCTCGTGTGATCGGTGCGACGATCCATATGTATTTGCAGTTTTCAATGTACTTCTCAGCCATAGCTGCACGAGCGGCATTGGAATCTTGCACACCAGGCTGCAGGTATTGCGTTAGTTATGGTATCTAGAGAGAAATGAGGGAAACACGATGTACTTACCAAGTCGACAATGACAGCTCCTGTCGAGAGAACATCTGCCTTAACAAAGATGCGAACAACCTTGATTAAAGGCCAGTATTGAAGTTGCTTCCTTCCGCCAGCTCTTTTTCTCTGGCCCTCTTGTGCATCGCTGTCAATGTACTTTTGCATCTCCTCGAAAAAGGACGCGGAGTCTGAGTCGGTGATGATGTGCTTCGCTCCAAGTACAGCTTGTACATATGGCGTACTGGCAAGAGTGTCGATGTTCGTATCTGCAAAGCTTTCCTTTGTCAACTCTGGATATACAGCATTGATTTTAGCCCAGGACACTCCTGCTTCTGTCTCTGCGTTCAAAGATTCTCTAACGACCTCGCCGGCCCCATTGAGAAGATCATGAGAGAGCTGTGAGAGCTCGTTTCTCCAGTCGTCGGGAGAGATGAACTCGACTTCAGCTCGATAGCGCTCATCGGGATCATTCGAGGCGTTGTATGACAACTCGGTAATGACGGACGTGCAGGCACGCATGCAATTTGTCGGCACGATCATCTCCTCATCCAATAGAGCATTGACAATGGAGCTTTTGCCAGAACCGGTGTCACCAAGCATACCTATCACGGTCTTTGTCGGCTTGTTTTGTGATCTCAGTCTCTCGATGGTAGTCAGGAATCGGGCCGCATCCTTGGCGTCTGGCTGCTTCTGCAGTGCCTTTTCAATATCGTCGATGACTGAAGTCGCTGTCTTGGCACGAGCCTCAAGCTTGTAGGTCGATATCTCTTGGACACACTGGTCAAGGAACTGAAAATGTATGTTCTCGGCAGGTGACTCTGGTGATTCGATAGCTCCTTCAATCTCGCGTGATTCATGTTCGATAGGTTGAAGCCCTGCCTCATCCTGATCGAACGAACTGGCGATCCGGCGCAGTCTCCTGAAATTTGCTCTGTGCGAGCCCGGCTGCAAACCGGACTTTACGGTAGAGTTTGCAGTACCCATGATCCCGACGAAGAAAGTTGCACTATGCGAACAACATTGGCTGGAATTGAAGAGAAGAATGGATTGAATAAGAAAGAGAGGGGCTTGGAAGTTGACACAAGAACAAAATACAGTAGATGCTGCAGTCTTGCTGTAATTGTACGTCAAGTCAGAGTCGAGTTTGAGATACTTGAAATGTGATGAACCCCCAGAGATTTTAACCACCAAACGTTGATGGAAAAGAGTAGAGTTTTGGATGCAATTTGCACTTTTGTGGGATTGGAAAGAAAGAAAGACAATGGGCTTGACCAGTTTAAAATAATTGACAATAGATCAAATGAAAAATTGCTCTTGCCAAGTTGTTGCGTTCAGATGCAGAATGAAAATTTAGAATCTAATACACGCTCTTGCCATTCCATGTGAACACTTCAGCAGAGGACAATCAGTAACTGCATGTAGCTGAGTATGTAGCAAGTAGACCATGGGGGTATGTACTGCAATGAATGATAGGGTCCTACCTGGAAAATATTCTTGACCAGCTTCAGTCTCTAGGTCGTTGTAGGATTTCCCTTGCGATTGTTGTGCCACAACATTATACGAAGCCAGCAATTCAAACATTGTTCGCCATTTCGATCCTCCTGTAGATATGCATTCTACTCAGTATCTCTTGGCTCTTTATTCACAGCAAAAATCTATTGTTGAGCGAGAACAATCGGAGTCTGAACAACATGTTATCATATGGCTTCGCGTGATGTTCATCATTGGCGTTGGCCACGGGATAGAGACATGGCGAGCAGATGAGAAAATCCAGTATTCCAGATAATTTAAAATTCTAACTAAAAAGTTTTAAATACGGAGACTGCCTCATGCAAGTCAATCTGAATCCTATTTCGCCACGGTTGTAGCGAAGAGTCCTGTGCTGACTGATTGCAACTTAAGTGTATACTCATCAAAGAGAGGCGATGATTGGTCTGGAATCTCAAGCCTGTGCCTTCCTACCATTTTAGCGTCTAGTCGCTGAAGTAACAGGGCGATAAAAAAATCAATGTCGATCGAACAAAAACCGGAGAAATATTCATCATTGATTTCCAAGAAAAGTGAAATGTGTTGCATTTTCTGACATTGGATTTAATCTCGATTCTAGCCATGGTATTTGCATCGATGTTGTAGCTCAGGAGTACAAAGATACTTTACCTAGCCTATCACCTAGGTTAGTAAATCAATGATGCCTGTCTGTGCGGCGACCGCCTCAGGTACCGAGTGGAGCCCCGTTGGTCGGCCGGAGCTCTCTAATAAACTCAGCATCTAAGCTCAGCTCAAGGGAGTCAGGGATAGCTCCAAAAGACAACTGTCAGCCTACTAAGTACTCACCCAGCCTGAAACCTAATTGACAATTTCTCACCAAACCTCACCAAAAATTCTTTAAGACAGAAGCACACTGCGCCGAGCAGGAGGAGACCAATTGACTGACAAGCAAGCACGAAAACTACGGTGCAGCTAGTGTCCTTGTCCTACACGAGAGAGCTCCAACGACACAAGCGACGAGCGACCTGAAGCTACCGCGACGACATCCTGGGCTGAGCACTTCGCCAGCAAAGTTGAAGCAGCTCGGCCAGAAATCAGCGAAAACTTAAAGATTGATACACAGCTACACGTATCTGGACATCAGGATGTCGACGGTCACGGCAACAGCATTGCAATCGGGCCAACCCCCCATCATCCCACTCGAGTTCAACGGCAACCAACCCAAGACCATCCGACTCTACCCGCTTTCCAACTACACATTTGGCGTCAAGGAGACTCAGCCCGAGGAGGATCCATCGGTGATAGCCCGTCTGAAGCGTCTCGAAGAGCACTACTCAGAGCATGGCATGCGGAGAACCTGCGAAGGCATCCTCGTTTGTCACGAGCACAACCACCCGCACATTCTGATGCTGCAGATCGCCAATGCCTTTTTCAAATTGCCGGGCGACTATCTACGACCAGAGGATGACGAAGTCGAGGGCTTCAAGTCGCGGTTGGATGAGCGCCTGGCGCCAGTGGGCAGACTCGGCGAGGGTGTTGAGCCCGGCAACTGGCAGGTCGGGGACTGCCTCGCACAGTGGTGGCGGCCAAACTTTGAGACGTTCATGTATCCCTTCATCCCAGCACATGTGACGCGGCCAAAGGAGTGCAAGAAGCTCTATTTCATTGAGCTGCCAGAATACAGTACGTCCACTGTTATCGCAGCAAAGCAGAATTTACCATGCTTAATAGCCTTGCTAACACTCATCCTTCAACAGAGGTCCTCAGCGTGCCAAAGAATATGAAACTTTTGGCTGTGCCCCTGTTCGAGCTCTACGACAACACGGCACGATATGGTCCCCAGCTTTCGGCCATTCCCCATTTACTTAGTCGGTACAACTTTGAATTCGTCGATGAAAGCGGAAATATTGTTGCAGCCACGCCTGGTACGGGCCCCGAGGGTTTTGTACCACAGACACACGTCCTCGCCGGTGGCGATGAGGATATGCGGGATGCCAAAGACGAGAATGGCGGAAGCTGAGAAACGAATGCATACTCGTCACAAGAACGACATTGAAGAGAGAATATGCACAAACTCTGACAACAGCCGACATCAATATGCCACTGAGCTCGTAGTCCAAGTATCGGCGGCGTGTAGCTTAGAAAAGAGCTGAGGCAGGAGATGTAAGGAGGTTGATACCCAGCTTCGGAGCTGTAGGAAATTGTCGGATTGTACAAATCAAAGCGCTGACAAAGAGTGAAACTACATTTGTCAGAATATGCGGCCCGGAGAGACCAGGACCAAAAATTACAATACTAGGAGTTGCAGCTTCTTGATGCTTTTACGACAGACAACACGAAAATAAAGACATGACCGCATCCAGTGAATGCTTTACTCCAAAGAGTAGCTGCAAGTCGTCATCGTCATTCTTATATTCTAATCTTGGTCAAAGTGTCGCGTTTGTCTTTGTGATTCATGCCTTCTGGCCTTGGATCGTCGCCACCACCCTCCTTGTGTGCCTTACCGCCCGAAACTCCAGATACCAGATGCCTTGCCATGTACCGGTAGCCTGTGATGTCACTCGTGAGCCAATTGCCTCTTTCGCATGTAGTCAATTACTCCAAAATGGCAACATGAACCTACCAGCTTTCCGTCTCTGATGGGGATTGTGACGCTTGCACCAATCAGTGCGCTCTTGATGTGTGCCGGCATGTCGTCGGGACCCTCGGCGCTGTGTCGGTAGAGCTCCTGGCCCTTGGGTCCGCTCTCGGGGGCGATGCGGTCGAGGGCGTCTGACATGTCGGCGCGCACGTCATCATCCCAGTTCTCGTTTAGGCTGAGGGCGCACGAGGTGTGCTGGACAAAGAGGTTAAGCAAGCCGACCTTGTAGTCCCTAATCTCGGGAAGCGAATCGACGACGTGGTCGGTGACCAGGTAGGAGCCGCGCGACCGCGGGGGCAGGGTGAACTGCTTCTGAGACCAAGACATTTCGGCGGGCGACGACGACGATGGCGGGGTGGAAGGAGGAGCTGGAGTCGACGGTGGGAAGACGAGGGTCCAGGGTAGAAAGAGGAGGTAGTTGAAGAGACTCGGGAAGAAACCTATGAAAAAGACGACGAGCAGAAGAAAACTGAACCAGCTGTAGTTTGCTGAAGGCCTTGCGTTGGTGGATGACGGCATAGCGAAATACTTCCGTAGTGTTTTGGAGCAATAAGGTGCAGGCAATTGGCGATTACATAGCATGGTGGGGCGGGTGGGAGCTCGCTGGAGCTTTTATGGCAACTTATCGCAATTCATGCGCAACAAAGCAAGGATGACAGAAAGAAGGCTCCTGTTATGTCACTTGTAAGCCTCCAAGCCATAGCAATAAGAATTAATTGATTCATTCAATGACGGAAGCATTTTCAAATGCAAAGGCCCCAAAACTTGATTGACGGTTCTTTATTTTGTGTAATTGTGGTCGCAAGTATGTACAAAACAGGCAGCATCTTATCGCCGCCTGTTGATCTTTCGTCTACGTCGCCATCCGAACTCCTGATTTGGTACAAAGAATGAACTGTTCATCTATGCAAGAGGGTATGAGGTCTCGGGTAACGCTTCGAGGTGCTCGCGGTGGTGCTCGTTGGCCTATTCATTTGTTTTGTCAGTCCATGATCACACAACCGACTTGTAGTCTTCTTCATGCCGTGACATTGAATCACAAATGTGTGAGTAAACGTACATATGGCAGTCCACAGTAAGTGCATGCTGCAATCTCGGGCTTGTCGGTGTTGATGAAGATTCTGGGGTGTCCAGCGGGGCCGCCGCCGCCGTCGCACGCGACAACCTTATCGTGTGTCCACCGGACAGGCTGCTTGTGAATAAGTTCAATGGCAGCTCTTGGTTGAGGCTTTGCGCATGTTCTTGTCAGTATCATGGCCTGAGCAGGGAGCCAGCATTCGTGCCCACCTGAAGATCAAAGTCCGTCTGCTCAAATCGGGGGCCGGACATGGCCTGGGCCCTGGGCTTCTGACTTCTCGACCAGATTCCGGTCCGGTTCGGTGCCTGCTCAAGTCCTCTCTCCTGGTTCTCCGCGACGCCCAGGGAGTCGGCCTCGCTCTGTGCCTGGGGGGTGGTCTCGGCCTTGTTGTGCAGGATGGCCTCCTTGGCCTCGAGGAGTCTCGGGGACGAGGTAGCGAAGCCTCTCTGGGCAATGCTGGCCCTTTGCGCCAGGCGCAGGGATGTCCGGGCGGTCAATCGGGGGAGCATTGTGTTGATGCTGGGTTGTGAGGATGAATTGGCTCGTCTCGAACGAGGTTCAATTGGCTCGACTGGAGTCGTCAACCTCGTCTATCGCAGGGCTAATTGGTTCTGGGCAGCCACGCGCAGAGCAGTCGTTGAAGCTCGGGCCATGCCACGGCTAAAGACCTGTGGATCAACTTTATTCCCTTATCGCGGGGGGCGTGCATCTATCGCCCCGATAGCGCGCGGGAGCTTCTGTAAATTCTTGGGCGGGCGCAAGCGCTGCAACGGCGCAACCACAAAGCACCTGTAGGTGACCAACTGCACAATACTCAACCCAACATCAACAACTCACGCCGCATAGGAAAAAAGGCCATTGGTCATTCTGTTCGCCAATATCTACCTGAGTGAATTCGGCCCTTTGACTAAAGGAAAGACCACCTTTCAAGGAATTATTGCGGAAAAACTCTTCAACTGGAGGCTGTCTACTTTCATCGATCTTGGACAAGACCTGCCCCACGAAATCTTAAAGCTTGCTCTTAAGATCGGTTGCAACCTGCCCAATTCAGGATCTGGGAGACATCCCGTCTTCCCATATCATCTTTACATTTGCCAATCCTCATCACAGTCACATCGCGTTCCGAGTAGCCTCAAAAATCATTGACAGGATGGCGGCGCAGACAACTCCAAAGGGCATGTCCTCGAGACTGCTAACTATGAAGTTCATGCAGAGAGCAGCAGCGTCATCTTCACCAGCCTCAGCCCCGAGCACACCCGCTTCTGATGACTCCTCCAAGCGACGCAAAATCTCGCATAATCGCTCGAACAACGATGAGCTCGAGGTCCAGGTGGATCGCAAAGCTATCCAGGCTGCCATTGAGGAGGGCGAGCGCAAGCGCGAGGAGGCACTGGTTAAGCACGCTGAAGAGCTTGGCGACGCGAGATGGGTGCTAAATGTTCCGAACCTGTCGAGTTCTGGCGCGGGAGCTCCAAACCCTTTGCGAGTGGTTCAGGTTGGATATGCCCAGATTGACTCACCTGATACTTCAGACGACGACGCAGATACATCCCGAAACACGCCCGAAAAAGTACAGCCGATTCGCCGATATAACATGGGTAAAAAGAAGGCATGTTGTTTTTCGTACCACGTCTATTGCTATACCTTTTTGAAATTGCATATTAATCTAACATCTTTACAGACTGCCACTGAGGCAAGTGATTCTGAGGACGACGACGGCGACTCCGACTCTTCTAACGACTCTGATGCATCCGGTACGAATTCATCCGAAGATGAGGACGACTCTGAGTCTCAGACCCCTTCCACGAAACCTAGAAGTGGCGACCGCAGAGGTAGCTATGCAGACAGACGAAGTGCCGAGAAAGCCAGAGCCAAGGAATTTGCGGACAAGAGGAGAAAGAAGGAGGTCAAGCTGAACAATGCCAGATCTCAGCCTACTGGTGGCCTCTCGTCGATCTCCGGGGGTGGCCTGTCACTGTCTTCCGGTGGCCGCCCTATGCAACGACAATCTGGTGCTTTTGCTTTCAACTGCCACAATTGCGGCGAGGTTGGCCACAAAGCCGCCGACTGTAAGAAGTCCAAGAAACGTTCCCGGTGAGATGCCTGCAAGAAGGTCTGTCCCGGGAATTTGACATTACTGGAGCCAACGCCAGCCACTGGCCAGAGACCGTGGCTTCTCGCTTGATACCCCACCCCTGCTGAAATGCTCAGGCCACTGCGATTCTTATCAAGACGCTGGTTTAGTATGTGTTGCATATCATCCTGCTGGGTCCCATCGTGTGAAGAGATCTAGTACTCCTAAGAGAATATCTGTCCGCCTGTATCCGGCAACTGAGCAAGTCGGCAAAGCAATCAGGCTCAACAGCATAGGTTCCCATCTGGGAAGGTTGTCGCCTAGAAGCGAACAGCAATCTAGGTGACCGCTCCAGAATATCTGGCGTGGGAAAGGTCGCCAAATGGTAATAGACCTGGCGGCCTCTTCCCTCACTCACCGAGTGCACTGCAGACACTACAGAAGGACTTGTTACCTTCCACTTGCTGCAAAATTCATGATTAGTTGATAGACAGAAAATAAGACTGTAAATATTATCACCGGTGTGTCCATGAAATCCTGGTATCAAACACGCAATCCGGAATCGTGGAGCGGTCGTTTCGCATTTCCCCTGATATTGTCCCGGGAAAAGGGCACCGCCAGGGTCGTTCCGCATATCCAACATGGCGGGTGATGAAACTCTGCGATGTATTCAGTACCCTGTAATGGTAACCGGCCGCATCCGTCCGTCCGGACTCTAGCCGAAATACCATCAGCCTCCAAGCGACTTCATATACTGGTGTTCTTGCCAAGAATGCCTGAAAGAAAGCCATCACCGCCGCTTATTTCATCGACATTTGTTGATCATGAGCCTGCTTGTGGTGAGAGAAATGCCGACCTAAGCGTACACATTGATAAGGTACTACCCAATTGGGGTGAAATAGTCCGCCAGCAGTATATCCTGCTGGACCCCCACGACGTGGGCCAAGATTCTCGAGGAAGATTGGGAAGCTTCTACATAAACGATATCAACTCCATCTCATCAAAAGGGACAACACAAAGAACTTGATGATACCTTCTGATCTGAGTGCGTACGGGTTGTATTTCAACACCACTTCTCTTTAAAAATTGTGGTTAGTAGCAGGAAATGTCGACCTGATGACATTTCACATGCCCAATCAGGTGACCGATATTTCGGCTAAGTAATCAAGACACCTTTTGAAATTTGTATCCAATATGAAGTCATGGCTGTAGAAATGTTACTCCAAATATGCAGGTTAATCTGTTAGCCATAAAATTACAGATTGTGGTTGCCGGCCTGAATGACCTGGCTACCTTCTCTGACGGCTCCTACTTATGGTACCTGCATCAATCTCGGCTGCAGACTGCGGCTCGGCTTCGTGATACCGTGGAGTGGAAGGATCCAGCCATTCATCGTAGCTTAATGGATCGAACCGGTCAAGCCCGCGAAGGGGTATCATTGAGTAATCGAGCGGATACTCATGAGTAGAATCTACCCCCGAGGAGACTCTCGCTGCTATACTAGAATCTCCAATCATACCAATGACATGCTAGACAATTTATTAATCTTTATCAAACCTGCCTCAGGGTTCTTATGACGACTGTTCTCAGGCAATCGGCCCACGAAGTACTGACTCGCGCTGTTATTGAGGTCGAACATACCTATACTACTTATGCAACCATTCAGTGCTATCAGGGGACCCCTGTCAATATCGTCGGGTGCTGTTTTCTATGAGACCTTGTGTAGTAAAGGTCTAGGATTACTCTTTCGGCTCCGATGAATTCCAAAGAAGTTGGAGACTCAACGAGCCGGAAGAATTTATGAGTCGAGGACCTACTCAATGCGAAAATGGCTCGTCACGATATAATGATCGAGCTATAACTTTCACGACGCGCAACACGACTAGTTGGATAGCCTTGTTCTCCAATGAGACTGTTACAGTCGCAATCATGGGCTGCTGAAGATCTGGAGTAGAAGAGTGGAACTAGGATCTGCAGCCCGTCGACAAGCAGCCATCCGAGGCTGGGTAACGTCGCAATGCATACCTAGGGATTTCTTAACTGAGCAGTACATGTTTCCGTACCGGGAATATGGTTGCTTAATGCAACCCAGTCCGATGGAAGCAATTCCCGAGAAGGATAAAACAACAAGAAGAGAGACCTCAGGCCCAAGATCCGAAGGGATACCGGGCGTGGGAATTACCAAGGATAAGATCCCACCGGGCAAGTCGGTTTCTTGGTACTAACCTCGGCAGGCCGGAGCTTTTTCTCGCGACAACATCTTTACAGAAAGCCAAGGTATTATCCAGGTTCATGAAATGTAACCATGGCTTCTGACTTATCCAAGAGCAGTGGACGATCAATAAGTAGGTACATGTTAGGATCCCATCGCCATACGTTGTTACGTGATCAAGATGGTTTAAGTGGAGACTTTATAGGCCACGCTGATTTACCTTGGTAATACCGCAATAAGAGGCAAATTGTCAAACCATTGGGTAGTGTAGGTGCAGAGAGAATACCAAAAACACTAGGAATGATATATCAGTTACATTATCGCGCGGGGGAAAAAAAATGCATGTCCTCAAAGCTGAAACTTTGTAAGCTGATCTTCTTTCAGAGCACATGCATACTGAGTGCCAAGGCGGATGCAGCGACCCAAGCGGGTGTAGCGGTGGTATTAGTGGTGCTTGTGGCCGCCTGAGTTGCTCCCTTGGTATTCATTTTCGAACGGGATTTCGTTAGGATGCAGATCTGACAGTTCACATCACAGCCCTTTGGGTGTCCATCCAAGTAATGTGTCTGAAAGCTGTGCCCAGGAGGAGCACATGTCAGGATTCAGCAGCTATGCCGTCGGCACCCAGCAAGTTGGCTTGCCAGCCCGCCTCACAAATTTGGATTGGGTTAAGCGGCGCCGTGGATTGAGCAGTTCCAGCACAGTTTAGCTTCTCGGTCCAGCCCTTCAGGCCTCTTTTGGTGCGAATCATTATAGAGTTCTATACATCATGCAACATGACCAGGTAGAGGGAAAACACGGTACTAGGTCGGGTTCATCACCTAGCGGCTCGGGGTTTGAAAAGCTGCTGATTGTCATTGAGCCAACCAACTATCCTGGACGTCGTCCCAACTCTTTTTCTTTCATGTTCCCTTTTCTTTTTCGTCTCATCTCTCCCGTCGAACCCTATGCGCCCATCCCCCGCAACCGGCTTGCCCGCATAATTTCTGCATGATCTTGCAGACCGCTATAGAGGCGTTTCACTTGGGGCCATGAGCCTGTGAGGATCCCATTGAGTTATGCAATTTGGTCACGTTCTGGCGCCACGCCTCGACAATAGCACATCATACATAGTTGTTTTTCTTATTCTTTTGACAAAGATTTCTTGGATTGCCCCGTTGTTCTGAAGCTCAATTGCTCGCAGCCTTTACGTAAGTTACCGCTGTGAGCGTCCTTCTTTTTGGGATCGCGTGGTTCTGCCAAGAATTAGCACCAACCAAAAACCACACCTTGCAGGCAATTGGAATTGGCCAGTCATGTCAGAATACTGGAGTTACATATATGCTTTGTAGACTTTCCAAGTTAGTTGCTGGCTGTAATGAAAACACTTAAGTACAATGTACATGATTTATCACTTTTATTTCCCTTCTCTGGAAAAAAATAATAATAATAATAATCCCGATAGCTCCAAACGTCGCTACGTTCTTACCCGATTTCATATCCATTCCAAAATACGCTGTTCCTCATTCATATACCGAATGCCCCCCCTCTTTGTTATATAGCAGGAATGATATATTATCATTGCTAGCATTGCCTCAAGAACTTACAAACTTCGATCGCCGGTTCCCATTGCATGAACTCAATCCCACCATCGCCCCGCCTCGGCTGATGCTCCCTGCCATGTTATAATTGTTGATGTATAGTCCTTCTAGAACCTGCCGAGAACATACCCGAATACCCCGATATCGACGAGCCGTATTTCTTATATCACCTACCGTCACATCCTTTTGCGGTAGATGGTAATATGCAGGAGGCCGAGATTGGGTGGCACACGATAACATAAGACAAGGATTGTCTTTCCCATGATCTGGGAACAGCGGCTCCTTTATTGTAAACCCCCTGGGCCGGATTCTCTCCATGTTGCCCTCCGAGACAAGATATATGCTGCTCGGCTCCCAATATAGTCCCAAGTTTCCCGTGGACGAGGCTTTCCATTATGCAACGACATTCTTGAAGATCTCCCACACACACACCAAAGCACTGCAAGGCCAACTCACAGACTTGCTTTACGCGTAAGTCTCCTGCAAAGTCGTCAGCGCGTAGCAGTGGAGTCCCATGCTCGAAAGGAACAACGAGCGAATGACGCTCGTCAACGTTGGCAAGCGAAAGTGGTACGGGTGCTGAACCACCGGGTCAGCGCTTGGTGAGACGTCGAACGGTCACCAATAGTCGAAGCGAGGCCAGCGACATATCATCATACCGTCGTCACAAGCTCAGGTCTACTATATAGATAACCCGCAAGGCCTCTCGCCCCAACGCCTCGGGACCGCATATACGTGGTAAGCAGAATGCAGCAGCCTCGACAGACAACACGCAAGGAATAACTCTGACTCGCCCTGGAGGCAGTCCATTATAGGAAGCAAGAAAAACACACACACACGCACACACACACACACAAAGTGAACCAAGGTGTGCATGAATACGTACCTGAACCACGGCCAACTGGAGAAGACCTGATTGTGAGCTCTGCCTTCTGTTTGCAACAAAGAACCAAACGGACGGCCTGTATAATCACGTACGCGCCTACACATATGATTATCGACGATCATCATCCGTTTTTTTTCTTCTTTGCTCATATCATACCCTGGACTTGCCTACATACATAAATATTCCTGCAATACTCTGCATCAGCAGCCATCAGCCGACCTTGAGAATATTGACCACCTGCCTTAGCGCTTCTCCACACTTATACTGCACGGACCCCAACGAAGGCTGCAACTCGCCGACTAGAATCCAGAATCAATTGAGCTACTAGCACACTTGAACCTTACCTAAAATACCTGCCAATCTGCTACCACCAAGGTACCTACCTAATAACTGCATTACCTTACCCTGCGCCCCTCTAAAGTCATCCGAGCCTCGACGCATTTCGAACCAGGTTCCGTCATTCCCCCCCACCATCGTCAAGTGGTTACCTAGGTACATACATCCATCCACCTACGATTGATACCCACGTACCTACCTAACGACAGACCCGCCCACCTGCTGCTTTCTCTACCTAACTCCATACTTTCAACACCAGCTGAAGCGATTCTCCTTCTTCTGGAATCGGAATTATCATTACGAAGACGAGCATTGAAGTATTTTGCAACAAGTTAGAGCCGATATCCTTACCATGCCGCCCGCCGCAAAAGTGCCCGATGGCACAGTGGAAGCCTCCATGCCAGTGCGGAACAAGCAGCCCTCTGTTGAGAGGGTGACGGACAAGCTGGAGACCCCTTCTCTAGACGATCGATCCTACCGCGTGATACGCCTCTCAAACCAGCTCGAGGTTCTTCTTGTTCACGATCCCGAGACCGACAAGGCGAGCGCCGCCATGGACGTCAATGTCGGTAGCTTTAGTGACGAGGATGACATGCCTGGCATGGCCCACGCCGTGGAACATGTAAGCAACCACAGCCTTGCCACTCTGGCAGCCAATTCTCCCCAAATGATCTCACCTGGCCAAACTGACAATGCCTGTAGCTCTTGTTCATGGGAACCAAGAAATACCCAATCGAGAATGCATACAACCAGTACCTCTCCGCCCACTCGGGTTATTCGAATGCATACACTGGTGGAACGTCGACAAATTACTTCTTTGAGCTCGGTGCCAAGTCCACAGACGACGGAGAGCTAAACGAGAACAACTCGCCCCTCTATGGCGCCCTGGATCGATTTGCCCAGTTCTTTATCGAGCCTCTCTTCCTCTCTTCGACCCTGGACCGCGAGCTCAAGGCAGTGGACTCGGAAAACAAGAAGAACCTACAAAGCGACCAATGGCGGCTTAATCAGCTGTCCAAGTCTCTGTCGAATCCAAAACATCCCTACTGCCATTTCTCGACCGGCAACTATGAAGTTCTCAAGACTCTTCCCGAGTCCCGGGGGATTGATGTACGGGCCAAATTCATTGAATTCCATGGAAAGCACTACTCGGCAAACAGGATGAAGCTGTGTGTTTTGGGGCGTGAGCCACTAGACCTGTTGGAACAATGGGTTGTCGAGTTCTTCTCGGCAGTGCCGGACAAGAATCTCCCACAAAACCGATGGGAGACAGAACAGCCGTATCCCAAGGAATTTCTTGGCATGCAAAGCTTTGCCAAGCCTGTAATGGACTCCAGAGAGCTCAACCTTTTCTTTCCCTTCCTGGACGAAGAGTTTCTATATGAGTCGCAACCCAGTCGTTACATCAGCCATTTGATCGGACATGAAGGCCCGGGCAGTATAATGTCATATATCAAGTCAAAGGGTTGGGCCAACTCCCTAAGCGCGGGTGCCTATCCTATTTGCCCTGGAACTGGGGGTATCTTTGATTGTCAAATTCGTCTAACGAAAGAAGTGTGTTGCCCAACCATGACTATATGTTACATGTCTTGCTAACGCGCTCTAATAGGGACTTAAGAACTACAAGGAGATTGTAATGGTCTTCTTTCAATACGTTGCACTCCTAAAGGAGACGCCGCCGCTGGACTGGATTTTCGAAGAGCAGAAGGGCATGGCTGATGTGGACTTCAAGTTCAAGCAAAAGACTCCTGCTAGTCGTTTCACGAGCAAGATTGTCTCCGTTATGCAGAAGCCGCTACCTAGAGAATGGCTTTTGAGCGGGCAAAGCCGACTGCGAAAGTTTGAGCCGTCTCTCATCACCAAAGGCCTGGAATGCTTGCGACCTGACAACTTTAGCATGTCTATAGTCTCCCAAGACTTTCCTGGCGGCTGGGATAAGAAGGAGAAGTGGTACGGAACGGAATACAAGGCAGAGAAGATTCCCACCGAATTCCTGGCTGAAATTTCAAAAGCCGCCAACAGTTCGGCAAGCCAGCGCTTTTCAGAGCTGCACCTCCCTCACAAGAACCAGTTCATTCCCACCAAGCTTGAGGTTGAGAAAAAGGAGGTAGAGAAGCCAGCTGTGGCTCCCCGCTTGGTGCGCAACGACGATTCTGCGCGCACTTGGTTCAAGAAGGATGACACGTTCTGGGTGCCCAAAGCCAATCTCATCATCAGTCTCAGGAACCCCATCGTCTATGCATCGGCAGAGAACGCCGTCAAGGCCAAGCTGTTCACTGACCTTGTGCGAGATGCACTCGAGGAGTACTCCTACGATGCTGAGCTCGCTGGGCTGCAGTACAACGTCACACTCGACTCTCGTGGCCTTTTCGTGGAGGTTGCAGGCTACAATGACAAGCTGTCCGTTTTGCTCGAGCAAGTGCTGATCACGATGAGAGATCTCGATATTAAAGATGACCGATTCGACATTGTAAAGGAAAGACTGACGCGAGGCTACCGCAACTGGGAACTGCAGCAGCCATTTTCACAGGTTGGCGATTACGTCTCGTGGCTCACCTCGGAGCATGATTACGTTGTAGATCAGCTTGAGGCTGAGCTACCCGCCATTACTGTTGACGCCGCGCGGCAATTCCACAAGCAGCTCATGGCCAAGATGCATATTGAAGCATATGCACACGGCAACATCTACAAGGAAGATGCGCTGAAACTCACCTCCATGGTTGAGAAAATACTAAAGCCCCGATCACTCCCGAAGGACCAGCTGCCAATCCAGCGATCCATGATCTTCCCACCAGGCTCCAACTATCTGTACCAGAAGACGTTGCGGGACCCTGCCAATGTCAATCACTGCCTTGAGTATTACCTATACGTTGGTGATAAGGGCGACCGCAAGATACGCGCAAAGACGCAATTGCTTGACCAAATCCTCCATGAACCTGCTTTCGACCAGCTGCGTACCAAGGAGCAACTTGGATACATTGTTTTCAGCGGTCTGAGGGGCTGTTCAACCACGTATGGATTCCGCTTCATCATTCAAAGCGAGCGGAAATCCGAGTACCTGGAATCTCGCATTGACTCGTTCTTGACCCAGCAACTTACCTCGCTTGAGCAGCTGGCGGACGCCGATTTTGAAAGCCACAAGAGAAGTGTCATCATCAAACGGTTGGAGAAATTGAAAAATCTGGATCAAGAAAGCGGCAGACACTGGTCGCAAATCACGGGCGAGTACTATGACTTTGAGGCTGGTAAGTGACAGTCAACGCCACTCACCCTATTAGGAGGGAATATACTCACATTCCATATAGCCCAGGAAGATGCAGCTGCCGTCAAGAGCCTCACCAAGACCGAGATGATTGAATTCTACAAAACCTACATCATCCCAGCTTCTCCTGAGCGCGCCAAGCTTGCCGTACACCTTGTTGCGCAGGGTGTCAGCAAGAAGACAGAGGAAGCAGCTACAACGGACGGCGAGGTGGATCAGATTTCTGGCAATGGAACCGAACCATGTGTGATTGATAATGTGAGAGACTACAAGGCTGGACTTGTGGCAAGCGCAGGTGCTCGCCCCATCAAGGAGCTCAGTGAGTTTGAGGACTTTGACCCAAAGCTATGAAAAGGCTAGAGACAAAATGGCAGGCGACAGCTGCCATACTCTTTCCATGAGTTGTCTACACGTGGCGTCGGCGTTGGCAAGAGAGAAGGGGTCATGAACATTTTACTCAGGCATGGATTAGGCGTGTATATGTTCGTGAGCGCATTTGTGCTGAAGCTTTCAGGTTTACGCAGTACGAGATCATTGGGAAAGGAGTGGTCTTGTATTTTGGTGGCGGGCTTAAAAACAAGTCAAGGCGCGCATGGTTCATTAGAGGAGTGGGAGAATGTTATTGTTGGATGCGTGATCGCTCATACCTAGAAGCTGCGAGAGGGAAAAAAAAAAGAGTGTCGGACGTGCTCGGGGCTGATCATGGATCTATATCCCTAGAGACTGCTTGAGCATAGATTACGTGCCTTTCGAGTTTAGATATTCTGAATTGGTTGAGATACGAAATAGAACAAGAGAAAATGAGCCGGTGATGCTACTATTGGTACCGAGTTTCTTACAGCACTGTTTCTCGAACAATTTGTCTTTTACTCCAAGGATGACTGACAATATGCTGCCAACTACACGGTGGCATGGCATAGCATAGAGGCAATGAATGGCCTAAGCGCTGACTTGCCTCTCATTCGGTCAGCTATTCGTTCGTCTTAGCGATGACGTGGGGGGGAGGGTATCCTGGGCGCGAACCCCCGCAGCCATTCAACCCCGCGATGGTTGGAGATTCCCAAGACACGAGTGTTTCAGCTTTTCCCGTATTCTTTCATGCGCGCATACATGGACCAATCTCTGGCCACAACTCGTCCGTCAGTCCCTTTTGGACAGCACTGACGTCAAGCCATTGACCATGGTCAATTGCAGGGCCTGGTGGTATGAGTTGTTCAGATGAAGACATTCGTATTTGGGCAACTGTCAAGTGTACAGTTTGTGGGGGATGTCGCTGGCGCTTAATCACTACACTACACGTACCTTGGTACCTTGTTCTTCTTGGCAGACTAAAGCTCATGGACGTGGCGAAAGTCCGGGATGCCCATATCACAACACGAGATTCGAGTATGCTGATCGTCTGAAGATGGAGGTGATGATCTCCCTGACTAGTAGAGGAAGTTGCCATTTCCAATTCTCCAAGATGGCAATTGTTTGCTGCAGACGAAATATGCCTGAATGCTATGCGACAAGAGTCTTTTGAACAGCGACACAGTGTAGCAGGAAGACCTCTGCTTCTTTGAAGCAGCCATCGTATCCTTGGGTCATGCAATTCAGCGAATCGGAGAAAAGCGTACGCCTGGTTGGGCCTGTTCCCTTCTCCTGTTGGGCCTCGACCAATGCCAGCTGTACCCCAAGCAGCGTATCCTGGGATAGCTGTGGATGTCGTCCTGGTCCCTGCCTGTTTGCCTGCGCCCCCGGGCTGGTTCCTGGCGATCTGTTTGTCCAACCAAACAAGCTTATTTGACGTCAATCTCATAGGCCTAACTATGCGTGTCTGTTGCAGAGGTCCCTGATTCACCATCGGCAAATGTCGCTGGTGGACTCGCCAGAGGATGCCTGTCAATTGTCTAGAATCAGGGGGGGCTGAAAGTGAATCATCGTAATTGCTACGCTGTCCATCTGGTTCAAAAACTTGCTTCTCCGCTGGTCATATAAACGCAGGCTGAGCGTGAACTTCCCCTTTGAGTATTCTGCCTTAACTATCATTCGAGTCTTCAGTCTGCTTGGCGACTCACATTAGCATTCGTCCCCATCAATAAGTCACCATGAAGATATCAACAATTCTAAGCCGTCTTTTCTTGACGGCTGCCGCTCTTGCAAATGTCACGCCGATTCGAGATACAGATCTCACTACTATTTTGACATCGGTATCGTCGGCCATCACTCAGCTGGACGAATCTGTCAAGAGCTTCTCTAGCGATGCCACGCAAGTACAGTCTGCTGCAGAAAGCCTGAGCAGCAGCTTGAGCTCCGCTGTAGATTCATTTACGGCGTCCAGCGCAGAAGTTACCCAAGATGAGGTCGCTTCTCTGACAATGTTCTTTGGCTCGGTGTCTGTAGCTGGAGCTGCCTTGCTCAAGGACATCAACGACAAAAAGTCCGAACTCGAACAAGCCGGTCTTTGCCAGACCATTAGCAACATCAGTGTTGAAGCGACGGCGCTCATCCAGGCCATTGTAGACAAGCTGCCAGATTCGGCACAAGCCGTGGCGACAGGTGTGCTGAGCGCACTCAACAGCACCTTTTCGGTCCAGTGCAACAGTGAGCGTGACTCGGCAGGCTATGGATACTCAACGTCGGCCGCGTCCGAGACCAAGACGTGCACCGAATCCGAGACGGCATCGACGGCCGCGGAATCAGCATCATCGGCTACTGGCATCACCACCACGGTCACCATTGCTGTGACCATTGCTCTTCCATGCACCGCGCAAGAATCTACTCTTTCGTCCACCTTGTCCACGTCCTCGTTGCAGACAACCACGTCTACTGCTCCAGTAGCCACCATTACGTCTACCTTCCCAGCTAGTCTGCCTTCTGGATACGAGAGCCACTCATTAACGCACTCGTCAACAGTCTCGTCAACGGCATCGTCGACGGTCTCATCGAGGGCCTCATCGACAGTCCCGTCGAGCTCGACTTCGTTTACTACCATTAGTACCACGGTGCCCGTTACCACTGCCGGGGCCGTGGCTAATGCTGTTGCGGCCGGACCTCTTGGCTTGGTCGCTGTGGTTGCAGCTCTGGTACTCTGATTTATGAGAAGGGGAAAAAAAGGTTCAATAAAGACCACTAGTTTTGTTTTTTCGGCGTTACAGAACGACGGTAGGAGTTTATGGCACCATTAGACATGTAAAAAAAAATTATACTGGGAGGTCTGCGACTCCCATTTACTTTTCTTTGATTCGTTTCGATTGACACGAATTTGGATAAAATAAAAGAATTCTTGAGCCAGTATATTGATGATTTGGAGACCCATCAGATACTGCATGAGACAGACACACGTGAAAATAAATCATGCAGTTCAAAGCGGCCTCTTTGGACCCAATACTGGGTACGCAGGAACACTGGTCGTCGTCACCACTGGACAATACGGCGCCGAGAAGGTTGGTGTAGGCCCACCCCACGGATAGCAGCTATGTTCAATTGTGAGCCGAAATGTCTTTTTTTGTTTCGCTCTGTTGATCATGTGAATGAACTAATAGAAACATTCGACTTACCCGCCCCAGGTTAGTACAAATGTACTGGTAAACGAGGTACACGTTGTAAAGTAGTCAACGCAGATCGACGTCACGGCCGTTACTGGTGTCGGAGAGGTGGTGGTGAGTGGTGTAGGGGTGATGAGAGTGGGAATGATAGACGTGGCCGTGATCACGGGAGCCACGGCACCACCAGAAGCTCCCGTGGCCACGGTTACGGTCGTGGTGGTTTCGTTGCTGCTGCTCGGACACGGCGGCGGGGTAAAGACGGGCCAGGGCGTACACGCCGAGAAGCAGCCGCCGTAGGTCTGGCCGCACGAGTTGATGTAGTCGGCGCAAATGGTCTGGTCGTGACAGTCTGTGCTGGTGGGTGTCGTCGGCGTGTCGGTGACGATGACGCTCGGGGGTAGTGTCGTGGTGGTGGTCACCAGGACTGGGAAATTGGATGACGTGCTGGTATTGCTGGGGCACGGAGGCTTTGAGAATGTTGGCCATGGGGTGCACTATTAAGAGTAAAAGGTCAGCGGGATATCTACGCCAATATACAATAACGAATCATGAGGGTTTCCTCTTCGTTGTTGGGTGATGACGTAGCTCTAGAATGAGATAGAGAAGGATGATGTAAGTGACATGAGAACTGAGTTCCTTACATCCGCAAAGCATCCGCCGTACCATATTCCGCATTCGTTGATATAATCGGCACAAACGGTACGGGTGCTGCAATTATCCGCACTGAAGCTTGACGTCGTGAGCAAGGCAGACGAGTACGAGGCCGGGCAAGGGGGAGGCGTCGGCCTGACTCTGGGATCCGCGTCGCAAATATCATAGCAGCTGCCATACTTTACGCCGCATGGACTGATCTTGTCGACACATATGGTCTGAGGACACTTGGGCGGTTCGGCGGGAGCTGCCAAGATGTTTGCCGCAAGGGCTGCCAGTGGGAGAGCTCGGTATAGCATTGCGTGCTTTGCAGGATAAGGTAATGTGTAAGTCTATTTGTGTTGGCGTATTGGTTGATCAACTACGGAATAGATATTGAGCATATATCATATGCATTGATCACGTCTTATATAGGGCTCCCGTGGTGACTGCGCAATATGGTGCTTTTGCAATGTAACATGCTGACTTATTTGAACTGGAAGCTCGGCAAACTTTTTTTGAGTTTAGCTTGCGGATTGAGCAGGGACAATGATGTGAGCTTGACGGACTCCAAAAAATCTTGGCCGTTATATATTCATGGTACAAGAGAATTTGCGTCGAGAGACATTATGCAACGGGTGCTGCAACAATAAACGCCGCGATTGGTCGGGTCTGGAGATATTGGTACCTATAGCGTAGCCTTACCAATGGAAAGGCATTGTAAGCGAAGGCTTCGGGTGGAAATGTGTACCCCAAAGTCATGAGCTGGAATGGGCAATTAATTCGAGCTTGCGTCGTTTGTATCTCGCTCGTATTCACTGAAACATGAACTTGCCAAGAAACGCCGCAGCCGGATGGACAGACGGAACGAGTGATATTATTACTGAGAATGGCAGACAATAGTCAGATTGAGAGGAGAGAATTGCAGGCTTGGCGGGTCGCGAATGTAACCCTTTGGTCTCACCCAAGGACAGCGGTTGAATTAACCTTTACCGCAGCCCTACTTGACATCTTTGGCAGATTGCGGGGAGGGATGGGCCTCGCTACTATGTAAACGCAGGGTATAATGCCTATGAACTCGACCCTGGGCCTGACTAGTAGTACCTGCAAGCTTGACATTATATGGAATACACAGAAGATTGGCACCCGGAACCATGGCCGACATCCGTACAAACCATCCCTTGCGATCCTTTCTGTCAATCGAAATAAGAGTAATTAATTATACGAGCTCACCACTGGACATCCTACACGCCTCGAGCATCATCCAATTTCATTCCCCAGCGTTGGTTTCCGGGTTTGATTCTGTGTGAGGAGGCTTACATGGTGATATTTCCGTCCTTTTTGCTTTGTAACTCATATCAGTGAAACTTGAAGATCTATATACAGTCGTACAGTCAAATTATAACCGGAACTCACTGTCTGTCTTGAGCTATAGTCCAAGAGGTTAGAAAGGATCTGCAGCCAAGTGCGGCATATTTGTGACATTGTTTACCTCTCTGTCGTGTACTTGCGACGTTCTGTACTAGCCGGCACAACCGAGCATAAGCGGGGGAACGTTCAAGCCAAGGCGGCAGGAACAACTACATCGCGGAAAACCGCAGTGATTTCCAAGAGAGATGCGATTCTTTTTTCACTTGCCGTCTCTTTACCTTGCTTTTCCAGCTTTTGACTTGTCTGTCAGGTGCACAAATCGAGAAGCCTCGTCGTACGATGGCTCATGTTCAAGGTTGACCAAGACTGTTGGCTGGCGTCAACGTGTGACTCTCTGACTGTTCAAGGTAAGGCGGATGAATCATTCGACTGTCGGAGCATGATCGTGTACTCCCGGAATCGTTGCACAGCTGCATTGCGGTTGCGCGTCCCATGTGCGATGAATTCGTTCCTGACAAGCTGAGTGGTGCGTGACTTTAACAGCAGCACTTCACTTCTCAATCACAGACCAGACTTGCAAAAAACGAGGCGACAGGTAAATGTTAGGTACTAACCATTCCGTTGATACCCGCCTACCCAAAGGGACCGACCGCTAGAGTTGCGATTGTTGGGCTCTGTGATCACCAACATTGTTACTTTACTCCAGTGTCGGCAGTTACAGAAGCTCTTCTAAGCATTCTGCATCGGGTTCTGGCTCATGCGTTTCATCTGTTTGGATATTGCTCACGAACAGGACACATCGTCACTATGCCAAGTGCTTGCTGCGTTGGCACGAGAGAATCTGATTATGAGATCATGCGGCGGGGGAGTTTGTCGAGTTGCAGAGCTGCCGAACTGCGATCTGCCAACTGCAATCTGCCATCTGCGACATGGCGAAATCCGATAGAAGGATCGAGAGAGAGGGGAGACTTGAGAGCGGGTAACAGTAAGACGAAAGAGGTAAGTGGGCCTAGATTCGCCCATTACATATATACCCGGAGCCACCCGCTGAACGTTCATAGGCTCGTCTCTAGGCCGCATGGCTCTTCTAGGCAGGCCTCCAGGCAATCAGGACACACAACTACCCCTCCGACTGACATCACCGGTGCTCTGCCAGCCCACCTGAGCTTGCTGCTGAGCACCTGCGCTCGCCTGTGCGCTGCTGCTGCTGCAACGCTCTTTGGTGCGCAACCACTGGAATCGCTTCCCAGTCCTGCCAGTCATTCGCTACACCGCAACATGATCGCGGCAGGCATGCGGGTTCAGTCACCCGTTCCAGCCAGTCTCAGCGCTCGCAGACCTTCGGTCGATGCAGGATTTACGTCGTGATGCATCGGTCATCCATGCCACCCGCAAATGCCCTACCGAAAAGGCTGGACCCTTCTTGCTTTCGACCTTGGTTCGCTGGGCCAGTCGCGGTAAGTTGACACTTATACGGTCCGGCCCAGGCTGTGCAAGACTTGAGCACTCAAGAGTAAGAGTTGTGCCTACAATTTGTCTCGGAAAAAAGAAAACAGACTCGTGACTTGCTCTGTTCATAAGCTTGCACTAAACCTTCCTATCGCACGTTGAAAGAAAAGGCCTCCTACCTCTAGGGTGCTCTTAGGGGCGATAGATCAGCTATAGCTCCCTCTCCTCCCCTCTTCTTGTGCTTGGCGATTCTCGTCTGCTCTCTGCAAGAACAACATCTCATTGCCACTCTCATCGACTACGCCATACTGAGCTCATCATGGCTTCTCGATCTTCTCGCTCTCGCCCCGACTACGACGACCCTCGCATCTCGAGACAAGCATATCCAGACCCCCGGGCAGGTCTGAACGACGACGCCTACGAGTATGTCGGCTCCGATGCCATCCCAGACCCACCATCTCACACATTTGACAACGACGAACGTCGCTCGTCCCGCCGCCACAGCCCACCGCGGAGGCACAAGTCGCATAGATCCTCAACTTTACCAGCCAAATATGCCGATGACTATCCTTCACCGCCAAAATCGCGGCGGGCCGAGTCCCCTGTCCCGCGTGCTTCACGACACTCGGATTCTCCCCCACGGCACCGACGTTCACGGCACGAGACAGCACCTGCACCAAGACGATCTAGAGGAGATGTTGTGGTGGAACCTCCAGTGGTAGCCAAGAACGACAAGGCTGGTCGCTGGCAGGACCGACCAGCTGTCAAGAACATGAAGACGTACGGAACAAAAGGCCTGCGGACCTTTGGTGATATCGTGGAGGCTTACGCGGCGGCGCAAGCGGGAGGCGCCGCCGCTGGCAGAGGCCGATCAGAGGGACGGGGCTACGATCGCTATGATGATTATCATGATGATCGCTACGACAGACCGGCTCGTCGCAGCAGGCGGCAATATTCTCCATCCCCGTCCCCTTCGCCGCCGCGGAGGAGTGCAGCCAAGCGGAGCGACCGACGAAAATCCACTGCGAATGCCAAGGAGAGGTCGTATAGTACCTCGCCTCCCCCTAAAAGCAGAGGCTACAACTCCGATGATGACCGCCGCCACCGCCGACGTAGTCGCAGATACTCGCCCAGCCCTAGCCCATCTCCGTCACCAAGAAGACGACGTGGTCGATCATACTCGCACGCTGACGATGCAAGTCTGCGTTCGACCAGGTCTCGGTCAGAACACCACCCACATATGAAGCATTACAAGAACGAGATGAGAGCCCCCAACCCAGATGTAGCGCATCGGTGGCAGTTGGCTGCTCGGGCTGCGCTTGAGGCCGGTGGTGTCACGGCATTCCGCTTGCGCAAGGAGCCCGGCTCCTGGACTGGCCCAAAGGGTGCCAAAGTTGTTACGGCCGCCCTAGGAGCCGCCGCTATCGACTCATTTGTTGACAAGGACCCTCGACGTACAAAGACAGGCGGCATCAAGGGTATGGCCGAGAGTGTCGTTGGCGGCATGCTGGCAAGCAAGATCATGGGTGTCCCATCCGGCAGCACGCGCTCAGGCAAACCGAGGAAATTTTAGGATGACTTTTTTGCGACATATCACTGCCAGGAGTTCCACTACTTTGTCCTTTCATGATAATGTATATTCACGACGGTTTACGAGTTATGTTTTTTGTTCTCATTTTATAGGTATATATATATATTAGTATCTCATACTCATGAATCATAGAAAATGGTTGGAGAAAAGGACATAGATTGACACGCAGGCAAGCACATAGGAATCGAGCTGGACGACGGGTATATTAGATCATATAGCACATGAACATTATCTACACTCACACAATGTCGTCATAACTCCTGACGTACCACAAATCTCGGTCGCACATGAATACTGCAAACAAGAGTCTCAATAGACTGACCGCCCCCTACTTTGGTGCGGTAAACCTTATTTGACGATTACCAGCCACCATGTATGTATGCCCTGAAAAAGAGTATGGTCGTGCGCAGTCGAGAGTAGAACCTAATAAAGATGACGCATTTCTATTAGTATGAAGTGTCGCCATTCTGAGTTTTGCACAAGAACCCATTAAGTGCCGAAGAAGCAAGAGATACCTTTGACCACGGAGCATGTTTCGAGATGCCTTTCTTTTACAACAAAGTAAAACCATAGGCAGCGGGCGTCCCCAAGTCCAATTTCAAAGTCGACGATTTTCACACAAACCGACAAGAGATCGACATTGAGGTGGTCATATAGTCTTTGGTAATCGAATGATGTTCTACTCCATCTCAATAAGTCGACCTGTAAAATCTGACAGACGGGGACGAGATGGTTCGGGATAGTTCGTGGCAGGCAGAGACCGCCTCTAGAAAGACGAACAAATAAAACAGCCCCTCGTTGTATATATCTTAATTTCCTTCAACCACCACGGCCCGCTAGTAATCGCTTCACCTCTGCTGGTAAGTCCTTGGTCTCGTCTTGTTTTGACGTCGCCTGTTCTAGTATCTGCTGTAAACGGTTTGCCTCATCGGCGAAACGACTCTTATCTCTGGCAGTGTCTCCCAAAACTAAGGCCTTGTCAAAGTCCAAGATGTAGAGTTCTGTTTTCAGAAATCAGCCATTGCTTGCATGGAAAAGAAATAATGGGCGTGTCCCTCCGGCAGTGGCACTCACTTTTCTTGCCAGTGTCGTCGCGCTGAAGAAAAAGATTGTTGAAACCGATTAATGGCCAGATGGCATGGTTAATGTGATCGCGATGTAACAACTTGAGGGCGTGTAAGTCAGTAAACAGCTGTTTGATCTCATTGGCCAAATCTTCTGTCACGTCGTCTTTTTGGAGCATCTTGAGATCAACGAGATACTCAAAGATGATCCCCCGGCGCGCTTCAGAGCTCGATTCACCAATAGTCCATTCGCCTTCTGTAACGTTTGCTGGAACCTTCATGGTTCCATAACAGCGTGGCCATCGAAGGTCAGAATTGCTGATATTACCAAACATGGCATCACGGGCTGTTATTGGCGATGCGATAGCGCTGGATCGACCAAGTTCGGCGTTGGCAGCCACTTCCCTGTTGTAATCGTCTTCACAGGCCCGTGTATCGGGAAACTGTTCTAAGGGATAAGTATTATTCTCCCAGTCACATTTGATGCAAACATGGAGAACATACAATCTTGAGTATCAGATTATCTCGAGGAGGTCTTGTTTCGGATTTGCAATCCTTGGATGTCCTTTGTGCCTCGGCAAGTTGCTGCCCGTCCACGGCAGGTCGAGCCTCAATCAGGTATAGGCTAGCACGCTTTCGCTTCGTGCCATCGTGGATTTGGCGAGTAATTCTCCATTCAATGAGCGTGCTGAGATCATGAATTACATGCGACGGTGACAACTTGCGTTTTCTCTGCATTGTCGTGGTAAAATTGTGTCTTGTCATGCAAATGAGGACTGAGAGAATTGCGCTCCTTGGCAATGAACAGATATACCCAAGTCACTGGCGAATCCGAAGTTGAGCCGGGGTAATGTGCCAATGTTCATGGTCGGTATTTTCAAAATGAGCCGAGTGGTGAGCAACTGGCCTGCTTTCGTTGAAGTACATTGGATCTGCCGTAGGCTGGACACGAGAAGCTTGGGCTGGTAGTTTTTTATTGTCCTTACGATTGAAGTAGTACGCCTTGACGGCATTCAAGCTGATCCTACGGCGGTCATCCTCGCTGCACCTCTCGCTTGGCTTCATCTTGCAGCAAGGAACTTGGAAATACCATAGATGCCGACAGATTGTGCGATGATTATTACAATGCCATAAACTGTGAGGTTCTGGCGGAGCGGTCATTCGGAGACATTGGAGAATACGGTTGCAGGTTTACCAGGACAGAGAAATGAGTTTTCGTGGGACGTGTCCCAGCCAGCTCATAGAAAGCACCAACCTTGAGAGGAAAAACCCGTCGCGGCCCGGCAGCGTAATATATTTATGTTTTACTCGGGTAGTACTTTTAGTGTCGAAAGGATTGAGATGCTAGTTGGGAGATTGAGGATGAAGATGGGAGAATATGCAAGTAGATAACGTACAAATTACAAACAGTCACGGCCGAGTGCCCAGTAAACTAGATTTCTAGTGTAGAAATGAGGTAAATTCTATCGCAAAGAAACACGCTGTTCAGGAGCCAATTCTAATCCCAAGTCATGAGACCCTCGTTTATACCACATGGACAATGAGTCCAGAAGTACCTAAATATACTTGCTGATATGCCTTCAACATTCAGTCATCCAGACCGTTCTATAATTTCTTAAAATGCTCTATCCCCACTCTTGGATCTCGATATCTTTAAAAGTCATTGTCTTTTTCGTTGTTGTTGTTGTTGTTGTTGTTGCTGCTGCTGAGGTGATTCAGGACCTGATGCCCCTTTTGCTTGATTTGGCGACCCTTCTTCTCAATCTTTCTCCTGATTGTGGGCGGATATCTGTAATTGACAGGACTCTCGGAGCCGACAAAAACGAAAGTATCGTAAATGACACAGCCCAAGATGGATCCAACAAATGTCGCAGCCCACGGGCCGTAAAACCACCACGGGTTCTTGAAGACGGTGTCCTGGTGGTAGCCGACGGCATAAGCAATCAGTCTAGGCCCAAAGTCGGACGCTGGGTTCAGGGCGGATCCGATATTGAAGCCAAGGGCCATTTTCAAGATTGCAACAAGCAAACCGAGCACTATTATCAATGAGGGATTAGCACCAGCTTGGTTCGGGTTCGGGAAGAGTCATGGACTTACCAAAAGCGTGCATTCCAGCTCCAGGAGGATTGTTTTGATCGTCACCAAGAGCAAAGACCACAATCACCATGATGGCAGATCCAACTGATTGATTCAAGAAGGCGTTGCCTGGTGATACCCAGCTCTGTGGCGTGGATATGAAAGCCTTTGAAGTATTCTCTAGCGACGGGTCCATGTAGTATATCGTGTCGGCATAACAGCCATATGCGAGCGCACCAGCTACAATGGCTGCGATGAACTGAACAACAACATATACCATGCACTGACGCCATGGGAACCCACGGAATAGCGACAAGCTGATGGAAATTGCTGGGTTCATGTGCGCACCCGACACTCCACCTCCTAGATAGACACCAAACATCCAGGCAAAGCCCCAGGCCCAGCAGGATGTTTCGTACGTACCGTAAGGCTGTGACTCGTTTTGGGAAAGATTAACCGACAGAGTTCCAGCCAGACCGAGGAAAATAGCCACTGCAGTCTAGAGAAATCGTTTGTGAGCAGGGACTCCCAAAAACGGGCATATGTCAAGACTTACCGAGAGAAACTCGGCAAGAGGTTCGGGGTGTTTTGCTCTCATCCTCGCCCACCAGTTGCGCAGCTCGTCCAGGTCGCGTTCTCCATTCTCATAGTCGTCGTGCTCGCGCTTCCCCAGAGGCTCGCCATCAATCTTGTACTCTGCCGTAGATCCGGCGTCGTCAGGACGCGGACTAGGAGCCCGCTGCTCCTGCTCGGGCACCCCCGGGGTGTAGTCAAACACGGGTTGACCGGCAACGTTGCGTCGGTCATTGTGCGCCGTGCCATTGGCCGTGTGTTCCGGCCTCGCGGAGCCCCGCGTGGTCTGCGACGAGAGGACGTGGTCAAACTGCCCAGAGCCCTCGATGCCCGGTGTAGGCGTCGGCGTCGCCAGTTCCAACTCGCCTCGCTCGGCGAGCTCCTCGAGCGGCCGGTTCTTGTTGGCCGCGTTCTTCTTTACCCGGACCTTTTTGGGCCCGCGCACCAACCGCGGCAGCGGCCGTCCCAAGCTAAAGACGGGCTTGCGCTTGGGTTGATCGTACCAGGGGTTCTGCTCCAGATACTCGTCGTCGATCCATCCCGCCCGTTCAGTGTTGGGAGTCTCGAGAATGGTATGCTGCGAGAGGCCGTCCAAGTCTGCTCTGCCGGCCGTGTAAGTGCCCCGAACGGACGAGCCGTAGTGCGTGCCGCGGTGGAGATTGATAGACGGCCGAACATTTGTACTAGCCCCTCCAGGCTGGCCCGAAGAGGAGGGCGGACGCAAGGCCTCGCTCGGCTGGTAGCTGAAGGTCCTTTGAGACTGCATGCTTTTCCTTTTCCCCTAGAGACTGTAGCTTCTCCAAGCCAAGGTTTTCTGTGAGCGGAAAGAGAAAGACCTTCTCGAATGTGACAGAAACATTTTCTTCGAGGATGCGCCCGTATTCAAGTAATCAAGAGTCCCTGATGGGATTTCATCGGCGATTCCACCTTTGATCTATGATCGTCGCTTTTTGCGTGGACCAATGTCGGCCTTGGCCATTTGGGTATGACCCATCGACAAGGCCAGAGACAAGCTGCAGAGAGGATGGGGACCCATTGTTCCTGTCAGGCTCCATAGATATAGGGATCAATGCTCCGGCTGCGATTTGGAAAAGATGATGCGCCTTGTGATAAGCATTCGTGGCTAATATGGTTACTTATTCAAAGACCAACAGAGATTTTCAGACGGTGTCACTGTTATGAGTCGTAGCTTAAAAGAATGGAATAGCCCTATAGCAATTGGCGCCAACGCTTGTCGCTAAAATTCCAAGTGCGCGACCCTGACGGTTATTTCTTGGCGTTCTCCGTTTTGAGACACTGAAGCTTTTGGTTTGGTTTGTTATATCCACATTTTTCATGTTTTAAAAGCGACTCGGTCTATCAAAATCGGGCCCCTTGGTCATGCCGGGAGAATTTCAACAAGTAAATAGTGGGTTCGCAGCTTAAAAGAAGGCGGAATGCGTCACAAGATTGGCCAAAGTGTTCTGCTGGCCGGACCTAACGGTCCGCTGCACTGGACATAGCTGATGGAGGACAATATTCTCAGTTTTGCCCGCCACATTGTGTTATTGCTTCATCATCCTCATGTCAAGCGAAGCAATAATAAACGTCAGATTACGGTCGATCGTCTGAAAAGAAAGAATACAGACCGTGTCGTAGCCACCTGGTGTGCCAAGCTCATACGAGCACCATTAATGCGACTGCCAATGGAAAAAGAGAACCCAGGTTAAACAAGGATGCAATGCAAGGATAATGGAAATGCGGCTCGAATATTTGCAGTGATACGCGGACAAACATGCTCAGTTGGTATTGAGATCCGAATTCACGATAACGCAAGCTGACCAGCTGAGCAATCAGGCAATGTACAGGTCCTCAGTATGACATGGCAGGTATGCATCTTGACTCGTCATCTTGATTGAAACAGAATGGTGCAAGGCCTGTTCTTCCCGACATTTGTCACTCATGTCATCATACTGAAGCTATATTGTTGGAAATTTGTGGATGTAAATTGTCTTCACATCACAGTTTTCACACAGTTGTCCTCCAGAAACCATTATATTGGTCTTACAAGACCTTAAAATAAGATGATCAGCCCAAGTGCATACACACTTTTATAGTCAACCCGTACCATTCCCTAGCTGTGGAAATAACCTTTCAAATTAGTGATTCCGAGGGGCAGATGTGGCGTAGTTGGAGATGTACTGTGTATACCCCTTGCAAGGACAAGTAGGGGCGAATATACACCCTCTCCGAGAATTAATTTGCAGTGCGATCGCGTCGGTAGCAACCGAGACACTAATGTTTAGATTCCAGCGTGCTGGGCAGGTAACGTCAGACTTGCATCATCGGGCTAGCGTGGGGCTCGAGGGTGCCCCTGTGTTTTCTGTCGACAGTGGACAAAATCCAGCATTAAGCCTTGTACTACAAATATGGTTGTTCTTACAAGAAACTGTTGTCATGGAACACACGAATTCGCATTATATTGTGCTGATCTCAGCTCAGAAGAGCTGGGCGAGCTGCACTAGTTGCATATTTCCAGGGCAAGTCGTCGCCGTCCCACAGCTCGGTAGCCGCGAACCTGGAATGCCGTTCCCAAGGCCAAGGATGAAGCATGGATATTGAGCTCGAGTATCATATTGCTGGCAATGTCTTTGTTTACTGAACGAACCAGCCAGGCCAATCTTGGAACCGTGGAATGATGGTTCTACTGTGTAAGCGTTCTACAGTGTCGGCCGGGACATTTGCCAACAATGACCACTCGGATCCACTTACACCCGTGAAACCCGGCCCTGGACAGGAGATGCCAACACAAGAAACTCCACGGACGACACCCCGGGACGCTGATGAGATTGACATCCTTCGGCCCCATATCTTGCTGCGGAATCACCTACACAATCTCATGATGAATTGTTGTGTTTCTGAAAAGTCATAGATCACAGGCCATCACAGAATCCTATCGCAGAACTCTTCTGGTGCAATGGTTGAAGAATAACGCTCCTGTGGGGAGATGGAGGGGGGCTGGCCTACCACTGATTATTCTGGTTGCCTAAATAATCCAGTCCGCGTCTTAAAACCTCATTATCCAGATGCGGTTCAATCCTCACAAGACGCGCCAATAAAGATCAAGGAGTGATGGAAAAATGAATCATTCCTCTTAGTTGCCATATGCTTTCTACAGAACTAAGTCTACCTGCTACATACCCTCGACTTGTTACAGTGGTGTTCTCCGCTGCCCCTTCAACTTTTGCCAGCCGAATTCAAAAGTTTGCCGGCCGCCACCAACCACAGCCGCCGCGACCTAGAATTCCCTACCTCTTCACCACGGCTCATCTATTGAGGTACCACCTTTACTTTTAGACCTCTTTGACTGTTTCAACGCCATCTGACGACCCTACCCACAACGGCAAATATTTACCAAGCTGTTCGAAGGTACCGTCTGAGAATTACACAAATGGACCAAACAGAGAAACGTCACTGCTGGGAATGTCGCCGACGCTGTCTGGTCTGTGATTCTACAAAACCATCATGCAAACGATGTACAACATCTGGTACTAGATGTCCTGGGTACGACTCTGTGAAGCCCGCTAGAATCAGGTGGGTCGAACCTGGTAGAGTGACATCTCGAGATCGCAGGAAGCCCAAGCGGTCTCTCTATACCTCTGTCAAGGAAAAGGGGAAAGGTGTCATGAACGCGCAAAATTCAAGCTCATCAATGCCGGTCATTTGTGCTGGCCTTCCACCTGTCGTGATCTGCGCCGATGCTGCTGCTGTGCCACTGGTACAGGCTGCAGAGTATTGTGAGCGACTGTCCATGCCATCCAGCTTTCCAACGTCCACCTGAACTGACCCGGCACAGTCAATGCTTGCATTTACAAAGATCTAAAGCCGGTGCTTGAGCTAGGCCAGAATCCTCACATATACGAGCTCTCGGCCAGCATCATCCACAATGCAACTTCTGCTCCTCAATTTTTGCAACATGGCATGTACTGCATCATCTTGAGCCACCGAATGAATCGTATAAGGAAAGACCCGCAAGCAAAGAGATTGAATGAAAAATTCTATTTGCATCGGGGCGTCGCCATCCGCTCTCTCAGCAAACACCTCGATGCGAAATATGACGGCATGGACAATGTGATCATGGCCGGGATTCTAATGCTCCTCCTGGTTGATGTAAGTCAATATCATGACCTACCAGAATACATCTACGATATTGAATGACACATGATACCCAGATCCAACACGGTACCTTGTTTGGTTGGCGATGCCACCTTGAACAAGTCCAAAAATTAATCAGCCGACGCGGTGGCTTTCATGCACTGGTCAGGTTTGACATGGCAGAGCCCTTGTTGCTTTCCATATGGTTGTAGGTGTCTTGAGTGGAATCATTTACTCCAAACTAATCAAGGAATAGTCTTGCTATCATTGGCAATACAACATGCCCAGCTGCAGATCTTGGAATGACCAGGGTTCACCTCGAAGCATCTGATTTCATGCTAGAAAAGTATGACTATGCATCATTCCCTGTTGGAATGTGTCCCCAGCCACTATTTATTGAGATTGTAAGGATCAATCACCTCCGAATGCGAGCCGTCGCGGTTGACGCAGCGGAGGCGGAGGAGACAGCTCTCGACGCATACAGAACACTAGATCGCATTCATGCATTCTCGCCCATACTATGGACAGAGTCCAGATCCTTACTTTCCAGGCAAGACTGGATGCGCGTAAGCAGCGCATACCAGACTGCCGTGGCGTTATATTGCATCCTTGCGTTGCAAAGCGCGTCTTTGATTCCAGAAACCCCGTCAATGCGATCCCAGTGTGCTGAACATGGCCACCACCTCCAATCTGTACTCGTAGAGTGTCTAGCTTCCTCGAGAACCAAGAGATTCATGGTCTGGCCGCTGGTCGTTCTCGGAGTTGAGGCTGTGCATAAAGGGGCAGCCCCAATCCGTGCCTTTGTGGCCGACAGACTCCCAGAGCTGAGCTGCGACCTTGGCACTTCCGTGCCGCTCACTGCCAAGGCTGTCCTCGAAGCGTTCTGGGCCTCCGGCAACGAGCGCTGGGATGATTGTTTCGACAGGCAGTACATCTTCACTACCCAAATCGCTCCAGACACTAGCCAACTATTCCCCTTGTATCAGAGGGCTGCTATGAGCTGTAAGGATACGCCATGCAGGGATTCTGCACTGGGGTGTTGATTTTGGCGACCTTGAACGATGCGTGGTTGAGTTGAATTATTCTAATCTTTTTCAGGGGGCTTTGTATTGAAGCAGAACCTGGACGAATTTGATTGCAACCATTTCTTTTCCGTTACATGTTCGGAACCACCATAGAAGCCTCATTATGGCAAACGATATACTGTGAATAATTATAAACCTTTGCAACTATCAATAGTGAATTATAGTAATACATGGTTTGGGATATTTATTGTGTCTCTGCTGTTTTCCAAGAGCCGGCAATCGCAAGCAAGAAGAGCAAGATGCTCGGCACCAATAAGTAGAACTACATTGAAACCCTTAGAGCACTGACCACAACCGTGTCCCGTGAGTGAGCTTATAGCTTGACCAGCAACGTATTGGTGGCTATCAAGTTCCTTAGGCTCTGTTCGCACTCTGCATGTCTCCAAGTTCTTGGGTCTCGGGGATCTGAAGAACATTTCTCTTGCGCCTGAATAGAAGCCCAAATGTCAAGACGTTTGCCGTCTTGACAATTAGGGGCCGATCGTCCATGTCCTCCTGTCCCTGGACCTCGGATCCGTCCTGCGCCAGGTAAATGTGGTGCTCCCGTGGTAAAAAGCGGCCTGGGTGCCAAATGTTCCACAGAATAGAGTTGAAGAGCATAAATGTGGCCTCAAAAATGTAGAAAAAGACCTCGTATCGAAGTACAGGGCTTAATCTCTGAAGCACTTCAATATTGTCGAGGTCGATATTGGTACTGCCCGTAGTGTGCTCCACCATTCTATAAATGCAACGAGCCAGGATCAGGAACATGCTGGCGTACAGCGTATCCAGTATAGTCCTGATAGCCGTCGTGTGCAAACCAGCCTTGATGCAACGCCAGTGAAACATGCCGGCCATGCAGTAAAAAGTAAGGATGACAAAAAATTGAATGGAGAGGGCGGCGACGGTCATGTTTGCTCCTAGCGTTTGTACTGTCTCGGTCGATGCCGCGTTGGCGGAAAGCGCCACGCCGAGGGCATTCAAGGTCTCGACGACAGCCATGAGGCCGCCAAAGGTTGCCAACACGCGACCGGGAGGGAGTGGGGCAATGTATGGCACATAATAAAAGGTTCGGCCGAGGATATGGTAGTTTGCGAGCTCGAGTAGGGGCCTATGTCGATGAAAAGAAAGTCAGTTTAGTTCCCAACAGTGAATGCCATAGACCTGTTGCGAGCCCCCCATCATCCGTGCACTTACGGGCAGATAAATATAAAGACCTGACTGAGAATGAACATGATCAAAGGCGTTTGGTCAGTCTCACTGTACAAGTAATTGTTGTTGAAGGCGCCGTATGCGCGCAGGGCGTAGCCAAGAGTGAACAGAAGAGCGCAAATGGAATGCAACCCAACAAGTTTGAAAGCCTTGTACCGACTGTTTTGAGAATGTCAGCTATGATTTGGACTTGTTTTCCAGTTTGACATTTTGAAGTTGAAACCAGTAATGAACGAGATAGGGGGAAATGTGGGAGAAGGAGCAGCTACACACATGCATTGCCAAATATGGAAACCTGTCGACAAGGCGTATGCAATAGCGAAGAAGATTGGAGCCCCTTTGTTCGGAGCGTAAACATACAGACTTCCAAGAACTTGGTGTTGTGTTAGACCAAACATCAGCATATGCGTTCAAGAACCTTGACTTACTCGGCTCCCCAGCTTCAGCCATCTCGACAGAAGTCATGGATAAGTTGTCAATGGCTACCAAAGTAGGTAGGCACGCGGAAGTCGATATCGATCAAGTGTAGGGACGTGAACGGTTCCTGTTTCGCACTCCTACCCAACCTTGATGGAAGACACACAATCTGATAGTTTGCTGTTGGAGGTTCGATTAAGGTCTCTCTCTATGTCTACTTCTGACGGGAAAATGGACAAAACATTCGTTCTTATAGCAATGATGATGGCCAATGGCAGTGAACGTGGCTTTGCAATTCAACATTCGCACTAGTCCCAAGTAGGAGAATAAAAATGCCAAGAGACTAGTAATGCACGCCTATATTTGCCATTGTTGGCCAATCGCCCCATGTTCAAGACTACGGCTCACCATTAATTTAGGCAGCGGTTTTTTCTTCCCCTTTCCAAACACTATTGGGAGACTTGACTGGAAATCCTTCGAGGTTATTTTATATTATTTAACGCTGTTATATCGTATATCTGTTGCTTGACAAGAAAAAGAGAAGTTGATGCGCCACAGAGTGGCTAGGTACATAGTGTGACGTAGTGACAATCAGAATTTCATGCTGTATGTTCATATTTGAATGGGTAGAGATGCAAGGTATCTTTGAGTATTATTAAAAGATGCACTTGCATCAATTCGAGTCTTATGTAGCAGGTCAATCAAAGGAAAAATTTGCACCGGGCGCGGACGCAGACTGCCAATAGATTATGCCTCAATCCACCCAAGATCAAGCTCTGGCTGTTCCCACAACTCTTCTTCGGAATCATGTTCACTATACTTGGAACCCTCACTATGCACCGTCTCAAGGATTCCGCGGACCGTTTGTAGTCTTGGCAACCGTGTCGCCATGTAATTTAGAAGCTCGTCCACAAGCTCATCAATGTCGATATTCTCGCCTCTTACATAGTTGTAGAGGCAGAGATACTCCAAAGTCGGGGGTAGCGCATCGATCAGCCGGAAAGGAGGGGCCTCTACCAATCGGCGTGGACTGTCCTCAATCGTTCCCGGTCCAAAGAGGAATCTGAAGTTGAGACTCAAGTGTGTCATGGCCGTAAAGTCGTGAAATGAGCCAATTGTGTATCCGTATTTGCGTGTGCTTGCCACCTGATAGACCAGCAGAGGTCGCGAGCTGTCTGACTGCTTTTCGTCTAGATCAAAATAGGCGTCTCTCTCTCCGGCGTAATAGTCATTTATGCTCTCGCCCAGATCTTCTTCGAGGCCCTCAAGGCCGTCTGGTTCCTCGTATCCCATGCCTCTGGGCGCGCCGCCGATCATGGCCAACAAGCTCCTTCCAACATCCAGGTCCAGTACCCGCAGAGTCTCCTTGTGATCAAGAAGAGCTTTGCTGAGAGTCTTGGCCGAAATGTGCGGAGACCCGCCGTCAATACTCCAAAGCCCGCCCTCTTGAATGTGTACCTCTTCAAGTTTCCTAGGAATCCGCAAGATGGTTGCGAGCATGCCACTCGATATATCTGCGTGTTCTATGCGTATTCTCTTAAGGTTCGAAGTTCCCGGGGGAAATAATTCACGGTGTGCCTGGTACTCTGCCACCCCGTCCATGAAGACGGCCTCCAACATTGGCAGGCGGTGGAAGTAGCGGAAGTAGCCCAAAAGTTCCACAGTCTCATAATTAAGACCATCCCAGGATCGGTGAGCTGATCGTATGAACTCGACACGCTTGACACGTTGAAGTCCCGGTTGGGGGATGAGTCCGTAGTTTGATTTTTGGAGGTAGTGCCCAAGTGAAGTATGGGACCCAACACCTCCCAAGTAGAGGTTAGTCACGTTCTTGCAGAGCGACATTAGGATCACCATGGCTGCAGATGCGTACTCCCAGTTATGGCGATCGAATCCTTTGGGTGAATCTGGTATCTCGCCCTTGATTTGGCGCTTCTTCCAGTCCAGGGATTTGATCATGGACAGCGTGGTATCATCTCCTAGCTGCAGGCCTTGCACGTAGGCTTCGATGGTGCTATGTACATCGTCTTGTACGGGAATCGCCGGCCGCTTAAACCTTGGGTCGATCTCGTTGTCACCCCAGAGTCTACAACTTTGCCGACCTCCCACACTCTCGTCGGCAACAAAGTCGTCGACCGTAAAGGCAAGCTCAGGTTTCTTGATATATAGGCCCAGCAGGGCATATGTCTTGTCAATATCTTGGCCATTGGCGACGCGGATCCTCTTGAATGATGGAGCTATGCCTTGGGTCGATCCAGACTGGCTATCTGGGAGGGGCTGCTGCCCCATCAAGCCGCCCTGGCCTTGCATGGGCTGATATTGGGCTGCGCAGGACACGGAGAATGATGCCGTGTATAAATAGTTCAATCCTCGACGGAACAACATTGAGGCAGATTCCTGTGCGCGCTGTAAATGGTCACGGATCAATCGTACGGACTGGGAGAATAAAATTTGGGCCGCCAGTTTTGGCATTCCAGGGAACTTAAATGAGCAACTGTGCCGCAATAGAGTTTTGTAGCTATTAAAAGGACCTTGCCTTATTCTGCCTAACCTGCCCGGTAGCTCACGGACCATGTGCCAACAGCATACAAGCGCCGGGCATGTATATTCCAACTGTTCGTACAATTAAAGCCTATGATGGGTAAAAGATTACGTTCAAGAGTGTTTCATGTGTTTGATAGAATTGTTCTTGGTTTAATGTGGTAATTACCCACCGAAGATCACCTGCTCGGGTGCACTAAGTAGCCTTTTATAAGCTCTTCTTATAACTCGTTAAGATTAATTGAAATATTTCTTTCGCCACTTATTTGATTATATTATCTCGTCATGCTCTGAATTATCGAATGCCGTAGTTGGCGTTGGAGATGGGTATTTGATAACTAGCAGACAGGTAGCTTTTGGATACTGCTGCAACACTTATGCGAGATTTGTGGCATATCCGGTCAACGCAGCGCTTTTTCTATCTGGAATGTGAAACTGCAAATTGCGATTGCATTCAAATATCAACATGGGCTTTCCGACTATGATCCAGTGTGACTGGCTCAACCTCTATTTGACTGTTTCGTGTTATGAGAATTAATATGAATCAATCTGGGTGGAAACCAATCGACCCTACCAAGTTGATGCGCCACGTATCACTTCCAATTGGCGAGCAATGTCTCCTCTCCCGAGAGCCTAGTGTACCTGAGGGTATCCTGCCAGAGTTGCTCCCGTTTCTTGGGATTTCGTGCCTCAGCAGCCATGTTGATTGGATTTTCACCGTCCAAGTATAACGCTTTTGGTTTCTCGCCCCAGACGGGGTTATTATCCAAGGCCACTGCGAGAATGTCTTTGGAAGACTTGAAAGTTGTGCGATGAGCCCCATTGGGCCATAGCCACGTGAGAATAACCACAAGCCAGGGCATGATATAGGTCCAGAGTCCACGAATCCTCCAGTCTCCGCGTCGCACCAGCATGGTTGGAGTTGAACCAGGATCAATACCGACAACAGAAATATCGTGAAGGACTGGGTCCTTGTCGATTCGTCTCTGCAGCTCAGGGCTATCACGTAGAAGGGATTAGAACGAATGTAGAATGAATTGGGGAAGGGGACAGCCAACATCATCATCACCTGGCATAACTTGGCAGCGCCATAACGCCGGTAACCCCCTTTATAGGAAGGGTCCTCCTTTGTGGTACTCCACGTTCCTTTTGCGATTGACTCAGAATTCTCATGGAAGATGGTATGCCAACGCTCATCTTTATACTGCATACCAGCATTATTGCGTGCATCTCTGGAACTAATGAATAATATTAGAATACGTTGTAATGCGTCGATAAACAGCTTCTTACTCGTGTGCTGAACTGCCAATAATAACAAGCCGACCATGATGCCGATCAAGACTCTCCAGAAGTAACATTGTCAGAAGCCAATGACCCAAGTAAGCCGCTGCAAAAGCTGTATCGAACCCATCGTCGGTCCACGTTTGCTGCTCAAACTCCAGATAAGCAGCATTAAGGATCAATGCGCAGATAGGTGGAATCTCGCCTGATTTGACCCGTTCATTAATGGTTGCGGCGGTCCGACGCACATCATCTAGTCGCGCCAAGTCCAGCGATGTGATGTCATGTGTATGATTGTGATTCTTGACGCTTTCTAGTGTTGATCGTAGTGACGGAGCAGAGGATGCATTGCGAACCGTGTAGATTCCATGATAGGTGCTCAGCTCGGGCTGGGACAAGATTCTGCGAATCACTGCATTTCCAAGCCCGCCGTTTGCCCCAGTCAAGACGATGGTGCCTTTATAATTGTTGGTGTTTGACTGGCCCATGTGGTGTTATCCACGCCGAATATGGCAAATTCACGAATGATCGGTGTCCAGAAGAATCAAGTAGAACTTGCTTGTTGACCGAGTTTCTGGTACCGAGGCCCATGAAGCGATGACAACAAAAAGCAAAGATAGCAAGGTCTCAGGGCAAAGAAAGAGGATTGTAAAATAAAAGGAACGAGACACGGGAAATGAGGCCAAGCAAAGCAGCAAGGCGTTATGCGGCAATTGCCGTCGGTGGGATGTTGAGTGTGTATGCACAGTGAATTAGGTATTAAGACGACCTTACGTACTATACTGGTCATAAGGGTTACTTATACCCATAGCCGAGTAATCGTTGTACCAGGTACATTGCTTACATACAAACAGCCAATAATAAAGTACCAACTTACTGTGGTAGCAGACGTAAATAAAATACCCCTTGTCATGTACCAGATCTGATGGGGCGCCCACTCGACAACTCCAAAACACGCACAAGGCGTGCACAAGATCTGCATAAGTGGCTCCAAAATACTTACCAGGGACGTTTTACTTACCCATCATACCACAGTACGTTGGTGAGGAACGATCCATCCAGATAAGTGGGGGGTGTGGCACGGTTAGTCAACAGCACGGCTAACCTCGAGCGTCTGCAGGCGATCGCCCGACTTGGTGTCCCAGAGCTTGACCTTTGAATGGTATTAACGCTACTCGATGCAATAATTATCGAACCGAACTTTGAATAGCACAACATCACCGTAATGCATGAGTTCTGCGTTTTTTTGGGGG